ACCTAATCCACCTTGACCCTCAAATTAAATATAACTCAACTATAACCATTAAAAGACGGGCAAATACGGACGGATTAATAGTTCCTGACCCATTTTGTCATCCCTAACATAACCAATGACTTTAAGTTAAGAAGGAATCAACCGATATGATTAGATTGGGGATATATCAACGATACCGTGACTAATGCAATTTATATCGTGAATACATTAATTTTAAATCAATGAAATAATTATATAATTGTGTTTAATTTTTTATTTAATTTTATTATAATATTGTTTTACGGTGTAATATTTTACATGAGTGTTGTATTTTAAATATAAGTATGTTTTTGTATAATTTTTTATAAGTTATTACCTGAATGTTGTATTATGCGAGTGTGATATAACTATATTGTACCAATATACAGAATGAGTGCACAAAAGTCCCTGACGAAAGGGGATTGGGTTTCAATGGATCACATACTACTTTTTAGCTAAGAAGCACTGGCGCATGTGTTTAGCCTAAGGTACCGGTGTTGGACATGGACACGTGTACCCGAGGCTTGGACAGTGCCCGACACCTTAAATTCGTGTCGCAATTTTTTATTATTAAAAATTACAACAGACACGACTGTGGACACGTCGGGACACGGGTGAAGACACGACGGTCTGTTAATCAGAGTTTTTTTTTTTTTTTTTCATAACATAGAATACGAGACGATGTATATAGAGTATATATCCAGTATATACATATAATACACACAAGAAAAAGAATATGGAGAGAGATCAGAGTTAACATACAAGTCATTGTATAAATTGTAAAATGATACAATACAACCATATATACATACACAGAATGAAATCTTGACTCAGATCGTTTGGAGTTGTTTGCGGAATCTTGGCTCAGATCGTTTGGAGTTGTTTGCCTTGATTTCATCTGATGAGTCGATTCAGGGCCTGTGCTTCAGTGAGTTCTTGGTGAGGAAAAGTACAGGAAAGAGCTGGAGAAGAAGACCTTTCAGAATGAACAGACGTGTCAATGAAAGTGAGAGAAATATGGAAAGAGATAAAAGTGTCAGATACAAATCTTATCCCTTTTAGTGGTTGTTTGGTTACAAGAATTGCTTTGCATTATTTCCGAATAGAAAGACATTCTTATTCATTTGGGCTTGTACATCTTTATTTTATTTTTAATAAAAATAGTAGGACTTAAATATCATGTTTAATAATATAGATAAAACAAATTGAACAAAATTCATGTGCTAACCAAGGAGGAGGGTGTGTATTGTTTGGGACTTTTGACTCGTGTTCGAAATCCATCAGCATTATTTTTTCTCCCTTTTGATCTCTAACTTCCTAACCTCACTAAAATTGCCAAGTCAAAAAAAAAAAAAAATTCCTTCCACATGATAGAATTTAAAACTTAGTACAGCTCACCCAACAGCACAACCACTTGTGCTTTTTTATCTTTTACCTTTTGTTTTGTGTATTTTGTTTTTGTTAATATGCTGTAAGTAAAAGTACAAAGTATGTTTAGTAACGTTTGCTATCATTTAAATAATAGTGAATTACTTTCAAAATTGAGGCCAAAATCAGAAATATTAAAATGATGTATTTGTTTGCTTCCACACTGTAGTAGAGTATTGTTCAAAAAATAAATAAATAATTTTTTTTCCTTTCTAAAATGACATTTTTAACTAGCCATTCAATTTTTTAAAAATTATAACACTTTTTTATCAAATATGCTTTCATATTTTTACTTCTAAAAATCTTGTAGTAAATTTACGTTACAAAACAAGTTTCGAAATAATATTGAATACACTTTAAAGAAGAAAACATTGTTTCTGCTTCTGATCAAAATTGAGAATTTATATTCCATTATTATTTTTCTTATTCAAGATCATTGTTTTTTTGGGTAAGGTTTTTCTTTTTTAAGTTGATAAAATAACATTTGACACAATTCACATTTTTCTTTAATTTGCATCTTAATTTTTAAGCAGCTAAATCACCTCAATTGTACTTCATGAATATAAATAATAAATATACCATAAACAGATAATGAGTCCCACAAATTATAAGGACACTCCTACTAAGATCCCTTTTATTCGACAAAAAAACGTCTTATTGCCAACTGATTAAATATTCTAATTGTCTCATTACAATGGGAAGACACAGAGGGCTTATTTTATTCAACAAGCTTGTGCCCATTATACAGCCATCGACACAACTTTATTTTTTATACATTTTTTAATTGCTGCATAAAAAGTCTATCAATCTTCCGTGTTGCTTCACCTCATCTAGTCAGCTCCTTTTTTGATCCATCATTATGTTTTAATTATTTTTCCACTTATAAATTAATTAATGTAAATTATATTATAAAATTCTTAAGTACACTGATCATGCAATAATACATGAACTTATTAAAATTATTACATCCAATAATTGTCCGAACACAAGAGTTTCGTACCATCACCGTTTCATAATTATCATAATTAAAATAACTGTTTTTTCACTTATGGTATCCTTGTTATTTGTCCTAGTTTCCTAAAATAGGACATATAAGTTTGACTATCCTTTAAGTGATCCAACAACAAAAATAAACGTGATATTTGCAACTATATGAGTACATTATAAGTACTATCAAGAAAATTTTCTTGTAACGTGTTATTGGATTGAGATAGTTTTTAAAATTTTATAAAAATTTAAATAAATTATTTAATATATTTTTTAATTTAATAATTAGTGATAATAAATAAATAAATAATATTAGACTATTTAGAAAAAATCTCAATTTGCGGATCTAATTCGATCCGATTCGTCATTTAACGGATCCAATTCGTAGGATAACAGATCGGTAACGGATTTATATTTTTTTAATCCGTTGGGAGCGGATCGGATTAGGATTGATATCTAACTCAATCTGATTCGTGGTCACCCTTACTTTTTGTGAAGCATTGTCTTTCAACTGGGTCAAGTTGAGGTGGCCACTTGTTAAAGAGGAGACTTGTCCCATATCGGATTCCAATGACAAGTAAAATGGATATAAATGGTGTTACAGTCAGTGTTAGAGTCAGATTTAATTTTTTATTCAATATCACGCCAAGCGTCCAATTCGAAAGACATTCAAATAAACAAAATAACCGATCGCAATTAGAGCATTATGAATTTGTGTGGGTAAACCCCAAATCAAATTGAGATAGAAAGTGAAATGAGTCCGCTGAAAAGGAAAATGCATATAAATGAAGTGAAATGAATCTAAATCAAGCTTTTGGAAAGAAAAATGGAAGAAATGCGGTGGCGGCTCAGTAGGAAAAAACAAAAGAAGTGAAATGAGGACCACTCTGATATGTGTGGTCAATCTTTGGGGTCTTGTTCCAGGTGCTCCACTGTTAGTGGTGGTCCTAATAAAATCCAGATCAGCATGGGTCCCGTCAAACCTATTTAGCCGTTAAAGGAAACACTTCTTTTCCTGAAAGCAGCTCGCTCAAACTGTCTAATTTGACCAAACACCATCTTTTTTTTCGGGTCTTCCTCAACATAGTGACTGAGATCCAAAATAAAAATTTTCTTTCTTCTGGTCAACCTCAACGCGTTTATAATATCTATTTTTTTTTTTAGGTGAAATAAAAAAATAATATCTATTTTTCACTTTCTTTTTTACTTTCCCTTTTAATTTTAATTTTTTATTTATTTATTATATTTTTTTTTTTGGAGTGAAGGTATGATTTGACTAAGGTAATAAGATTAATTTAGCAAAAATCAAATTGTTAGGACAACAAATTAATTTTATCCTCTCAAAAATAAATATATCATAAATAACAAACATATCATGTTGATGTAATTGTTATTTTTAAACTCATTATATCGAAGTGAAAAATAAGTCTTAAGAAAATGTTATCTTAGGAAATATTAAATGGACATTTTAAATTTAAAATGGGAGGAAATTTAGTTCAAAGTTTAAACTAAATTTATTTCATTTCAATTCTAATATGGATTTGGAGTTGGCAAACACATATTTTGAATTAAAAAAGTAGTCTAATTTAGATCAAAATTTAAATTAGGGCTATATTCGGTTGGATGTAATTGAAGTTTTAAAATTAGAATTAGTGGAATTAAAGAAAAACAATTCAAAAAAATTGAACCAAAATTTTATCAAATTTTACTATTTTTTTTTTCTTTTTTTCTTAATTGGTACTCACACACACACATGCCTCTATCGAGGCTCGAACCCTCAACCTCCCTTTAAAAAGTAGGAACCTAATACCGCTAGGCCACTAACTTATTGATAATTCTACTAATTTCAATTTCATCCGTCCATGTTATGAACACAATCTAAATGTCTTTTCATTTCAATTTTAATGTGGATTTAGAGCTCCCAAACACATATTTAGGTCTAATTGGAAAAGTGTGTATTTATCTTAAAAATATTCATTTAAATTCTTAATTGAATTAAAGCAATCAAATGGAAGAGGCTAGTTGAAGTTAATCCTAAAATCATTTTGTTGAATGGTCAACCTTAATTAGTGAATGAAAATATCAAGATGGTTGGCATTATTAGGCGAGGAACTAAAAACCATTCAAAAAATATTAATGCAAATGTGCACGTAAATAATCCCTCCCCCCTATACGCAACACTGGTTACAACCTTCCGCATCCGTGCGTGCATTTTCAGTAAAACATATAGTAACAATTCTCAATTTAGTAACCGTCACCATCAACACGTATCAAAACCTGATAGCTTTCTTAGTTCTTAACCAATGATATCTCGCCACGTAAATAGGGCTTGCCATGCTGGAATTATGACAGATCAGTATTACAAATAAAAATCCGTGAGCTACCAGCACTTTGCTTCCTCTTGTTTGGAGTGGAGATTCGAAAGACACACACCCAAAGTTGGGCAGCACTGAAACTTTGAACACCAGCTAACGTGGCATACTCTACAGTAGAACCCACCCAAGTGGGTCCCTAAGCGCACCCAAACAGTACCTGCACTTTCTCCACTATATAAACCCCCAGTGGCCCTCTTCTCTCACTCCATCTCCAAATTAACCTTTCAAAGTTCAAACCCCTCCCTCCCTAGATCTCTCTCTCTAGAAATCTCTCTCCCCCACCACCTCCGTAAACATTCAGCAGAACCACCCAAATTATCACCAGTACGTATATACCACATTTCCATAGCAACCCAATCAATTGCAACTTCATTTCACTATATATACATATAAGTATATAATATATATATATATATATAACTACAATATTATTTAGGAAACCGACGTCTCTCTTCTTTCTTTATTTATTTTTTGGTTAACTATATAGCAAAACGACAGCTCTATCTAACAAACTCTCGCATCACTTTTTAAGCACAAAAGACGCCACCCAGAGTGCATAATTCAGCTGAGGAATGGGTAACGCCGACAACGTGTACCCTCCCACCACCGTCAACGTGTACCCTCCCACCACCGTCGAGTGTGCGCACAGAGTGGCGATCCCACCACCGGTACCATTCATCAAGTCACTCAAGTGCACTCTCAAGGAGACTCTGTTTCCTGATGACCCTCTCCGCCAATTCAAGAACCAACCACCCTCTCGGAAGTTCAGGCTAGGCCTTCAGTACTTATTTCCCATCTTCGAATGGGGTTCGCGTTACAGCCTCGACATCTTCAAATCTGACCTCATCGCCGGCATCACCATAGCTAGCCTTGCAGTCCCTCAGGGGATCAGTTATGCCAAACTGGCCAACCTGCCACCTATTCTCGGCCTATGTGAGTGTTACAAATTTAAAAATAATTAAATAAAATAGCTTAGTTGTGCAGAAATTTGGTTGATTATCAATGGGTTTTTGAATTTTTATGATGATATATATATATATATATATATATATATATATAAAAGAAAACTTGCTTGAGTTTACGAGAATAACTAAAAATCTGAAAGTTGTTTAGTTTGACAGATTTTGAAAACTGTTTTCTGAAAGTTGTTAAATATAATAGTATTTATTTAAAAAGAATTCTATTTTGTCTTTTGTAGCTCTCTAATTATTATTATTATTATTTGAATTATGTTTTAGAAAACTTTCTGTTGAGTGAAAAGATAATTTATGGGTTTTTGAATTTTTGTGCAGATTCTAGCTTTGTACCGCCGTTGGTTTATGCTATGATGGGTAGTTCCAGAGATTTGGCAGTGGGGACTGTGGCTGTTGCTTCGCTTCTAACGGCTTCTATGTTGGGAAGTGAAGTTGATGTCAATGAGAATCCAACGCTTTATCTTCATCTTGCTTTCACGGCCACTTTCTTCGCCGGAGTTTTTCAAGCAGCTTTAGGCGTCTTCAGGTTGGTATATATCAGTACATAAAATCATAACGGAACAGTCAAGGAGAACAAGAAATAGTTAAATCATATTTAAATGTTCCTATTCTGTAGTAACTGTTTTTAACGGATCAACAGTATATATATATATATATCTTGAAATAAATGCATATATGTGTATACAAAAATATCAATTTGTTGAAGGCTCACTTAAAAATGCCATCAACTTTGTATTTTTATTTTTTATTTTTTTAGGCTTTAGAGTAACTTGTCCTTTTGCATGGTTATGATAACGAGAAATGCTTATTGCGGGATTCCCGTTTGACCATGGTTTGTAGGGTGTGATTGGTCAGGTGTAACTCTGATAAGGATAAAGAATTAAGCAATTTTTTTACTAAAATACTGCAATTGAAATTTATTTTTTCTTACAGAAATTTGACAATTTTGTTATATATATATAAAAAATTACAGGCTAGGGTTTATAGTGGATTTTCTATCACATGCAACGATAGTAGGATTCATGGCCGGAGCAGCGACTGTAGTGATTCTCCAACAGCTGAAAGGAATTCTTGGGCTTGAGCATTTTACCCGTGGAACCGATATTATATCTGTCTTGAAATCTGTCTTCAGCCAAACACATGAGGTACGTCTCTCCTTCTCTCAAATTATATATTTTGTTTTTATTTATTCTAATTTTTTATACACGTTATATTACTCGATCTCTTGCCTATCTTGTTGACTGATGGTGTTGAGTATATAAAATAATTGCAGTGGAGATGGGAAAGTGCTGTGCTGGGGATTTGTTTCCTTTCCTACCTCCTCCTTGCCAGATATTTTGTAAGTACATTTAATTATCTTATTCAAAACTTTTGGTGTATTATTTATCATTAAGGGATTGAATTTCTTATAAATTAATTATTAAGATATTGAAAAAAGCTACCACTATATATATATGATCTCCCTTTGTTGAAAAGTATATATAAAACAATAAAAAAAGCGTTACTCTTTTCAACTTCTTAATTGCACTATATATAATTTTATTCAGTACCTACTCACACTCAAAATGTAGCGAAGCATAACAGTCGAAGGTGGCTGAATTTTACTCTTCAAAAGCGTGTTCGTACTTTTTTTTTTTTTTTTTTTTAATTTTTATTTTTATTCTCATCCACTAATAAATAAAATCTGTAAACGTTGCTTATATGAGCTTATTATTAAAATCTGTAATCCTCATCTCCCGAATTTTTAGTAGGTTCATTATGTTAATTTTGGTTTTGGTAGGTAATTAAATTGTTTGATGAGTTATTGTAGTAAAATTAATTGTTAATGGTGTTGATGACATATATGCAGAGCAAAAAACGACCAAATCTGTTTTGGATATCAGCAATGGCTCCTTTGACGTCTGTTATCCTCGGAAGCGTTCTTGTTTATCTCACCCACGCCGAGAACCACGGTGTTGAAGTGGTGAGCACTCCCATCACCAATCACCATGACATTTCTCTCTCTCTACAATATACTAATACTGTAAACATATATATACTCTGTATATAGCATTATAGCAACACAAACACATAATACACTTCTCTAAGAGAGAGGATGGGCCATGCTTGCCAATAATATAAGCCAGCATAGGCAGTTGGTTCCACAAGGTCTTAATTTGTTGTATTAGGCCACGTTTGGATGGTTCCGCATCTTGGTTGCTGTATATTATTATCTTAATATATATAGAAATAATTATAAGAGTTGTGATATACTTACTATATTATTTTGATATTATATTCGCAGATTGGAGATTTGAAGAAGGGGTTGAATCCTCTGACAGTAACGGATCTGGCATTTGGATCAAAATACCTGACACTAGCCATCAAAACCGGCATAGTCACGGCTGTCATCGCTCTTGCTGTAAGTAAATCACCACCATTTTGGATTTTGGCCCTTATTAAACTTCAAGTGATTGACTGATTGGCATCTCTCTACATAGTTATATATACATAAATGTTTATATATATAGTCAATTGATGTCTGTAGACATGCTTGTACTCTCAATGTTTGTGTATATATATATTTTTTCATGTCGATGCTACCAATTTTTTAATAAATATATAAAAGTATTAGTGGGGACTACTTTGACTACTTGGGCACTCATGTCACCTACTGTTGGTGGTTGGGTGAATTTGGTTTAAACAACTGCATGTGAGATGTTAAGTTTGGGATGTACAAATTTATTATATATATAGTTTTATATTTCACTGAAAAATTTAGCAAATTAATATATATATTTTTTTGAACTGTAATTTAGCAAATTAATATCAAGATAACTAATTCACATTTCACCTGAACTATAGGCTCAAACAAATTTTAAATTTTTTATATTTAGTGCTAGTATATTTTTTGCTTTGGAGGTGATATACTCTGTTCTATATTCCATGGTATGTATAATACCATTGTTTTGAATTTTTTTTTCATGTGAAGAAAATCAAATATTTCCTATCATTATTTACAGTATTTGATTTATTTTTACGAGACCGTATTTATCCCATCTTGGTTTGCGTATCTCTAATACATAAAGTATTGGGTTATGTGACACAGGAAGGTATAGCTGTGGGAAGAAGCTTTGCAATGTTCAAGAATTACCACATTGATGGTAACAAAGAGATGATTGCTTTCGGAGTGATGAACATGGCTGGCTCTTGCACTTCTTGCTATCTAACCACAGGTATTGTTTTGTTTTCCCATCTCGATCGATCTGTGTCACTGATATTTGATTTAGGAAAATAAAATAAAATTTGGCAATCGGTTTTTGTTACCAAAATGTGGCTAGAAATAAATACTCCAGAATGAGATAAATTGAGATACAGAGTGCCAATTTTCTTCACTTGTTTCTAATTAATTTGGTTTGGTCTGAAATAAATTTGCAGGGCCATTTTCTAGATCAGCAGTGAATTTCAATGCTGGATGCAAGACAGCAGCTTCTAACATAATCATGGCAGTGGCAGTGATGTTCACATTGTTATTCCTAACGCCACTCTTCCATTACACTCCCCTTGTGGTTCTGTCATCCATAATCATCGCTGCAATGCTTGGCCTTATCAAGTACGATGAAGCAATCCATCTCTGGCAGGTGGAAAAGTTCGACTTCCTAGTGTGCATGAGTGCCTACATTGGTGTTGTCTTTTGCAGTGTCGAGATTGGCTTAGTCATAGCAGTATGTACCTCAACCTGCAAACCAATTGCAATTTTAGGACTAGTTCTGTCACTTCCAACAGCTAGCTAACTATATATATATATATATATATATGTGTGTGCCAATGCAGGTTGCTTTGTCTTTGCTTAGAGTACTTCTGTTTGTGGCGAGGCCAAGGACCTTGGTTCTCGGTAACATACCAGATTCTATGATCTTCAGAAGCGTCGATCAGTACCCTAATGCAAACACTGTTCCGGGAATTCTCGTACTTAAGATCGATGCTCCAATTTACTTTGCCAATTCTAGCTACTTAAGAGAAAGGTACTACTCACATTGGAGACTACACTCACAAGTACATCAAGATTAATCATAAGATAAAATTAACATATATAATATAAACGTGTGTGTATCAAATGTGATCTCACCGTGGAAACTAATCTTGTTCTTAGGACATCGAGGTGGGTAAATGAAGAGGAAGACAGATTAAAGTCTTCTGGAGAAGCCAGCTTAAACTATGTTATACTTGATATGGGTGGTAAGTGCTGATGGATCAATATATATATATATATATATATGGAATTAATGTTGTTGAAAAAGTTCGAAATCCCAACTCTCATTTGCATAAATCTTTGGTTAATTGGCAGCTGTTGGTAACATTGACACTAGCGGCATTAGCATGCTCGAGGAGGTCAAGAAGAATCTTGATAGAAGAGAGCTCAAGGTACATTACCTTAAAATAAATATAGTACTTTGTATATGGGGAATCAAATCCAAGACCACCTTTGGTTGTTGATGGTTTTATTGATATATTTTTATTTTTATTTTCTGTATGTAGCTCGTATTGGCCAATCCGGGAGGAGAGGTGATGAAGAAGCTGAACAAGTCCAAGTTCATCGAGACAATAGGTCAGGAATGGATCTATCTGACAGTAGGAGAGGCCGTTGGAGCATGCAACTTCATGCTTCATACAGCCAAAATGATAACCGCCACAAATGATTCAGAGACATGGAGTAACAATGTCTGAGCTACCAATGAACCACATATATATATATAGATATAAATATATATGTGTGTGTGTGTGTGTGTGTGTGTGTTCATCAGGTTGATTATTTTCATGTGGGCTCAATTATGATCGCGCGCATTCACATCACTTGATCAGGATGGCAACACATGCGGCTCATAAAAAGAGAGGGTTTGATGTGTTGATTTTAGTCATGTAATGCGTAAAATCAAAGTTGGAGGTTTTTTTGATCTTCCAACATCATGCAATTTGTAGAATATATTGTCATATAGGTGGATTAAAAATCAATTATATTTTGACTTCGTAATGAAAATTCCATTGGCTATGATTGTGGCTTCCCCTGTTACTTGTGATGTTTATATGAAAATCCCATCTTTCCAAGTTTACAACTACAATGCAGCGCATAGAATACAATGCAATGGAAATTATGGGCTACAAAAATTGGATAAATCATTTTCCCCTTAGGTAAGATTTGATCGTGCATCTCTTGTAGGACTGCCAAAATATACAAACCAAAACGTCATTGAGCAGTAAAACAATCTCAGAGACAAAAAGCCAATAAAGGCTTCCCTAACTCCACATAAAATTAAAATTTGTTTCATTTGTTACTCTGAAAACAGTTCTAACAAACTCATAAAATATAAAACTGTTTTCAAATACGACAAACAGTATTTGCACACTGCCCTTACTTTCCATAAGCATCTAATTTTTTCATAAAATTTTCCTACAAAAAAACCATAAAAAATAAAAAGAAGAAAATCTTGAGAAATTTTTATAAGCTTACAAAAATGCCCCTTATTTATAATAAGTTTCATCTTATTCAAACCATGAAATGGTAATTTCACATAATTTTCTTGAAAAAATTTGACTAGGATTGAAAATTTATTTTCCTTTTATCCACTCCACTTTTTTTTTTTACTTACACAACCAACTATTAATTTCCATCAAACCATATGAAACCTTAAGATCAACTCTATAATTATTGCAAGTGGAATCGTCAGCGATTTCCTGAAGTTTCTGAGTTTTTAAAAATAAAAATAAAAAGTTTCAAACCAAACACCAGTGTGGCCCTGTGGGTATTTTTCGAGGCTCTTTTGAGCAACTGGAGACAATGTAGGAAAGGCAGCAGCAGGCTCCTCCCTTTAGGACATGGGAGTTGCAGCCCTTGAAAGGTTTGATCCCATCTACTACTAGTCTCAACAGCACTTGCACGAATGCTATTCTTTTTCCCCAAACTTATGATTTGCTAAAAACCATGTGCTAGCTCAGCAGGGAAGTTCCCAATTCACCAAGATAAAGACGAATTTAATTTCCAACCAACACACTGAATCTCATGCACCTATAGGTAGCAACATGCAGTATGTAAAACTAGATGCCAAGTGATAAAATTCTTCAGAAGGAAGAAAATATAAACTTATCGTGCAGGAAAGAAAGGTTTCCCAGCAAGAAATGAGTTATTATGAAGACTAAAAGGAAGCAAGCTTTCTGAATACAGCTTATTTTGATTCGATGGGGCCTGACATGTACAGCAGTTTCTCGAAACTAAACAAGACAAGTTTCTCTTTATGTAAACCAAGGGAACACATGTAATTCTGAAATCATCTCTAGGAACGAAAAATTTACAGATAAACAAAAAAGTCTCTCTTTAATTAATATAAACTCTACTGATATGCTTCTGTAAATGTAAATACCTCAGTCTCCTTTCGTTGGAGGCTGGACACATGCGCAGAAGCTTGCTTTCTTTCGCCTGTAGCCAGTTCTTATCCCACCATAGAGATAGTCTCGAAGGAGAACTCTTCTTTTTGTTTCTTGGATTCTAGTCCCTCCTTGGCTACCTTTCTCATCATCAAGTTTCAGCAAAACAAACTGTAGTTTCTGCACTTCCAACTGCAACCGCCCAATTCTTTCCGACAATCTTCGTGCCTGTTCTGAAATTTTCTTTCTCCTAACACTCGCGCTCTCTTCCAACTCCGTTGCGGATAATCCAGCATAGGAGAAGGAACTGTCTTCAATATTCTTCATCAATTTCCCATTGAGATCAAACAACTTCAGTACGGCCTCCTCGGCCTCCTCCAGCTGACCCTTCACAGTATCACATTCAGATTTACCCATTTTGCTCTTCTCAGTTATCTCCACTTTTTTCTTCAAATCTTGCACGGTAATTTGAAGGTTTGTCAATTTCTGGACATCAGAATCAAGTCTTTCCAAAATCTTTCTTTTGTTGACTTCTTGATGAGGCTCTGTAGATCTCTTGGATATCTCTAATTTATCCACACCCAACTCCTTTTCCACCAGCATTTCTGATGTGGGATATGCATTGTTCTTTTCCTTTATCGCTTCAATCTGGTGGTATTCATTACCTTTCTCAGTAGGTTTACTGACGATCTTCTTTGCATTGCCAACAGTAAGATCGATGCTACCATCCTGATCTGCTTCCCACAACTCGAGCGTCTGATTATTAGCCCCAACATGTTCCCTCCTACTTATCCCATAGGACGAACATTCAGATATCTGATCAAGCATAATATCTTTTGTTAGAAGTCCATTCTCCACTTCAGAGATTTCAGACATTGGCTTAGCGTTTTCTTGACGTGAGCTGCTTTCAGATTTTAACTCTTCAATCTGTCTCATCGCGGCCTCAAGTTTGGCATTCACATTTAAGTTTTCCTCCATTGCAAGCTTCTCAGTCTCAATCACTGCCATTTCGATAGCTTTGACCCTAGTTTGCAAATCCTGCAAGTCTGAAAATGCATTTGGCACCATGACATTTGGATCTTCATCGGGACAGCTCTCAACATGCAAAGAACTTGCCAATTTAGCATCCTGGAAGCAAGCAAATAAAATTAAATAAAAAATGAGACGATCAATAAGCACCCAAAAGTTATGATAATACTCACTGGTAGCCTATCATCTGAACAATGTTTCACAACCACTGTACATCGAATAGGAAAAGTGTATTGAGTGTGGGTGTGCCCAGATATTGGAATTCCCCAACATTGATATTTTAGGATACATGGACACAGGTGAATTTTAAAAACAAACCTTCTTTGACACTTTTATATCAAAATTTACTCGTTCAACCTCGCATGTCCGTTTCACTTGCATTGAAATATCCATGTAAAATCATTCAACAAAACAGTAGATTAAGTATCTTAGGGAACTTGCAAGTAACTAAATTCAGCTGAAGAAAGCCAAACTGCTGAACAAGTTGGTCAGACAAAGGGTTTGTGGAGTTGAATAATAGCTATTAGTGGCCTAGAGGCACCGAATAAGTTAAAAAAAATGACTACTTTTCTAACTTGCAAAGCAGGTGAGATCATACGGTTTCAGGTTGAATTAGCTTGAAGGGAAAAGGAGAATATGGCAAAGAAGATGGAAAGAATAAGTAAACGAATATATAAATTGTTTGATACTTGAATAAAGGCTTATGACAGATTAAATCATGCTGGACTGACACCACCAATCCCACGTAGCATGCATTTAAAAACATTAATTGATAACTTGATATCACTACATGTTCAGAACACCTCAAGTCAGAATAGCACAGAGTATTTATATTCAGATAAGTGAGCTTTACCTTAGTGTCCTTGATGTCAGTTTTTTGAATCTTTGTATGCAAACAGGACTGATTCTCCAAAGATGATATACAATCCCTCAAAGAAGTTATGACTGGGATATATGCAGCCAACTGACCTTTGAGTCGTCCATTTTCACCTTCAGAAGTGCTTAACCTTTCTTTCAGCAGTTCAATATCCATATCTTTGGAAGTACCTTGATCTTTAAGTTTCTCGTATGCGTCAGTAAGCTCATGAAACTTCTCTTCATACAAAGCATGACATACAGTACAATACTGCAATTCACCAAATAATTCAACAGCCCGAGTCTCCCATCGAGAGATCTCATTCTTTCCCTTTTGCAGCTCGGAGCACATATTATCCTCTCTGATTTTACTTTTTTCACATTCTTCATGCAGTTGGTGTAGTTCAATCTCCAATCCCCGATTTGCTTCACAAAGGCACTCAAAAGTGCTTAACCTTTCTTTCAGCAGTTCAATATCCATATCTTTGGAAGTACCTTGATCTTTAAGTTTCTCGTATGCGTCAGTAAGCTCATGAAACTTCTCTTCATACAAAGCATGACATACAGTACAATACTGCAATTCACCAAATAATGCAACAGCCCGAGTCTCCCATCGAGAGATCTCATTCTTTCCCTTTAGCAGCTCGGAGCACAAATTATCCTCTCTGATTTTACTTTTTTCATGTTCTTCATGCAGTTGGTGTAGTTCAATCTCCAATCTCCGATTTGCTTCACAAAGGCACTCAAAAGTGCTTAACCTTTCTTTCAGCAGTTCAATATCCATATCTTTGGAAGTACCTTGATCTTTAAGTTTCTCGTATGCGTCAGTAAGCTCATGAAACTTCTCTTCATACAAAGCATGACATACAGTACAATACTGCAATTCACCAAATAATGCAACAGCCCGAGTCTCCCATCGAGAGATCTCATTCTTTCCCTTTTGCAGCTCGGAGCACATATTATCCTCTCTGATTTTACTTTTTTCATGTTCTTCATGCAGTCGGTGTAGTTCAATCTCCAATCTCCGATTTGCTTCACAAAGGCACTCATTCTCCTTGCTCAAGTGAATTTTGTCTTCAGATAGTCCGAAAATTTGTTTTTCTTGGTCGTCTCTAACCATCTTAACCCCATCATATTCCCTGTTCAGATCCTCCACTATTTTATGCAACTCTGACTTCTCATTCTCCCTGACACACAGCTTCAGTTCTGCTTCGGAAAGTTCCATTTCTTTCTTCTGCAACACATCCTTTCCTTTTGCAATTTCATTGTTCAAATGATCACTAACACAGGTAACTGCTTTTAGCTCATCCTCTGACTTCTGCAATGTTCCTTTGAGATGCAAATTTTCTATCTGTACCACTTCTAATGTTCCTTCCATTACTCTCAACTTCTCCTCAAGGGCACCATTGACAACTTGAAGGTTGTCTAGATCTTCATTAAGCTCCTTTAGTTCGACGTATTTCTCATCAACAAAGTTCTTGAAAATCACAGAGAGGTTAGTCAGAGATAATGTTTCACCAAAGAAAACACAGTTCTCCTCTTCCAGGGTATGATTCTTTTCCTCCAAATCTAAGAACTCCTGCATCAAGGATCTTTTTTCTTCAAGAATCTTTGAATTCTCCTTCTGTAAATTATTGAATGCCCCTTGAATATCCAACAACTTCCCACATAGATTCTCTATCTGAGATGTTAGTGCCTCCTCTTTTTGACCCCCCTCCCTCACTTTCAAATGCAATCCTTCATTCATCTCAAGAAGTTTATTGATTTCACTCTTCAACAGCAAGAATTGCTCAGTCCTGATGCCGAACTCTTGGTTAAGAATGTTTTTTTCCGTCTCAAGATTTGCTGCTTCTAATTTCAGTTGCCCGAGAAGTGTGACAAGAACAGAAATCTCAAAAGCCAGCTGGTGATTTTCATCCTCGGTTTTACACAAGGAATATTTTGTATCTTCAAGTTTGCCAAGAATTTGACTCAGATATGTTTGTTCTCGCCCAATCTTACCTTCACACCCGTGGTCCAGATCAATGTCAAGAGCCTTCACCAACTGATGCATGCCCCCCCTCAGTTTATTGGTTTGATCAAGCAAGGATTTCACTTCCATCTGTTGTTCAAGATTTTCATGCTCTAATTCAGAAATCAGTTTTTCTGACATTCTGGATGCCTCCAAGACTTTCTGACACTCAATCAACAGAGAGAAGTTCTTTTCTTTCAGATCTTGTACACACCTCTGCAAGACGAAGATCTCAATCTGAGAATCCATCGATTTATCTAGCTCTTCTTCAAGTTCTCTTTTCCTGAGCTGACCGTCTTCTCGTAGGAGACAGACCTGGGTATCCATGCTAGCCAACCTTGTCTCAGTCAACTCTGTAAAACTGGCATGTTCTTGCTCTTTTGCATCCAAGAAAACCCGTAGCTCTTCTACTTTATGAAGTGTGGATACTTTCTCTTTCTCCAGAAATGAATATTTCTCTTCTAATTCTACGTACCTTTTCTCCATTTCTTCTAATCTTTGTCGAGTGATTTCCAGCTGATAGACTAAATTATCTTTCTCATTGATAAGACCAGACTTCTCATCACCAAGCAACTGGCATGAATCCTCCAAGCTTTTAGATTTCACCTTCAACCCTTCAAGTTCATCATGAGCATCAAAAAGGGAGTTCTCCAGAAAGGCGTTCTTCTCCGAGACTTTCTCCAAATTCTCAGTCGTTTTCTGTAACTGAGATACTAGAGTGGCTTTCTCAGCAACAAGAGAAGATTTTTCTTCCAGAAGAGACTGGCAGCATTCCTCCAGTGCCTTTATCTTCTCTCTAACCCCTTCTAACTCGGCACTCAAATCTGAGAGGGAATTCTCCAATAGCGCATTTTTCTCAAGAAGCTGGTCCATGATTTCCAACTTCTCCAGAAGAGCTAATTTCTCACTTCTTTCTCTTTGGAAGGTTTCTTTTAGATTTGAGTGCCCATCCTGCAGTTCCTTCACTGACGATCCAAAGCACTCAGGGTTAAAGCCCACTGCATCCACCTGCTCCAACATAGCCTGGTGTTTCTTGTTCAATTCATTCAGTTCCTCTTTGAGACAGTAAATTTCTTGCTGAAGAGCATTTCTTTGGTCCACTCGGAGTTCGACCTCTTGTTCAAGTGTCTCTTTTGATTCCCTTAAGCCAAAGATTTCATCTTGCATATCTTTTATTGACATCGCTGAAGATAAATTGAGTTCATTGAGGCTCTTGTTATCCTCCTTAGTCTTCAGGACTTCATCCTGCAAACTATGATTACAAGCTTCCATATCCCTTATAACCTGAACCCTGTTCTGTAGCTCCGAAGCCAGAGATCTCAATTCATCCTGAGCTTGAGAATGCAGATGCTGCAAAGTTTGGAAGGCAGTTTCAGCCTCCACAAATCGTAAGCGCTCTTCTTGGATGCAAGTCCAGAGTCTCCCCAATTCCTTCTGCTGCTCTGTAAGTTCTTGAGTTTGAGTGCCCATCTTCAAGACCATAGATTCCAACTCAGAATGAAGAGACTGATTTGATCTCTCCAACAGAAGACATTGTTCTTCGGCACCCTTTAACTTCACAACTCCATTATCTATCTCGGCATTAAGCCTTTGGGCCTCTTCCTGCGCACGAGAGATTTTATGCTCTAGACTTGAAATTGTCTCCAGGCATTGCTGATATTGGAGAGCTGCAGCTTCCTTCTCTTCAGTTAGTTTGGCAAGAGCTTGCTTCAGAGTTTCAACTTCACTTTCAGCTTTATCAGCTCGCTCCTTAATCTTCCTGGCATCCTCTTCCGCATGCAATAATTTTTTCTCTAGATCTGATATCATCTCCAGAGATTGTTTGCATTGATCAAGAGCAGCGTCTTTTTCAGCTTCCACAGTAGAAAGGTCTTGCTTTAGGGATTGGGCTTCAGTGTCAGCTTTGGTAGCTCGCTCATTAAGTTCCCCAGCATCCTCTTGGGCACGGGAAATAGCATTCTCTAGATTAGATATCCTTTCCAAACACTGATGGTACTGGAGAAAGCTAGCATCCTTTTCAGCATCTAGCTTGGCGAGGGCTTCCTTCAAAGTTTGAACTTCAGCTTCAGCTCTGCTTGCACGTTCATTAAGTCCTCTGGAATCCTCTTGTGCATGAGCGAATTCTGACTCTAGCTTAGATGATCTATCCAAACTCTGTTGGTACTGAACTTGACCAGCTTCCTTTTCAGCTTGTAATTTGGCAAGGGCATCCTTTAAAATTAAAATTTCCTTCTTCAATTCCCCCACCCGCTCAGACCCGGACGAGTCTTGAGCCTGGACACTGTGGTTCTCATTCCTTTGTGCACTTCGATCTTTCTCCTCTGCATCATGAAAATTGAGGCCCTTTCTCACTCTTCCTTCTGCATATTTTGCATGGCCTCCGGACCCAAACAAATCATTGAGCTGTTTCAAACCCTTTCTACTTGTTACAGAATCAGATTCTTCCGTAAATGCCCCATTCCTCTTGAAAGATTGGACATGAGATGAAGATACTCCCAGAGCATCCTTTTGCAGATCATCAGGGTCAAACAATGCACGTGTAGGTGGTGTCATCTCTGGCGTACGTGGATCAGCTTCAGAAGCAGAACTTGCAGGTGAATCATCAGTTAGTACCAAGGGAACTTGATTTGGAAATGCTTCTGTCATAGTCCGGTGGGCCTGGCGGAGCACCCCAGTGGCATGATCATATCTTTCAGCCAAAGCACGATATGCTCGGTAGAACTCCTCAACCATTTTCATAAGCTCTGGACGTTTCTTGTAATACATCTCTGCCCTCCTAGCAAAGGAATCAGCATCTTCTTCAATAAGCTTGATCATTGCTTTGACTTTGGCATCCATATCTAGTCAGGTAAACAAGAATTTTTTATAATGAATCAAAAACACAGAGAAAATATATGTGTGTGTGTGTGTGTAGAGAGAGAGGAGAGATTCATAAAAGCAAAATCAGCTCAGAAAAAAATTGAACTGGAAGAAATTACAAGATCAAAATATTACGACTACATGCACCAACCATAAAAGATGATCCAAGAATCATAAGAATAATCTGACACATTAAAGGGACAAGAGAACGTCAAATCATAAATGGCTACTGGGAAATTTGAGTTTGTATACCCTAAAAGCCAATTTTCGCTTCATGTTTGATGTTGCCTGGGAGAGAGTGACTAAGCAAAGACATTGAATGAAACAAGTAACAAAAAACCAGTGGAGGAAAACATACATAAATAATTGTATTCAGTATATGCATAACCCGCAAAACATCAAATATGCTAGAATAGGGAGTTTAAAAGTAAACTAAAAAAAAAAAAAAAAGAGTTTGACTACAAATGCTGCGTTAAATATTTAATGTTTTTCTTTCCTGGATCGTGGCTCAGATACTCAACTGTGTTTTATGCAGCATATTAAATAAATCACAAGCTATTTAGAGGATACAGAATTGAAAGTGCAGGGCACTCAATATGGGTGTAACCACCCTCTATGGTTAAATTAATAAGAAAACTGAGAGTTTATAGACATAACCAGATGATATAGCTGCCTCCATTTTAGAAATTTTAAATGAAAAAGGACTATTCAAGTAGCTTAATTTAGAAGCTCGGAGCTGATGTGAGGTCTTCTGTCATAATTCCTCCATAACCATTTCGAACTTTATAATCTGATAGTTGATCTTCAGTAATTATGCTTGTAGGAGATCTATGCATTTCATATATCAATTTCCCAAATAAGGCATACGGAAAACATAAGAAAGAGCACCTGTAAGATTCTCCTGAAGCCATTTTGAGTTTTTAGGGCTTATGTGACTGTCCCACCACCAAGAGTACATCCGTCTAGACTCCGCTTGTGACATAGACGCCATGCCACAAAAAAATGTGATATAAAGTATCTATACCACCCTCAAAAAAAAGCTCAATCTGTGAACCACTAGTATATCCTCGTAACCAATTTGAGACAGAGCCAGAAGAATAGAACTTTAACACCCCAATTTAAAACCAAAGGAATGAATTGAGTTTTGAATCTCTCACTCCTCGGCTTTGTACCTAATCAACAGAAAAATCACTATAAATCAGACTCAGGCAACCATAAATACTGGAAGGACATATCAGGTTCCAAGATCGTGATGAAAATATCAGAAATGGAATGCAAATTACCTCGTCAACAGAAACACGAGTCCAAAACTGATGTACAAAAAGGAACTGATCTCTTCAAAAAAGATTTACAAATACCTGATGAAACACCACTTCATCAGAAAAATAAAAGTTCATGTAATCAGAGTTCAATCAAATCGCTTACAATTTATAAATCCAGATGCTACAGAGTTTTACATAATTTGCTGTGTTTTTGCAATCAACAATGGCATGTAGAGTACAGAAGAAAACTTGCAAATTCTTATCACACTCATCTTAACAAGATCAATACAGAAACAAAAGAACAAACCTAAAATGGTCAGAAAAACTACCTGATCAGCAAAAAATTAAATTAGAATTATGAATAAAAAAATAGAAAAGCCATGACCAGTGGTGATCAAGTGAATTTACCAGTCAAAGAACAAAGAAAACATGGTTACATGATATGTATATATAATTAAATCTATACATGTATGCATGTGTGTGTATATGTGTGTATGATGGAGTTGAACATGAAGACCATGTGAAACGAATACTTCAAAATCAAAAACTACTCACCAGAAGAAAATCAAAATTGAGTTGGATTTGATCGGCAGCTGCAACAAAAACACCTTCAGCAGCTTCTCTCTCTCAACCCATTGTTGCTAGATCTGCCTTTCTCTCTCTAGATTTCTTTGTGTGCTGTTGTGCGCTTGTACTGTCTGAGACTTGGAGGAACTGCGGAGTATCAAACGAAAAATAAAAATAAAAATAAAAAAAGAAAACAAAGATGGACAAAATATAAGGGAAGCCAATTACAGCACTGCTGTGGAATATTTCCGTTCTAATTTGTTCTTTTCCTTTTAAATAAGAGTTTCTGCAGTTAATATAAATTAATTAGGTTAATAACGCTATAAAATTCCTAAAATGACTAGATTGCCCTTGTTTAAGATTTCAAAGATGTTGTGCCTTGGGCTTTTCCACTTTCTAGAAGTTGACTACACACCGGTTCCTGAGTTTGTTCTACTCCTAAGCTACAAGGATCGATGGCTGTAATGTCAAAAACAAGATCGCCCATATGCAGGGCGTTCTGGAAATTTCACACGACAAAGATCCTTACAGTACAGTGAACTAAAAGTGTGGGAATTAAATGAAAACGTATCAGTGGCAAATTCCGTCTCTGCGTCCATTTCCATAAACATGTTGATATATTTTCTTAATTTATAAATTTTAATAAGGTAGTAACAATAATAAGTGTAAAGTGCGAAAAAAAATTCCCTAAATTAGTACTTTTTTTACAAATAATTCCCCTAAACTATTTACTCCTTCTGTCCCAAAAAATGTCATGCTTTCTTTTTTGATCTGTCCCAAAATAATTATCCACTTTTCTTTTTCAAATAATATATTTTACATCTTTCTATATATGTTCTTTAAGTTTAAAATTTTAAACTTGAATATTTAAAACTTAGAAGAACAAGTTAGTAATTTAGAAGAGCAAGTTAGTAACTTTCTAGGAAGATAATACATGTGTCACATGTTCCCTTAAAAATTCATACTCCCCAAAAGTCACATTTAAATTGGGGACAGAGGGAGTATTTGTTACAATGAAGGACAAACTCATTAGGAAATATTATTTTACTCTTTCTCATTAAATTTGTCATTCTTATCAAGTTATTTTCATTTTCTTTTCTCTTATCTAAATATTAATTATACAATTTATCTTAATTTTATTATTGTCAATTTATCATAAAAATGAAAAAAAAAATAGATGTGTTATTATATTTTCTAATATGATTAACTTATAATTTAGTTATACTATTTATAATAAAACTTATTATACTCAGTTTGAACCTTTTTTTTCGTAAAAAATACCTATTTTTCATACAATATATTCATAAAAAATTAATAAATTACTTAAATATAAAAATACTTTATTTTTCATGAAATATACTAATAAAAAAATAAGAAATTAATTAAATTGTTTTAAAATTTTCTACTTAATTTTTTTTATTTAAATAATGAATATATAAAATTAAAAGTAAATTTATGCAAATTAAAAAGAAAATATGTCATCAATATATTATGAGTTTTTTTTCATAAATTATTTTAATAAGAAAAATAAATTAAGTATAATTCAAAAATAAAAGACATTATGATCATTTAATAAAAAAACAATTTAGGCATTTTGCAACAGAATGTGATAGTTCAAGAAGTATTTTGCACGAAATATAATTTAAGAGAATTACTAGCAAATTCAGATATAATTCAGCAAAGATTTTTTTACATTTTATCCTAATAATAAGTAATAAATATAGTAAATCCACTCACAAATGCATCCAAATAGCTCAAACTAGGGGAATGTGAACTCACAAATAAATTAAATTAAATAATTTGATGACTGCAATAGCTAAAGAAATGAATAACGACATTGTTATTTGTTTTACAAATAAATATTGACTGAGCAAGCATGTCATGCCCGACTCACTTATTATATTTTACCCATTCACTTGAAAAATAAAAAATAAAATAAAAAAAATTACCCATTCACAAAATGTTTAAAGTAAGAACTGTGTTTGGACCCCACACCCTTCATCATATACGGATGGGGAGGGGGAGCTCCCGCTCATAAATGAGTCAAATTTATGATAACTTGACTGTTACTTTTATGACATTTCAGTTCTAGTATTCATGTTGTGTAAGCTTCAATCAATGTCCACCTTACAAACTGTACCTTCTGAAAATTGCCCATTTCCCTAAAATCTCTGTACTAGCCGCAGTTTTCCTAATTTCCTAAACTTTTTGATTTACTACTACACTGCAAGATTGTTTTAAAACGGTTCTTACGTAATTTCGAGCACGAGCAAGGTCATTTTAGGTTTGATTATTGAGGATTATCCGTCCATTGCCGTGATTGCAAATGAAATCGGAGGGTAATTTTGTAATCTAAAGATGGGTGCCTGGCTGATATGACAAGCAGTCCGGCTTTTTAAAAGGTGGGGGTGGCTTCGACGGTGGCCACGGGTCGCCAACGCTGACACGGCCAAGAGATTCTCCATTACAAATACCCCACGCGTACCGTCTGTCAATATATATACTCTTTTTTTAATGATTAATAGAAGTATTATTTAATATTCTATAATATATAGTACTCCATATATGACTTAATAACATTTAATAACCACCAATATATGACCGAACCTAAATTTTTCTTACTAAAAAGAACCACTCTTCATAAGAAAATTATAATATTTAAAAAATTTAGCACCCATCAACAGATATCTCCATAGTCCAATAAATTAGTGTCAAAAAAAAAAAAAATTTAACTAGAGGTCTAGAACTCATTAATGATTCATGTCTGGTTTGTAAATTTACCGATGCAGAGAAAATGATTTGTTCCAAAATTGTTACTTTGATTAAATAATTTTTCTTTTTTTTTTAAATGTCTGAAAATAGAAAGATACTAGCAGTGAGCAACGAGAGAAAACTATAGATATTTTCTTGTTATTCTTTTTTTTTTTTCTTTTTTTAATTATCAAATCATAAACAAGTCGAGGTATGAATGTTTCAATATTTTTATGACAATCATTGTGAATATTGTTACTAAAAGACATACCAAGAGTGGCACAAGTCAAAATATTGGGAAAATGAAAAAATTGGACAAAATTCGAGACACAAAGCGTAGCAAAAAGAGAGGCATATTCCAGGCCAAACTAAATTGTCGAGGCATCACAACTGCCGTTTGGACTTTTTTAACAGTCCAAGCGGTCCATATACTTCAACTTCACCTATTATTTATAGCAAATCACTAATAATTAAAATCAACATGACCTTTTTTATTTTTTACTCCTTAATCATTATTATTTAGTTGTTCCGATTCGAGGGACCTAATTGAATTCTTCTATCATTAATTGTGAGCATTGGACGGTTAAGATCGTCCAATTATGATCATTTGCTGGGTTTTCAAAAATTTGTCCCTCTAATAATTTGCTATGATTGATGCGATGCATGTGCCTCAATTATGGTTTAGCCGCTCCAACCTTCATATTTTGAAAGTAGAGAAGTTCTTTCCTGTTCTCTTCAATTAGGAGGGAACGAAAAGATTATTTCTTTTTTAATTTTTAATTAAATTGAAGGTTATGTTTGGTTGTATAGAATTGAATTTTAAAAATTGAAATTTGTGAAATAAAAAAATAATAATTTAGAAAATTGAACTGAAATTTTTTTCATTTCTATTAATTTCAATTTTAAAATTTCAATTTCATTCAATCGAATACACTCGAAAAACATTTCAAATGAATTCAATATATGCATCAGTACTATTTAGTATTCACCATCTCTCTCAAGTCCCGTCAAACTTATTTGGCAAAAAAAAAAAAAAAAATTGATCCAAGTAAACATGTTTGGAGCTAAAAAATAAAAATAAAAAAAAAATTTATTTCTGAAGATGCAAGAAATTCATTCCCTCTTTCTCTCTCTAGAATTCTTACACTTCAACCCAAAAAGATCCCCCCTCTTTGTTATTCCTTTCCTTATTTATAGATATTTACAAGATATTTACTAATTGTTGGATCTGGGTCTGTTCCTCCATAAGTCCTGGTCACCTTTGATGGGCTTACTCGCGTTCGGCCCATATGGCAGTATCTTTATATGGGCTGACCCAGCTGTACGGACCGGATGTAGCGCTTGCAAGTCAGATCCGGCCCATGTCGTCCTGGGCCTCTTCAACTGCCCCCATAATTGCTCCTTATTTAATAAGGGGTAATTATTGATGGCGTCTCATCATGACGTTGACGGCTCGAGAAAACCACGTGGGGGAACGGACGGTCAGATCCAGAATCAATGTTCCGGGGCTCGAGGAATTTCTCGCATTCCCGACGCTTCGGCCCTCGGGCCCCCCTCGCCTTTATAAGGCTCTAGAACACCACTTCACGTCCTTTTACCGTCTCCATCATCAGTCAAATCTCTCTCTTTCTAGAACAGTGCTAAGCTTTTTCTGGTGAAATCCTTCAAGAGTCATTCTTCCAGCGATCTTGCAGTCCTCTGAGGTTAGTTTTGTTCCTTTTTACTTTCGGCAGGCTTCTATTTACCCCCTTTTAGATCCTTCAAGCACTTCCACCATGGTTGTAGATCTGGATGTTCTTCGTATGAGACTTAGACTTCCTGACAATATCGAGGTTAGGGTTTGCCCCCAGGACGTTAACATTATGACCGGTGCCGGCCTCCTGCCCGGCGGAGTCTTATTCATGAACCTTCAATTGAATGTTGTTAGGTTCCCTCTGCACCCTTTCTTTAGTTATGTCTTCAATAGATTGGGGATATCCCCCCTGCAGGTCAACCCCAACTTCTTTAGAATCATATCCGTTATGCTCCTGTTGATGCGTGACAGAAATCTGGACCTTGACCTCATAGACCTTCTTCTGTGCTATAAGGTCAGTAAGATCCGTACTAACGAGCCCTTCTACCACCTCTACCCGTTCGAGAAGATGTCCATATGTACGGACACAATAAAATCTGAAAAGGGTTGGAGGGATAGCATCGTGGGCATTAGTGGGGCTTGGTCTTCGCCGGCTGCAGAGGGTTACCCAATCCCGAGCGCCTTTGGTGTCTGTTCTGTCTCCTCCTATAAGAAATTCAAATCCCATAAACATGATTGCCCCTGCGAAACATGCGTTCCCCGTTTTTGTACTTTCTTATGCCGTTCCTTAGGAATACCTTGTGATGACTTGAGCTACAGTGTTTGCAGGGATAGGAGTAATTACTTGAAGAAATACGTTCTGAACGATATTCCTTCCTGCTCAGACCTCCTCACTTCAGACAACCTCTTAGCGCTCTCATCACTCGGCTACAACATGAGCAGGTTTCAGATTCCTTCTTTTGGCAGGAAGAAAAATACTCCCCCAGCCACACCAGCTGCAGTGGGCTTGAAGATGCAAGAAATTCATTCCCTCTTTCTCTTTCTAGAATTCTTACACTTCAACCCAAAAAGATCCCCCCTCTTTGTTATTCCTTTCCTTATTTATAGATATTTACAAGATATTTACAAGATATTTACTAATTGTTGGATCTGGGCCTGTTCTTCCATAAGTCCTGGTCACCTTTGATGGGCTTACTCGCGTTCGGCCCATATGGCAGTGTCTTTATATGGGCTGACCCAGCTGTACGGACCGGATGTAGTGCTTGCAAGTCAGATCCGGCCCATGTCGTCCTGGGCCTCCTCAATTTCATGCCAAACTTTTTAGGGGCTAGTTGTACAGTTATCGAACACAAATTATGTGAGACTAGGATTGATCCCATCACATCACATGACATCATAATAACATCATGTAGTGAAATCTATCACCACACAAATTGAATTTGAAAACTAATTTTGATCCTTAAATAATAATTAGTTATTATATATCTTTTTGGGAAGGTAGATATTTTAAATTATTGAGAAGTCAATAGGAATGTATTATATAGCTGTTAGCACTGATGCATCAGTTGCAGTGCCAACACGATATATATATATATATATATATATATATAACATTTGGATAAATAAGAATTATATAGAAGAAACAAACAAGGCCTAGCTAGCCAACAGGGAATAAAAGGAACAACAGAACGAAATTACAACTATTAGACCCCACACACACACACACTAACACCTATTATTGATTTTAAGACTATATATTAATAGAAGTTGGTTGGTAGGGATGGCTGCTATGTTCACTAGACCATATTATTATGTCAAGGGATGATGAATTAATTGACATGTGTTATGTTTGTATATGCTTTCAAAAGTCTCCATTGGTGGGAGTAATTTTATTTGAAAGTTTTCTATAATTTAATTTTGACTATTGATTGTGGCTGCTGCCGGTTACATTCACAATCAAGGGAATACCAATACTCGTATTTGAAATTGAATTATTGAACTAGGGATAAGCTGGTATTTAGAATTTCGGAATGTTTGGTGGAAACACTATTAAATAATTTACAAATACCAAATTTATCAGTTGGTTTCAACTTTCAATTGATAAGACCACTAGTTTGGAGGCTTTGATGTTAACAAGAAACTACTACGTATGAAATAAAGGGGGTAGTTTGGGGAAGAAAAAAAAAGGTTAGGTGATATTGTTTTGTTATAGACAGATATGAGAGATAGATGTCCCAATCAGTTCACTTATGTACTGTTGGGGTCAATTTCATGTGAAATGTGTTCCTAATAAACTTTGTTTGATTTAAAGACAGAATTATATTACGTGTTGCTAAAATTTTAATCAACAACACCTGCAAAATGCTAATGAAATGAGGAGAGATGGATAAGAAAAAGACTCATTTTTTGGATAAATAAGAAAAAGAATCATTTTTTGGTTGGAGGACTTAAAAGACAAACCTAGCATTCTATCTTCCAAAACTATCAACAACCCACCCACCTCTCTTCCCCATAACTTTGGCTATCTTCCCCTTCTTTCTGACATACAAATAAATAGAAATGAAAATATAGGATTGCTGGTGGGACCTCACGCTCACGCATGGTATATAGCGACAGTAAATATATATATATATATACACACCTAATGATTTCACGAGTGAACAAAAAAAAATTATCCACCCTAAACATGATTTAATCGCTGAATTTGATGTTGATAAATTTTTTAGTTAACTGATATGCAAAAAATTACTATCGATCCACGGTAATATATGTATATATATATATCTATAGCCTGGCGCACTTCTAACCAACAAGTCTGAAAGGCACGAACATATGGTATTATTGCTATGCTGAGAATCATGTTGTTTGGTAAAAGCGTGAACAAGAGTGAAGGAGAACCATTAGGCCCACCCAACTGCCATGAGAGGTTCTTCTGCCATGTGCAGCTTTTAAATACACCACACATCTTACTTACTTTTGTGGCTCATAGATGTACTAATACGGAGGATTGCTTACAAAGTTTTAATGGACTATTGAGGAAAGAGGTCCATACACTGCTTAATCAATGTATTTATTTATATCTACATAAACACATATAAATGTGCATTCGAATACGCATTTTTATCATCACCGAGTGCATCTAAGTTTACCCAAAAATTCAGCAATCTCAACCTCCTATTTGAGATGAGTTGAAGTCACCGGTTATATCTCAACTTTATATAATATTATTCAAGAGTTAATGATAGACAAGTGAGACACTTCAATGAAAGTGTTGGGCCAAAAGCATCCCAGCCATGGGATGGAATGCTTTCCCCCCCAACACTTCATGTTGGACTTAAAACACATTTTTCCTTTGTTGCAAGAGTTTGTATCTTTAACTCATCATAGGATCACATTTTATAATTTTTAAAATATCTAAGTTTTAAGTTATATCTAACCATGTAATTTGACGGTGTTGTCCAAGTGGTAAAGGGATTGACCTTAATAGTCTCCACCCTAAAGTAATTTTGTGCAATTGAAATGACAGACTGCGGAACGAAACAATTTAGAGTTTTAGGGAGGAAAATATGATAAACACCAAGGGGTGAACCCTTCCAAATCACGGAAACATATGGTATGGTAAGAAAATTGATGATTATATCATGGGCTTATATCTCGGCCTAGAATCTACCAAACAATTGATTGATTCAGCTCAGCACTCTGGTCTAATTAATACTATGTGTTGACACTTCTTTTGGGTTGGACTTTTTCTTTTGACTTGGGCTTGTGGCAACCATGTACCGTTTCAGGCAACAGCCCAAGAAATTGGTATCTGGACCGGGCTCCCTGGTAGACCTACGATGCTTGGGCTGCTCAGTTCACAAATGCCAGTTACATTTCTAGTGTGACTCACACTTTAACCATGTCTTGAGTTCCAACTCAAGTCTAACCTTATATCATTAATTATTTTCAAACCCTGAAAAATGTGTGGCAATGCTCTGCTCTGAAGTTCCGTCAACCTTGCAGAGTACTCATCTTCCCAAAAAAAAATAAAAAATAAGATCCTGGTTAGGAGTGGGTAAATAATTTATCAATTCGGTCCGAACCAATTCGATTAGTGTGATTTGGTTCAATTTTCAGATCTCATGATTTGATGATAGTTTAAAAAAATAGTAATCCGCTATTTGCAGTTCGATTAATGGATTTGACTCTGAAAAAATCGATCCGATTCGTTACCTTAATTATATATTAATATATTATATATATAATATATATTTACTGTATTTCTATTTTTTTATATTTTTAATTACTGTATTAATTTAAAATTTTAATGAGTCATAAAGTGTAATCATATTGCACTATTTGAAAAGTTCAATCCGTGAAAAACGAATCGATTTCACTAACCCAACTCATCCCATTTTTTATTATTTAAGTAAATGAATATTATATATATATATATATTTGTTAACTTGACAATGATTGATAGGAGTGATGCTAGTGAGTTTGGAACACGAATTAATGGCCCCAAATAATATTGTGATTGGCGGATTGTATGGCAGAGAGCGCACAGTTTTTATGAAAGAGATTAGTTTATTTTATTATTATGTTTCTGTTGACAATAAAAGAAAAAAAATTATAACAAAAGGATTTAACAACAGGTAAGCAGATCACTTCCATTATCCCATACCATAGCCATAATGCCATTCTCTTGAAAAAAAAAATAAAAAAAAAAACATACATTAATTTATAACAAAAGGATTTGGACAACAGCTAAGCAGATTACTCCCATACCATATCCATAATGCCAAGAAAATGTTAAAAAGGCATGCAACGGAAACGAAAGTACAAAAGTAGCCCTAAATTATTTGACCACTAGGCCTAACTTATATTTTTTGGTAAGTGTGCTTATCCGTTTCTTTTATTCGTTCTTCGCATCTCTCTCTCACATTCACTTCCAAGTCCAAGAGTACACTTACAGAACTCGAACCATGTCATCAATGGCGTCGATAATTCGCCGAAAACTTCACCACAAATCTTTTATTTTTCAACAAAGATTGTTCTCTGCATCACCAGAGAACAAGAAGACTCAAAGGATTGAGAAGATTTTGATAGCCAACAGAGGCGAAATAGCGTGTCGAATCATGAGGACTGCAAAAAGATTAGGGATTCGAACCGTCGCGGTGTACAGCGACGCCGATAGGGACAGTCTCCACGTGAAATCCGCCGACGAAGCCATTCGAATTGGTCCCCCACCGGCTCGGATGAGTTATCTCAAGGCTTCGTCGATCATCGAAGCTGCAGTTCGGACTGGCGCACAGGTAATGGTCATTCTGTATCATTTCGTTTTGTATTGATTCCAATAAACTTTGCATTCGTGTTTTGAAATTTAAAGCATATTGAACGGTCGTTTGTTTGCTTAGAAAAGTAGAATAGGAAAAGAAAATTAAAGAAAAGAAAAGGTTATGACTGGATGTAGGTTTTCTTGTTTGGTCATTCTATTACTCATTGCATGTTTCTATTGTCTAGTCATTGATGATTTATTTACAAGATACACCCATACGTTCTTGGTAAATGACTGCATCACTGTTGGACGATGTTGGTACATGACTTCATCATTGTTGGATTGCAATTGCTTTTTTTTTTTTATAGCTATTATCTTTTTCTAGAACCTGCTTCAAAAGCACATTTACAGTTGATAGTTACATGGCAATTGATTTTATTTTTAAATGTGTAAGATTTCATTATAAGGTGCCAAAAGGGTCGCGACCAAGTGAAAATGAAGTATACAAAATTGAAAAACCTGTGTGTCAAAACATAAAAGGCTCCAAAGAGGGATTTACTCTTCCCAATACCTTTCAAAACAACGCATTTCAAATTTTCTTCTAACCAGTGAATCAAAGCATCCTTTCCCTAAAACAGCAGTGGTTGTTTTCCTTCCAAACACACCATGTGACGAAATGCAGGCTACTTTGCAACCAACTTATCCACTTCAGCTAATTATACTGCCCCTCCAACTCTCCGGCAAAACACCCACCGATTTGTGAGAAACCCAACTAACCCTGGAAAGAGGAACTAAAGACCGCATCTCCCTAGCCACCTTGCAATGGACGGGAAGGTGATTCACTATTTCTCCACCTCTTTGCACATGCGAAATTAATTTGAAAGATATATTCTTGTCATTTCAATTATGTGTCTTTAACTATTTCCAACATGGTCTTTCTTTAGTGATTATTCTGATTTTTTTTTTTTTTTTTGATAGTTCAAGGTTAAATGCCTCATCTACATCTTTTGCCTCGAAACACATTGACAGAATAAACTGTTGAGGTAGGCTTCATTTAGAGTCTCTTACCTCTTCTTTTTGGGTTTACTTGGGGGTTGGGCAGCCTCTTTAGGCCCTTTTTACCTTTACGTACCGAGCACTAGTACCATCATCCAGCAGATATCACAGTGAAAAGTACGATTTACTTCCAAGTAAGCCAATATAATAACCTAGCAACTTTAGCCTTGGTTAGGATCAGTTCTTATACTTCTTGAGCTTGTATGGGGAATGGATTGGGGAGAACTCTGTTCCTATATGTATGATTGCTTGTTCATTTTTCTTTCATCATTTTTGTGATTGCCCACTGCTTAGTATTTTTCTTTTTTCTTTAAGGATATCTCAACCTTCCTCCTGTATTGTTTTCTCTTATTTTTTAAATAATATTTAATTTATTGTTTGACATCTTTGAATGTTTCAATAATTCTTCGATTGAAGGTAAACTAATATTTTATCTTTTGTATATCAATGAAAATTGCAGTTCTAGAGTTGATCGTATGGGTGCTTCTTCCCCCTCCTATTTCATTTTACATTAATAAAGTAAATCTAGTAGCATGAATGTATTTATTGTTGCCTCCTTTTGTATTATTATTGGCTCATTGCTTATCACACTCTGTTGAACTTATCTTTGTTGCATTGATAGATGGTTTGCTTAGTGTTTTCGCACTTGAAGGACATGCTTTCAGAGTGGATATCTTCTTTTGATAATTAGGCTATCCACCCGGGCTATGGTTTCTTATCAGAAAGTGCTGAGTTTGCTCAACTTTGTGAAGATGAGGGTTTTACCTTTATTGGACCTCCTGCATCTGCAATACGGGACATGGGTGATAAAAGGTACAAACATTGGCTTCATACAATCATACCTTCTCTCTTTATATCCTGTTTTGGTCTGTAGCCCTTTTCTGTGACTTTGTTCTTAATTCCTTTGCACAATTTTCTCCATCCTTCTCTTCCACTCTTTCTCTTTCTTTCTCCCTCTCTCTCTCTCTCTATATATATATACATATGTTGTATATGTTGGCCGAGGAGGGCAGGATAGAAAGCAAATTAAAATCTTGCTCACTCACACTTTAATATTCAATATATGAATTCTGAATTTATTTAGAAAATTTTCATATATATTTTTATTATTATTATTTTGATGTTTACTAGTGCATCAAAGAGAATAATGGGAGCAGCAGGAGTACCACTTGTGCCTGGATATCATGGTGAGGAACAAGATATTGACCTTATGAAGTCAGAAGCAGACAAGATTGGATATCCTATTTTGATAAAGCCCACACATGGAGGTGGAGGAAAGGTTTGTCATCTATTGAATATTGTTGAAAATTTTCATGATAGAATTGCCCAAACAAGAGTTAAACAGACAAGAGAAGAAAAATCTGTTCAAACCAGTAAAACCACACCCAACCAAGAGGACAAAGATTTTAACGTTGAAAAAATTTGTAAAGGGAAAAAAAACATGGAACAAAGTTGCGAGAGATCATTATGAATACTAATCAAGAATACAATGCTCCGAAGAGCTTACACACAATTCTGCTATAAAACTCTCTATTTTCATTTTTGGAAGAAGAAATGCCTGAAGAAACAAACAGAGGGAGGGCGAAGCTTAGTTGTTGCCGAAAACTCTACAAACAAGGGAAAGAAGAGAAGTCCTAATTAAAAAAGAAGAGATTGATAACAAAGAAACACAGCTAAAAATAACTAAAACCTCTCCTGCTTCATTTTCGTACCGTTGACCAATATATGTACTTCGTGACTTCATTCCTTTTTTATGTTTTCAAAATTTTGATCTTTTGCTTTTTCACCTTTGTTTTATCATTACCTTCATGAAAATGTGGGTCCATTAAGTGAGGAGCATGCATTCCGTAAATTTCCAAATGCGAACAAAAGTGAAAAGATTATAGATTCATTGAAAATTTAGGCAGCAAAATGTGTTGTACAATTGGAATCTAGTCTACTGAATATTTTTGTAATGATCTACTACTTGACCTTATTTTTCTAGAGTCAATAATGTTGGCGACATCGGTATTGAAAGTGAACATCTGATACAATATTTTAATCATATTTTCTTTTTCGTGTTTAGTAACTCAAATGCAACTTTAATTGAATACCTTCATATACAAAGCTAATAATAGCTGTTGCGCCACGTGTTCAGTGGGTTCAAAGAGTTAAGTTGGAGCATAAAAGGATGATGATATAGTTTATGTTACAGCATTTAAAAAAAAAAAATCTAAAGTAGGAGAATTGTTTTATGTAACATATTTTATCTTGTTTGATAATTTCATCCCTCTGCTTGTCTGCCCATTTTCAGGGCATGAGAATTGTGCAAGGTCCAAATGAATTTGTTGACTCTTTTTTGGGTGCACAACGTGAGGCTGCTGCTTCTTTTGGCACAGATACAATATTGCTAGAAAAGTATATCACACAGCCAAGGCACATAGAAGTCCAGGTGCTCTTATAGGTTTACATTTCCTTTATTTATCATTTCTTGTCTAATTAATCGCTCATATTAAGTGATGTTGTTTGCAAAATTCATCCTCTTTTCTTCACAATCAAATTCCGCATAAACTTTTTTGGTTAGTATATTGGATGACACAGAAGCTGTTCTTTAGTTTATTTAGTGGGTATGTCACTATGTCATGATAAAAAGTTATTTGTTATTATTTTTTACGTGGTGGTTTTTATTTATTTATTTAGAATTTATTCAATGTCATAGATATTTGGGGACAAACACGGCAATGTCATACATTTATATGAGAGAGATTGCAGCGTGCAGAGAAGACACCAGAAGATTATTGAAGAAGCCCCCGCTGTAATTCTCACACTATTATATTTTTGGTTGAGGTTTGTTATTGTAGATCTGCTAGAGTTGTAACAGAACCTCATTGATGCATTGCAGCCTAATGTCATTAATGACTTCCGCTCCCACTTGGGTCAAGCTGCCGTATCTGCAGCAAAGGTGACTTGTTTACGAATTAGTTGCTATGTTCTTTAATATTTGTAACCTTTTCGCAGATGACATGAGTAATTCAAAAAGAGTTGAGATTTGTTGACTGACCTGATTTATTTCTGGGATGCATTGTTTAAAAGGAGCAAAATTGCCAAGATCATCAAATTTTGTTTTCCTAATCTCTCATATTTACGGGCTGTCAATATAAGCTCTGAAATTTTATGAAAATTTTGATGGCTGTTCATAATATTCAAATATCTTGTTTCGAATATTTGAATTCTAACTTCCGAAAAAAGAAGTGAATCTTCCTTGCTTTTCTTTGTCATGATTTAGACCATGCTCCCACCTATGTTATCCGGACTTTCTTGTTCCTCCAAGGTACCTGTGGCCATGTTGACACAACACGATACAATAAAACACATAATGAGTATAGAAGTTGTGTTCAACACATGAATCTACACCAAACGTGCTGATACTCTACATGAGTGGTCATTCCAAAATGGGCAGGTTGAGTCCAGTGTCATTTCTTTAATTTTTTCATCCAAAACACCCTGAACATGTTTTTATTTATTTACTTTTTTTTTGCCATGGTCTGATTTGCCAACATTTTATAGTTCAGGTTTTTTTTTTGCCATATAAGGGGGTATTTTTAAAAATTGTGATAGTTCAGGGAAGTAGTTTTCAATTTACTGATATTATATATTTCCTTTCAAATATAGTCTATTATATGTTGCGCACCTTGCTTGAGAGAAGGCAAGTCAAAAGCTTGTTAAAGGTAACATAAATATTCTTGAGACCCATATGTATTTATAAGTTCGCCATATAATATGTTCATGGGCTAGCTGAGCCTAGCTTGGGCAATCTTGGTTTCGCTTACTAAGTGAAACAAGCCTTATAACATAACGTTGAATCATAAAGGTAACATAAAAAGTCTTGAGACCCATATATATTTATATGTTAGCTATATAATATGTTCATGAGCTAGCTGAGCCTGGCTAAGGCAATCTAGGTTGCGTTCACCAAGTGAAATGGTCCTCATGACATGGCTCAAGCTTAGCTTATTCACTGCTTGAATGAAGTCAAAAGAGCAGTTTAGCAAGCCGTGTAGAGCAGTCCATGAACAACTTGAGTCATTTGCCGTCACAGTCACAAGCCTAGTTAGTAAATTCGCGAATGATACACAAATTGTACGTGTACGTTCAATTCTTTAGGAAACACTCCCATTTTCCGTTCAGGATGGAATTTAACCCATATAAAATTGTTTAATACCTCTTGATACGTCTAGGTCACCCGTTTAATTTGTGTTTTATATTTCTTAATATCCTAACCATTTTCCCTTTCCCTTTGCAATCTAATTCTATATTTTTCTCAAACCCAAATTCACATCTTAATACACTTTTTACGCCGGTTGGCACCTAAAATGCTGGGACAATTTTTACACCGGTTGGCACCTAAAATACTGAACAATCTTGTATATGTAAGGATCGGATGAATACAATGATGATAGAAAAATTCAACACACTAAAAGCACAAGATTTGGAGCCATTTGATCTCGACAAACTTAGTGACCACCTTGAATATAATGATCGTGAAGAATGGGAGGATTATTCCTTAAAGGCCACAAATATTGTCACGAATGATGAAGATTTTTCTTGGTTTGATGTTAGGCTCTAAATTTAGGGCAAATTTTTAATTTTTAAGATAAATATAGTTGATTATTTGAATGACAATTTTTTTTTTATTAATTTTGTGATGAACTGATGATGTCATGGTTATTGATTAATTATTTTTAGTTAGTTTATTTTCCGTGGTTATTGTAATGACAATTTGCATAGAATGTGTATTTATTTTATTATTTGTAACATTTTCTTATTTATTTATTTTTATTTGTTACATTTTCTACTATTATCTTTACAAAGATATGACATATAAGAAAATAAATAAAATGTATATAGCCGAATTTTTGGTCCCGAACCATATTACATATTTTTACTCATACATTTCCCTATTTGTATTTTTATATTTCCAGTTTTTGGCCGAATTTTTGTAATGTATTTTTCCTTAAAAATCGAAATATACTTGTACTTTCCTGAATTGTATTTTACCAACTACGGTCACAAGAACCATCCCCCTTCTTTTTTGGAATGTTCTTCATGTCAGCTGTTTGTTTCCTCTTGTTATATGCTAGCTCATCCCTCTTGTGCACACTGTTAACTTGATTGACACAAACTGGGATATAATAACTTCACAATACCATATTAAGTTTTTTCTCCTCAGTACATTCTGTTGCTTTACCTCTAATGCATGTTAACTTTGTTCATTTAAGTTCTATATCATGAACTTAATCATCAATTGAATTTTATCCCAAATTTTTTAATAGTACTTGGGCTTGATATTTTTAGGGTGGCTTTGTGAATGGCTTATCTCTTGATGCAGTTTTAGACCTGAATGCTGATATGCAACTAATCATGAGGGTTTTCTGGTTTTTAACGTGAGTTTATTTTCAGCTTTTGTTTAAAGGTTGATGCCCTGTGTTCTGTCTAAAAGCGGTTGAAGATGTTTGTCATCTGGTCATTTGCCCAGCATACGCTGCTACATGCTTTACTGTAGCACCATTTATTAGCTTATTTGTACTCAGAGATCAGCACTACTTCCAACACCCTAGATAGGTGGGACCAACATAGGGTAATGGCTTTATTGTACCAAGAAAGCACTTCATAGGTTTTTCTTAATAGTTTTTGCTATTATTTTGTATTGGACAACTAGTTCTTCACATGTCAGCATGTTCTCTTAAAGACTCCTTTCAACTATTTCACTAATATGGCAGCTCCTGTCTGATTAAAGGCTGTTGGTTATTACAATGCTGGCACTGTGGAGTTCATAGTTGATACTCTCTCGGGACAGTTCTATTTCATGGAGATGAACACCCGTCTTCAGGTGCTTTGATCTCTCTTTTCCAACATCACCACCCCCCCCCCCCCCCCCCCCCCCCCCCCCCCCCCCTCTTTTTTTCCCACATGCTCAACAGCAACTAAATGTGGACCATATGTACTGATATATGCAGGTTGAGCATCCCGTGACAGAGATGATTGTTGGTCAAGATCTTGTAGAGTGGCAAATACGTGTTGCAAATGGAGAATCTCTTCCCATGAGTCAATCACAGGTGCCCTTATCAGGTTAATTTCTACCTTCTCTTTTTTGTCCATAATAAATTGTATTTTTAGTTTCTGTGAATCCTTGTCGCATTCTAATTTTGAGAATCCATGAATCTGCTGTTTATAACTAGAATGAAGGCAATCAACCACCTTATTTCTGCATTAGAGCTTTCTTACATAACAACCTGACACATGAAAAGGAAAAGGATGCAATAGCCATTATCAAATTCAAGAGGGCTGCAATCACCAAAGCTACTATAGTTTGAAGTTTCAAAAGATACGGACCATGTGCTGAGAATTCGTAAAACAAAGGACATTGCTGTTTGGCTTCATAAGCTTCCTCAGACCAAAATATAAGGGTTACAACGTGGCCTGCACGTTTAAATGGGCACAAAAAGAGTATCCCAGGCTGTTTTATGCCAAGAAGTTGATCTCAAAATAAAGCCTGCTCCTTCTCATGGCCTGGAAGTCTTGTAAATTCCTTTAAAAACCAAAAGACTGCATCTTCAGAACCACCTGTGAAGGAAAAACATAGGCACATGACCTTTTCTAATTGACTCTTAGCCCTGCTAAATTAGATGCTGAAATAATCAGATTAGGCATCTTCTTTCCCCTTAACCAAAGAACAGAAATAAAAATCAACTCGGTAGAATAGGATATCACTGCGGACTGTCTGCATAATTAAGAAGGGTACCATCAGCAACTCAATTTTCTCTTCCTCGATCCATTTATGATCCTTGGCCGAACCTCAATCCAATCACCCAAGTCAGAAAACCCAGATTGTCCACTCAAAATGGTGAGGAAGGATGAGAACCAGATCTTTTAACCTGAGAGTGCTTAAAAAGGAGTGAAAGACGACTCCTGTATATGGCGAAAGATGCAGCCCTCAATGAGAGAAAGATTCCTGGTCTTTCTATGCCTCCTTGGTGGTAAAAGATTAGGGATTATTTCCAAAGAAAAACCTGAAACAACAATGGATTTCATGGATACCTTACCAACCTCTAGAGCATGTTGTCCCCCATAGCACCTTGGGACATATGCAGGTCATTCAGGTTTTCAGATCCTGTGACAATATACTAATATAGTTATTAATAGCCCGACTTGTCTGAGTATGATCAATCCAGTTCCTTTTCTTGCACGTGTTTGGAAATGATTTTGAACTTTCTATCCTTCATGAATATTTGAACTATTATTGTGCATTTTTTGTTGGGTGTGTACTTAAACTTACAAGATTTCCTACATGTTTTTAATTTCTCAGTTTGATGACAGGTCATGCTTTTGAAGCCCGAATATATGCTGAAAATGTTCCAAAAGGATTCCTTCCAGCAACTGGAACTCTCCATCATTACCATCCTGTTCCAGTCTCGTCAACAGGTATCATCGTGTATCTTTGGTGATTCTTCACTCAGATTATCATTACGATAAAAAAGCCCTAATCTGATAATTCTAACTGTCATTCAATTACTTACCCTTTTGGGGTAATATTTCCCCTGGCTCTATTGAAATGAAAGGCATAGATAAGATTGTTAGGATTGCCCATTGGCCATTTGTAATGACTTTACTTTTGAGTGCACCCATTATTTTTCCTCCTTGTCCCTTGGCATATTCTTTGTGTTTTTCCTTTTGTTGAGTCTACGACATTTTGCAGTTCGTGTTGAGACTGGAGTTGAACAAGGGGACACTGTGAGCATGCATTATGATCCCATGATTGCTAAGCTTGTAGTATGGGGAGAAAATCGAGCTGCAGCATTAGTTAAATTGAAGGACTGCTTATCAAAGTTTCAGGTATAACTAACAAGGAAGATGCATCTTCAACACATTTTAATTGTGTTTGCAATGTTTGGTTGTTACCTCTGCTTGAGGGTGTACCTGGAACCTGTGAACGATGTTTCGTCCCTTTAAATGATAAATCCTTTATTGGATGCCTATAATGCCACTGGATCAAGTATGTTGCAATGCTCTTAACGAACAAATATTTCTCAATTCTTTTGGATGATTAAGAAAAAAGTGTGATCATTTGAAGATGGTCTGAATGGTTTACTTGGTTGACGTTTGGCTTGGGAGATCCCTTTGAGGAACCAACCAATTAACAGAATGCTCTGTTTTTGCAAAAACATATAACTTATTAATTTGGGCAAATTAGCCTGACCTCCACAGAGGTTTGTCTTAATTACTCTTGGCTCAAATTACTTGGTTGACTTTTGACTTTGGGTACCCCTTTGATGAACCAACCAATTGACAGAATGCTGTGTGTGTGTGAAAGCATACAACTTCTTTATTTGGGCAAATAACCCCGACCTCCATGGAGGTTTGGCTTAATAGCTCTTGGTGCAAATTTGTAAAAAAAGTTTGGTCAATGTCCCTTGAAGTTTGTTTGAAATTACTCTGACCTTCCCTATTGTTAGTTGCCTATTAGTCCAGTTAAAAGCCAACTAAAGAAGTACCATGAAATACCAAAACTACCCCAGTACAACAAAATGTCTAAATGAACCTTTGAACTATTTTAAATAATCATTTCAACCATGATTAGTTAGACCAAACTTCCGTATATGTGATCACTTAACCATCCCATCTTCATCTTTCTAAGGTTCAATATTTTCTCTCTCTTTTTAGGATATTAATCCTTCTTATTTCTACAATTTCTTGGAAATTTCTTACACTTAATCTTCTGATAAAGCTTTTCAATTTTCAATACTTCAATGATAAACTTCAAATTTAAAAAATTTCATAATATATATTTGAATTCATATAGATAAGGTGCATGTAAATAACTATAAAAATATAATTACGTATTCTTTTAGAGTTCCAACCTGATCTACTTTTCAATGGAGCCCATGGCTGAAAATCCTAGCAATTGACTCCCAAGTGTTCCGCTCATACCCATACCTTAGACCATCCAATCATCATCATAAATCCCAATATCACAATTGCAACAACAACAACAATTTGCATCATTTCTTGAAAGCCCACTCGTGTCCCCAAAAGCTAGAGTCCTTTGTGAAATTCTCAGCAGAGCCTCACTGTATTTCAACCCCTACCTGAAATTGTCAAAGAGGTTATCACGCTCTCATATGGTTCTCCGATGGCTGCAGCGAGAGAGGTGGTGCCGGCAAGGTGACGGCGAATGATTTAGCAGTGGTGGTGGGTATTAGAGGTGGTGGTTTTGTTGGGTCAGCAAACCAGTGGTGGTGATGTTCTTTTGATAATTTTTTAGTGTTTTTTTCAATTCGACCCTAGGGTTAAGATTTTTGTGGTGTACACTGGGTGGTGGTGATGATGGAGAGAGATAGAGAGAGAGGGGGGGACTGGTGGTGAAGAGATAAATAGAGATAGAGTGGAGAGTGGCAGCGGCGGTGGAGTGACTAAGTTTTGGGTTTCTCGTGAGAATAAATCCTTTGAGAACAGAGTGTTTCTGAGAGAGAGAGGGAGGGGGTAGTCTAGTCCTTCAAAGTTTTGGTCATTTACATTTGCATGGCGTCGTCTTCTATTGATATATTAAATTTTGGGGGTACTTTGGTAAATTCACAGATGTCGTTAACTCTCTTAACGGTTCATATAACTCTTGACTGTCTGACGTGTGTCAAGGTTATTTCTTAAAAACTGTAAACTGGAGGTAATTAAGGGAAACCTCTGGGGAGGTTGAGGTAAATTCGCCCTCTATGTTACATTAACCCTTCAAAAGTAGTGAAGTATCCGTGTCGGATACATATTGCTCAGACATTGGTATGGGATATGCGTCCGACACTTTTGGGTGGACACGTAGTTAAAAACCATATCCAATCATTCAATTATATTACATTATTAATTTAAAATGAGTTAAATGCCTATATTGAGCACTATATTAGATAAAAACATTACTTTACTTTAGAAAATAAAATTAAATAATTAAATACAATGAATATTTAGTAGCGTCCATGTGTCCTTCTGTTTAGAGATCTGACACATCCGACGCATGGATACATACCCATGTCCGACACACATACCCAAGTCCAGGTAACATAGTCCGCCCTAATTAGCGCACCATGCTACAGTCGGAATCTGACTATCTACTCACTGCCATTAGCTTATTTATATTTTAATAATATAAAAGATATTATATATCATACATGTTACAATATTATTTAATATTAGATAATATGTTATATTTATAATATAAAACGTACATTCTTATGGTTTAGTAGATCACTCTACTGGTTTTCTTCATTGATAATTCACGTCTGACAAATTCTACTGTTAGTAGAATTGTTTTTTAGTGTTAAATCTTCTTTCTGAGACATATATGATATTATAGAAGCTTCTTAATTGAATTACCTATGGTGTTTGCTTCTTTGCAGGTTGCAGGTTTGCCAACCAATGTAAATTTTCTCCTCAAACTTGCAAACCATCGGGCCTTTGAAAATGGCGAAGTTGAAACTCATTTTATTGAGAACTACAAAGATGAATTATTTGTTGATCGGAGTAATTCATCATCAGCACAAGAAGCATATGATTCTGCTAAACTTGGTGCATTCCTGGTAGCTGCATGTGTTTGTGAGAAGGAACATGCATCTTTGAAGGGCCGTCCCTGTGGTAATTCAAGGCTCACGACCTCATTTAGGGATATATGCTAGTTAATCCCAAAATTTATCTTACTTTTTGTTTCTGTCATTGTGTAGGGGGGCTTTCTATTTGGTATGTTTATCCCCCTTTTAGAGTTCATCATCGTGCTAGGCGTACAATGGAATTTGAGTTGGACAACGGATATGATAAAAGTGGTTCATGTCTTATTCCACTTTCGGTCACTTATCAGCCAGATGGGAACTATTTCATCGAGGTAATCCTTTGTATATCTGAAGAGAGAGTTTTGGTGATAATTTCTTGTATCTTTACTTCAAGAAAGTGGTCAATCTTTTCTCCTTTCACTTTAAGTAATCCTGTCCTCAAGTTATTTATCATGTAACTCAATATGCTTGCAGACAGGAGAAAGCAGTTCCCCTGGTTTGGAAGCCAAAGTATCACATTTAGGCAACCAGGATTTTAGAGTTGAAGCTAATGGTGTGAGCATGGATGCTAGTCTAGCTGTTTATTCCAAGGTACAGTTTATATGGGTGCATTTTCCCCTCAATCAATTGCAAGTTAGCAGTTGATATGCTCTTGCCAGCAGTAGTGTTGTTGTTTGCCTAGAATCCTACTGCAGCTGAGCAATGTGTTTTCTGTTTGGATTACTGTTGCTAATGCATGAAACTACATTTTTTGGGTGCTATAAAACTCCTTTTTCTCTGGGGTCTATGCATATCCTACACATGCCAGTACTTTGTGTTCTGTTTCAGTGATGGAGGTATTGCATATATGATGATGGAGATCCTAGTAGACTAGGTTAGGATGAAAACCGAGGCGGTGTTAGGAGAGAGAAAACAAGTTGCAGTAATAGAGAATCAAGAGAACTATAAGGGCTCCATTGCCTTTGTAGTAGTATTTCAAATATCTGTTTCAGTTGCAAATAGGATCTAAATCCGTGAGTGTTGTCCTTGATATAGGACATGTGTAACCCTCAATTCCAGGAACTATGTGCACATAAAGGGTTGTAGCATGCGCAACAAGGTGATGTGGTTAAATGGAGATACTTGCACAACGTGGGAGAATAACAGTGTCTGAGAAGTAACTTCCAGAAAAAAACAGTATCTGAGAGGTCATGCGACACCTCTCTCTAAAGCAGGCCAAGGTGTAGATTCAAAGTGAACACACCTCGAGGAACTCTTGCCTTCAACCACCAAGTCATAAACCTCTAGATACCTGGGTGGACCGTGGCATAATCCAGGACTTCCTCCATGGCTGTGCACTGAGCTTGAGGAGCTCTCTGGACCCACTCTAAAGCAGGCCAAGGTGTAGACTCAAAGTGAACACACCTCGAGGAACTCTTGCCTTCAACCACCAAGTCATAAACCTCTAGATACCTGGGTGGACCGTGGCATAATCCAGGACTTCCTCCATGGCTGTGCACTGAGCTTGAGGAGCTCTCTGGACCCAATCTTGATCCAAGTAGGTATAATATGCATTAGGATGTATGCACGGTAAGATGGATTTTTGATGGGACAAAGTGATGCAATGAGGATTCTGTTTGAGAAAACCAACTGTGCAGCTAGAGATTTTGCCTCTCGGGGGGTCAAAAAGTGCATGGTGGTGGAGATAGCCTTGTTGATGGTGAATATTATATTGAGAAACCTTGCTTTGTCCCATTTGTCGAAGTTTGAGATGTGGGCACCACGTCATCAACCGAGGAACCAATATAAATGGAGAAAACACTTTATGTAGATGTATCCACCTGTGCGTGGCAGAGAATGGATACTCATCAGTTGGAGGGTGATTCTTGGTTAGATGGAGATATGCCCGTGTTGGTTGCTGCCTTGGTGCCACGTGAGGACGTGTAGAGTTCCATGGTAACTACTATTTGGGACAGACATGGCATGGACATGACATAGAAAGGCATGTGTAGTGCCTACATGACGACTAATGGTGCCAGTACCAGCATTTAGCCCACCTTTGTGACAGTAAGTATTTAGAATAAACTTTATTTGGTGTGAGCAAATGAATCAGGGATGTCATTGTCCTTAGGATGGAGAACACAACTTCTCTTGTAGGTAAACTTTATTTGGTGTGAGCAAATGAGACACCACAAAGCAGGAGACTCCAACTTTCATAGACAAGAATAGTGAAGCCATTTAGGCAAGTAATGCTGATGTTGCAACTTTCAGCGCAAGTAAATTCTACTGCCAATGTGAAAATATCTGTTTCCAACGGCCCTATTTTTAAAGGTTGCTGGTACTAATGGATTCTTTGTGGTCGGTCGTGATTGCTATGAAATAGGTGGAATTTTAACAAACTGCTCTGTTAAGACTAATTATCTTTCAGATGTGCTCATGAGATTAACATGTTCCATCATTGATTGAACCTTAAAGGAGTCTTGCTGACAAATTTGCCTCAGGCATCTTTCTTCTACCTTTTATCACTTTTTCTCTGGCATTCTTGATTTTTATTAGACACTTAATATTGTATTTCTTCTGTACATGTCGTGCAAGAAATTGAATGTGTGTTGTTTTTATGTATGTCATGATCTTGTTTGCCCTGTGGGCCCTTGCTAACCGTCACTGTATTGCGTACTGGAACTTTTGTCCTTCTCATGGGTTTAGTGTAAGGAACAAGGTTTTCTTCCTTTGGGATGGTAATCATATAACTCTATTTTGTTTCAACCCACTTTACAGCCATCCCCACTAACATATGGGGAGATTCAGTCTATAACTCCGCTGTAGCACTGGCAATTCCACGGTTATGATTCAGTTTATTTTTGGTTCTTTATTTTGGAAAATCTGTAGAAGCCTTCCAAAAAAAACATAAATAAAATAAGAGGGGGAAGCTTGTCTCTCATTCTCTATGTATCTGTGTGTATTGGAGTAAGAATTTCCATTTTCATTTTCCCAGGACCAAACTGAGCACCTTCATATATGGCATGGTTCCCACCATCATCACTTCAAACGTAAACTGGGTCTTGAACTGTCTTATGATGATGAGACCCAAGACAATCCTGCATTCGAGACAGCAAATCACCCTCCAGGGACTGTGGTGACTCCCATGGCTGGTTTAGTGGTCAAAGTTCTGGTGAAGGATGGAACAAAGGTCAATGAAGGACAACCTGTGATAGTCTTAGAAGCAATGAAGATGGAGGTTTGTACTAGAGCTGGCTACAATTTTCTATTTTCCATTGATTTTACGGAATTTGAAATCTTCTCCTCTCTTTTTTTCCCCCTATTTAATAGCATGTTGTGAAGGCACCAACTGCTGGGTATGTCTGCGGGCTTCAAGTCACCGTTGGCCAACAGGTTTCTGATAGTAGCATTCTCTTCAGAGTCTAGGTTAGTCATTTGTGATTTTAATATCATAATATTGGCATAAGATTCACCCTCTGTTATATATGTACTACTAATAAATTGGTGATAGGTAAAAACATGTTTGGTATACAATATTTTCATGTTAAATGGCAACCTTTTGTTCTTTTGCCTTAGAGATTGTAGTTTAGTTTAATGTTTGAGCACATTACCTTGTTCAACTATGAATGAAATATAATTTAATGAATAATTTACACACTCATGCACTTGTTGTCATGGTTTATGGTGGTGATCAGATATATTCCAGCACATTAAATTAAGTGTTTAAATTGGAATACAATCAAAACTATATGTTTTTACTTTGGCTAATTATGTTTTGTGCCATTTCACTTCTAACAGATCCTCTAGCTCACCAACCTTGAATTCTAGTCAAGATAACTGACGTTAAATTTCTGTGTGAACCCAGGAATATGAAGTAAGCTAGAGAATAAAAAAGAATTAGCGATCACTATAAAATTTATAACCTACAATTCACAATTTAAATGAGAAATGTTATCATATTGTTTGAGTTGTCATATCTCTATAGGTGAGTAGGTGTTCTTATCGATTGATACTATCTACACTAGTGGAATTATTATGTAAATCAGTTATATGTTCTTACCTTGTACTGACAAATCCGTTCAGTTAAAACGAATATATGTTTTCAAAGTTCTCTAAGTTATCCAGATTCAAGCATTGAGATTGAACTGCTCAAGTGATGTTTTCTTTAGCTTTTCGTCGTGTGAAATGATCAATTGATCATTATGTTGTAATAATTAGTGATTGATTTAGCACTTTGGAAGCTTTTAACTTTGTAGACCCTTAAATAATATTTATAACTTGGCATGTTCAGTCAATATATTTAATTAATAATGTTAATTATGCTTGACCAGGAACTGCTCTTTTGTAATTAGAGTAGTTACTGGTTTTAAATGTGTGGATTTTGGACGTTCTCAAATGCTGAATTAACTCATCTCCTTTGGCAGGACAAGTGAAGGTGGTTTCCGTTAAAAAAATAAAAATAAAAAAGACGTTCGAAAATGGCCCGAGAGTTATTTCTTGCCCGGGCATGAAAGTTCCGTTACAGTAATTGGAGTCGCGTGATCTGTAATTGCATTTCTATGGTAAGAAAATAACTCTTTTTTTCTTTTCTTTTTGATAAGCATGGTGAGATACCATGCCATGTTCAGGATGTAACCAAACAAAGCACTTTTACACTGTACTTGATTTGGAAAAATAAATCATATATATCTACTGATTTCCTTTTAGCTTGTCAAGTCATTATCAGTCATGCCTTTAAAAAGCATCCATGAATTTATGATTCTGAGATACCAGATTGATATGCAAACCAAGTATGTAATTCATTTTATAAAACTTTAATATTGGTTAGAGTTTGCCTATGTGATCAATTTATTGCAATGGAGATCATGAGACTGACTACTAACTTTCTAAAGGTACAGCAAAATACCTAGCTGGTAAGATGCCTCCCGTTGGCTCTTGAAGCGTATGGGTTTGAGTCTTGGCAAAATAGGCTGGTATTTTTCAATGATGTTACTACTGCAAAGTACCAGAATGCTATCATACTCACTCCTTCAATTCCAAATTCTCTTTCCATCGAATTCCACATAATGCATGCGTTGACGTATGAAAACACTAGTGGAAAAAAAATATGTTTATATTCTTTGTGACCGATTCAAGTCAATAACGCCACACGCTAAATGAATGGGACGGTTATTCAATGTTTTGGATCCGAAGACATTTCTTTATTTTATACACACAAGAAGTCGCGCAACTCATTTAGCATTTTGGGTGCGGAAAGGAGGATTCTTCCTTTGACGCAAGACACAAACCACTCGTTTGGTCTATGAATCTATATATATATATATACACACACATAGTGCGTGAAGAATCCGACATCAATTCAAGAATCATTGTTTGGCACGGATGATAACATGTCAGTTGGATGAGTACTGCATAGGGCAATCCCAACTTTGGATGGCATAGTGTTGTTGCATGATCCTGAGAATGACAGTGACAGCAAGGAATGTGCAAATGACAAATGACGGAACATACAATTGTATGTGGACTTTTTTTTAACTCATGGGTGACTCCGAAATCATAGACGCTGATATTCTATTCTATATTGTAAATATACATACTCATGCGTATATTATAATATTTTCTACAAAAATGTGTGTGAATAGTTTTATTTCTCCTTGAGAATGGAGAGCCTTTTATTATTTGATTAATGATACTTGCACTAATTGTATCGAATATTTTTGATTGATTATTTTATTTATGCATAATACATGTAAGTGGAGGGCATCACCTCTTTATTTATGCGATTTATTATAATGAATTATCAAATCCATTTATGCATAAATAAAAAAGTGAGACCTTCTATTTATATGTACTATACATAAATAATTAATCAAAAATATTCGGTGTAAGTTTCATTACTCTTATTAAGCAGAGGTTTAAAATAGAAAAGCGGACGAAGATGTTCATAAAGACTAGACAGTGTAATTTCCCCTACGCATAGGCTTAAAATGGAAAAGCAGACGGAGATATCCACATATCTTTGTTGTCCTTCTACTTGTTTTTTTTGGAAAAAATATATTTGTGGTCTTTTGTTGGTTTGCTTGTAAAAATGTAAACTATAGAATGATTTTATGCGTTCCCTTGGATTGCCCAAAAGTTCTTCTATTTGACCTTACCTATATATATATATATTTTTATTAAGATATGATTGGAACCATCTTGAATAAAACGGAATAGGTAGAAAAAAAGTGAAGCATAAAAAGAGAGCTTTTGCCAAATTTCAGATTTATTGTGAGTTATGCATAATTTTATGTTGCTATAGAGATAATTTTTCGACCATAGAAGGGTTGATGTTATTGTTTATATTATTTACTGGAAAAATAATTTATAGGCATCCAGGGCTTAGAATTCCTTCTTAACACAAGCTAATTAAATCCTAATTCAGTCAATTTGAAAATTAATAAAGATATTTAATTACCAATAAATTCATGAGACTAGAGGAGAAATTCTATATTAAGTCGAACAAGTTATCATATGGTATATGAGAATAGTTTAATGCTCTGTTGATTTGGTGTCACTGAGTATGCACTGAGTTTATGCTGACTCAAATCTTGATCAGCACACGCTCCCATGCACTATGCGGACTTCAGACCAGTCAAGACGGTAATCAATTTTTATGTCTAGCTAGGAATCAAAAGATTTAACAAATTTGATCCTCAAATCTTGATATAGAAATAATTAGAAAAAATTAAAATATTTAAATCCTCTTCACTACAGAGTGATTTTCACTCTGCCACTTTTTTCCTTCGCTTAACCAAAATTTCCTTTATTTTTTGTTATTTTCCTTTAGTTGCGCGAATTTCCTCCATACCGTACCAAACAGGTTATAGGTAACACGTGTGGAAAACGTAATTTTACTTTGTTCCTTTTCTCTCAGTATCTATCGACACGGACAACGATTTAAAATGCTTTTGTTTGATTTCGAAAGTTGAACAAGTCGTACTATATTTATATACTACTCCAATATACTTATATATATATATGGAGCAGCTATTTCAGGCGGTCCGCATTTCTATATTTTCTTCCCTTTCCCTCTACGTTCTGTCTTCTTTCTCTCTCTCAATTTTGTTCTGATCAAATTTTTAATTTTTTTTTTTTTTTTTTGACTTCAATCTCATCCAGAGAAGTCTTATTTTTCGCCTTGAATCAATCGATTCAACGGCTTAGGTCGTTTGATGATCAAATCATATCCTACATCCCGCAATTAGCTTGAGTTTTGCGCTCTCTCATATCTTTACTGGGATTTGATTTTTATTGTTTCTCTTTTTGGGGGCTTTTCTTTGATTCTTTCTTATACTGGGTCGATTTTAAATCTAGGTTTCATTTGATATATTGCAATATATATGGTATATCTTTTTCCGTAATTATCTATCTTGACACAGCACTCGTTTGTCTTGTGATTGTGCTGTTAAAATCTAGACGGTGAAGTGAACAGAGAAGGTTTTATTGATGTAACCATGATGGTGAAAAGTTGAGAGAACTCTCGTCCATCATATATATATATATATTTCCTGGTAATAACTCTGTATTCAATTTGAAATTCGGTTCAAGAGATTATTTGGTTTATTTGTGTTTGCTGTGTTTTGATCATCGTGTTTGAGTCAAAAAAATAAAAATAAAAATGGATGCTAAGAGTAGTGAATTAGAGAAAGGAATTGAAACGGTGAAGAAGTCTGATAGCCTTGAAGGAGACAGTGGGCCTGACAAGTCCAGTACCCAGGAGAAGGGTGGTTTGGAATCAAACAAGTTGAAGGATGTAGGAAGTTTTAGTAACAAGGATATGTTTTTCAGGGCAGATAAGATTGATTTCAAGAGTTGGGATATACAGTTGGAGAAGCACTTGAGTCGGGTTTATTCGAGGGACACCGGAACCCGATTGAAGAGGGAAGAATGGGAGATTGATTTGGCAAAATTGGACATAAGAAATGTTATAGCTAATGGGGCCTATGGTACGGTGTACAAAGGTGTTTATGATGGCCAAGATGTAGCAGGTAATTCATCTTTTATTCTGTATGGTGTCAATTGTATTTGGTCAATTAGACTGCCTTTTTCATATTGCTTTTTGTTCCTCAATTCATGCCTTCTTATCTTCCATTTAAATCATGTTCCACTAAATTTAGTTGTTTTGCTTATTACTCAGAAAATTGTATGTTTTTTGGAAGGTGGAAATTTATATTTTGTTGATGCTAACGAATCATCACTCTTTATGAATCTTCTTCCATATTCATCCATATTCATGTAACGTGTTTCCATTATTGTATGTGGTGTTTTTAAGAAATTCACAGAACTTGCCTGCTGAGACTTAACTGTGATATTCCGTGGCATAATAAACTAGGCAGGGATCAGCCTAAATTTATTGCTAACACAACGCATTACATCCTAACGATGTTTAAGTAGTGTATGCAATAACCTGGTAATTCTAATTGGCCCATGATTGAAATGCATTGGCCTCATCTGAAGGCTTTTAGTGGTGCCAGACATTTTAAACTTGCATACACAAATCATGTATCACCATCATTAGAAGGTTGTGACAAAATTCTACGGTTGACATCTACCTGACACCAGCACGTTTAAGTTTCCTAAATAACTTTAGCACTAGTTTCTGACATTTTTTATTCAAATATAAATTTTTTAGAAAATTTCCTATGAAATCAAGAAGAAATATGTTGTGAGATAGCAGTTGTAATTACTTTCAGATATCATTTCCTACTTGTTGAATATGTATTAAAGGTTTTTTGATAAGCAAAAATGTGTGAATTATTGAATATTAATTTGATCAAATGGCAGCTGACAAGTAAGACATCACTTTTTATATTTAAGAATTGTGCCAAAAACTCAATCATTGGACAGAATATGAAGTGACTTCTAAAATGTGAGGTGTCTTTCGGAGAATTACTCTTGAGATGTGTTCATCTAAGTTGTAAGTACCTTTGATTTTGTGGATAGACTTCTAAAAGCTGTATCCTGAGGCTTCTTTCATATAGCTAACCTCAAACCCAAGCCTCACATAGTTAAATGCATTATAAGATTACTCTGATGGTTGGCTGGGGTAGTGTTTGGTGTTCAATATTGCCGTCTATCTCATATGGAACCCATAATTTTACAATATGCCACATGTTGATACAAGCATCTACAAGTATCTACATACATGCAGCTAAATAGCATGTCTTTAATTAAACAAATTATATGGTCCTGTATCATCTCTTTTTGTAATTGCGATAATCATAAAATTCAATCATAGTTCTTATTGCTGTGTCAAAGAGACTGGAATTGGACATATGCATTATTTGAATAGGTTCCCCCCCCCCCCCCTCCTTTCTCTTTTTATTTTTAGTTTTTTTTATAATAAGAAAAGATTGAATCTCAATTTTTGTTTGTTAAATATTAAGATTTGGTGGTAAAAATTGGGATTGGAACTTTTTTTATATGATTTTCCATTTTATTCTCAAGGGTGAACCACTGTTTCGGTGTTCTGAAGCCATCTCTGCATGTTGTGTTTTTAAATTGCGAGTGTGATAACTGTGGGTATGAAATAGGTTGAATGACATATTTAAAGTGTGAACACATACCAATTTTTTGTTTTAATATTAGTCATTGGTGAGATAGCATAGCTGTGTCTATGTCGATGTTCCTTTTGGAATAAATAAGTGAACATAAGTGTAAATTCCAAGAGTGCTGGAGAGAAGAGAGAGCGGTAAAAACTTCTCTGATTTGGTCACTGAGCAGTTGGACAACTCTTCAGTCACCTAGTGTGATCCCTTTGACACGTCTTTTGCTCTACACCCTTCAAATTCCTTTCTTGGCATTTGTATTAGAGAGAGCGCTATACGTTGTTCATTTGACTCATTTCCTACCGTCGACCTTTTTGTAACCCAAAATTGAGTCAATTAGACTTGGAAAGAAAAGAGGTAGTGAAACCCTCTCATACCATTTCTATATATCCTTAGATGTAGGACGAGTGTCCTGCCTAATTCAATGATTAGAATAATGGAGAAGGGGGAGGTCTTTAAAAAAACCTATATATTCTTTTCCCTTTATTTGAGATTTCCAAGGATATGGGGCTTCTTGCTATGCTACTTAATGACCCTACTAGTTTTGACAAATAAAAGATTGACTCAGTTGACACATTGGAAATGGATTTTTATTTTTTGTAGAAGAGATATATAATTGTGAAGAAAAAATTTACAACCCAATTATGTAAAAGTTATTGAAAAGAGAAGAGGCAAGATATATTGAAGAAGGTGGTGGAAGAAGAGGTAGATATAATTTCATACCGAAAAGTACAGTTCATGTGTATTTAAATTATATCCATTTTTTATGTATTTTTTTGGTAGGTTATCTTTTATATATTTAAATTTACTACTTGTTCAAAAAGGAGGCTGCAGTCTGCCTTTGCGTGACACTGTGATAGTCTCAATATTCACTTCAGTTAATTTCGTAATTATGCTTATGCAATTAATTTTAGTTGTAACTTCTGTTTACTATTTTCTCTCAATTTATCTTACAATTACGTTTGTGTGTTATAACTTTCTATTAACATGTTTTCTGTTAATTTTAATATGGAATGGAATTATGTTCTGCCCGTTATTTACCAATTAACATGTTTGCCCTCAAATGTGACAGCGAACACACTTAGTTATATACATTGCTTAGAATAATTTTTTGTAAGGAATTTATTATAATTTGTAGTGCCAACGACGTCTGGCTATATATCAGATGTATGTGTTAGAAACTATATTTGCATGGTAGCAGTGATGTTGTGAATGTCTCCGTTGAAAATTTTATCCTTCTTCTTTGTGCCTTAATTTTAAATAATTTAACCATCTTACCTTAGCTTTATTCTTTTCATTTTTTTATAGCTATTGTGTGTTTGGTGAATTTTGGCAAGACAATTGAAAAGGGAAGTTGGTGCTTGTCTTCTTTCCGTAAGAGTATAACATATAAACACGCACATACTGGTAGATATAATAATATACGTATGGAAACTATGTCATGTGTAATGGTCTTATTTCAGCATTATTTATAATTTTCTTAGTTTCAAGAACATTTATTTTTTCTGGGGATCCCATGTGCGGCATGGATTATTGATTACCTGTTAGAAAATGACACTGTTAGTTATTGTTATAGTCATTAATAATAATATTTCATTATTAGATTCTTTTATTAGCTTATCAAAAAATAATAATAATAAAGAAAATAAAGTACATGGCCTTGTTCACATTAAATTTGTTGAGGCCTTGTCTCTAAAACACTGCTGTTTTATGCTACTGCTTTCTAACTTGTGCGGAGGTTTCTTTTTTTTTTTTCCCCCCTCTTAAGGCAAAATTTGACCTGCACTTCATGCTTTTGTTTGCCCAAAATTGCCATTTTATATCTTATGGTTAGTTTTCAATAGTTGGAACTAACTTCAAATGGTTGTGCATCCTAAACTTCAAAGTTATTTACACTACATATTGATTCATCATATTGACAGATCCATCTAACATCATTTCAGGGTCTATACATACGCATAATATTTTTTTATGGGTGTATGTATGTTCATATGCTTGTGAGATGCACATATTTTTTTGTCCATATATGATTATAGTATTTATTAGTGATACTACAAAATGTCATAGAATGCTGGTCGCCCTCAGTTTTTGTTGGGTAAATTTCTGAAACTTCAAAAAGTTTGGTTAAGAGCATTAGAGACACCTGTTCTAATTAATATTCACTGTTAATCTTTTTCTTTTTTGGATATTATAGTGAAGGTATTGGATTGGGGGGAGGATGGAATTGCCACAGCTGCTGAGACTGCTAATCTCCGGTCATCTTTTCGGCAAGAGGTTGCTGTTTGGCATAAGCTTGACCATCCTAATGTTACAAAGGTAAGAATTTTATTATATTTCTAATCTCCCTTAGCATGTATTAAAATACTGGTGTTGGTCACTGCAATACAATCTCAACGTGTTCATTGAATTTAAATTTAATGGTGTCGTGCATTTTTATATGATTTTAACTAGTCATACTCATGCATCATCATCATCATCCTTGCCTTTATCCATATGGATGGGGTCGGCTGACTGGTTATATATCATGACTATCATCACAAGAATTATGGCGCTGCCGGAGACTGACATTTCTGGGAAATGCACAATTTTACATGATAAATGACCTTGCTAACTAATTTTCAATAATCATAAAATTCAAGGAATTAGCTCAACTATATTCATTTCTTTCTCATTTTCTTGCCTTTGACATATATTATGTTCTGTTATAGTTTGTTGGCGCTTCAATGGGAACATCAAATCTTAAGCTACCTTCACACGGCACTTCAAATGATGTTCTCAATTCTCACCCTTCGAGAGCTTGTTGTGTGGTGGTTGAGTACCTTCCAGGCGGGACGCTAAAGAAATACTTAATTAGGAATTCAAGGAAGAAACTTGCCTTTAGGATTGTGATTCAACTGGCTCTGGACCTCTCTAGAGGGTGAGACTTGCTTATTCTGTTTCTTTACACACACACACACACACGCACGTATATTATTTTATTTTTTAACTAACGGTTCATGTTTTTTATGTTCTATCTCTTGCAGTATGAGCTATCTTCACTCCCAGAAGATTGTACATCGTGATGTTAAAACTGAAAATATGTTGCTGGATTCTCATCGAACTCTGAAAATTGCTGATTTTGGTGTTGCTCGAGTCGAAGCTCAAAATCCAAGGGACATGACTGGGGAAACTGGTACACTTGGGTACATGGCCCCAGAGGTTCTTGCACTTACTCTTCATTACTAAACTATTTTTTATTATGAAAAGCTCTATGAAGAAGCACATAATGTCATTAAACCTCAAATATTGCTTTGAATTTTGTATATTTGGTACTTTTGGGACTACAATTTAGTTGCTGAAGGTTCTTACCTTTTTTCTGTCTAGAATGCCAGAAAAGAAATCTAATCGGACAAATTTTTAGGTCCTCGATGGTAAACCTTACAATAGGAAATGCGACGTCTACAGTTTTGGCATATGCTTGTGGGAAATCTACTGCTGTGACATGCCTTATCCTGATCTTAGCTTTGCTGAAGTATCTTCTGCAGTTGTTAGACAGGTTTGTCTCTTTCATGTACTAAATGAGATTCTCAAGTGGTTTCTGCTCGTGTATGTATGTGATTCTCCTTTGTTGGTGCATGTGTAATTATGCAACATGAAATGAGGTGAAAAAGTCCAACCCAATAATGACATGTTTAAGTTGATTAAATTACCTTGATGGCCTGAAATGTTTGGAAATACTGCATTGTTTTTAAATATAAGAATTGAATTAAAAAAAAGAAATTGATGTAGAAGTGTTTTTTATGTAGTTTGTTGCAATAATGGTCTTAACATCTGGGTTGAACTTTTGTAGTTCTGGTCAGGTCAAATGTGAATGCATTTGTATGGTGCTCAAGCTGAGAGCACATGCATCCATGCATGCTAAACCTTACCTTGTTTCTGACTTTATACTGATGGGTTTTATTTATTTTTTTGAATTGATCCGGACAGAACTTACGACCAGAAATGCCCAGATGTTGCCCAGGTTCACTGGCAAGCATCATGCGAAAATGTTGGGATGGAAACCCTGACAAACGCCCAGAGATGGATGAGGTTGTGAAGTTGTTAGAAGCAATAGATACGAGCAAGGGAGGTGGCATGATACCAGAAGACCAGTCTCATGGATGTTTCTGTTTCAGCACAGCTCGTGGTCCCTGATCTTTTTTCCCTATATATTTCATTTCTGTTGACAAAGATGTCATAAAGCATCATTGCAAGTACAGATCGTTTTGGAACAAATTTATACTCATATGAAGTTTCTGTGTGGCATAAATGATTGAAATTTTTACTCATTTCAGTGTGTGGAAATGCAGCCCTTTATAATGTTGCATTGTTGCATGAGGCTTTGTGCTAATGGGGCTGTTGTAACATTTTTTAGGTCATAGCTGCAAGATTATTATCATTTGGCACATCTTTATCAGATGCCTGCCTTCTAAAATTAGAGCCCAGTGTGATGATAAATACTTCCAATAGCAATCATTCCCATCAAGACGATCATTCTCTTCTTCATTTTCGTCTTCCTTTTCTTTTCTTTTCTTTTTCTAAAATTGTTTTTTTATATATTGGCATCTATATGCATGCATTGCTTGTATAGGTGTAGTTCTGAAAATAGTAGATCAGATGGTGTTCATTTTTACTCTACAGTTACTTAGCAAATGCCAGAAGGAGAGGATGACTTGGCGAAGATTTGGTCAAGAATGTTGCAAAACCTGTGATTAAAATAAATAAATAAATAAAATGGAAGACAAAAAACTTTAGGGGTGTCTCACATGATGGTGGGGCTCATCCCTTACTGTACCCTTACTCTTTCTGTGATGCACAGATTAATCAGAATGTATGAGTCAGAAAAAGTTCATTTGTGTGAGTGAACTCCGCTCAGTTTTTGAGAGCCACATTGATAATGTTAAGAGACAGTGGATTTGAAATTGGGTTCCACCATAATCACTGATAAGCCCTAAAAGCACTGTGTGGCCAATTTGATTTTTGTCGGTGTAGATTGGTGATTGGAGTATCAGGATTATTCTAATTGTTGGTGGGAATACAATCTTGAATTGTACAGTGAATGCTTATCACAACACACAAAATCACAATGTGGATTCTTAATCACCCCATGTGTATCTCTGAATGTGGATTCTTAATCACATCCAAATACGTTGCCATGTGTCTCTCTGATCCTATATTGTGCTATGACGTCATGCTGAGTCGGCATGATATCTCAAGAGGATAGAATATAATGGGCTGTCACGATGTGAAAAGTGGAGCATATTTCCAAAACTACTTGCGCCGAAAAAGGATTGCATGGAAGACAAGTTTGTTCATGGTTGGCACTAGTGGGCCTATTAAGATAATCTGAGCCAATGCAACCCATGTTCACGAATAATGAACCTAAATGAGGAAAATCCAACTTTTGATTCGTCTGTTTAACGAATGTGTTTAACATCAACTTTAAACAAGTTTGAGCTTGAATTGTTTGATTCATTTAAAATTTTAAATGGAAGAAATATTTTTTTGTAAACAGAAATTTTATAATTGTTTGGTTCAATTTTTTTACTTTTTATTGTTCTAAAAACTTGAAACAAAATTGATTATTTTTTAAAGAAAAAAAAAGAAGTGTATTTTAGATTATAAAATTTTATATTTTCTAAAATTGTTATTTATTTTCAGAATTTTTGAAAATAGTTTAGATAACTAAATCAAAAATTTACAAACACGTATTCCAAGTGTGCAACTTGTGAAGGTTGACCGGTCAAAATTTCAAAATCTCATAACTTTTTATTTTTATTTATTTTTTTCCAATAACAAGAAACACTCCACATTTGCTTTTGTAGGAATTAGAAAAAAAACAAAAAAAAAATAAAAATAACATTAGTTGAAAAAAGAAAAGAAAAAAAGGAAAGAGTGATAACATTAGTTCGAAGTAATAAAAGAAATGATAATAATCGTATTTGAGAAAAGAAATGCTAATATTTTTAATAAAATTTTGTTAATATTAATTTTGCCCTTATTTTTATAAAAAAAAAATTTACTAAACATTTTTTTTTTTTTATTTCCTTCCATTTTGCATTATTTTCTTTTCCTTTCATTGTCATTGTACCAAACAATTCAAATCTTTTTTTTTTTTTTAACACAAACAATTCAAATCTTAACTATCCACTTGTGGCCCACAAGACTACCACGGGCCCTTGTTATAAACCCCATTATCTCTATAAAAGATTGGAATCGCAACACAACCCACGTACCCACCTCAAAGCACAGTGTTTGCTTGTCTAGCAAGAGGAGAAAACTCCTAACTTGGCCGAACTCGTTCCTTCTCTCGCAATGGGACTCGGGAATGTCGAAACATCGTCGTCTTTGATGGTAGATTTCCTCCGTCAGTCTGGCGGAGTCGCCGTGATCGACGGTGGCCTCGCGACGGAGCTCGAAAGTCTAGGAGCAGACCTCAACGACCCTCTCTGGAGCGCCAAATGCCTCCTTACTTCGCCTCATCTCGTTCGAAAGGTACTCTCTCTCTCTCTCTCTAGGGTTTTTCTCTTTTTGTTTATTTATTTTTGGTAAGTCTCTGTAGAGATTTCGCTTTTTCTATGCAACATTCGGTTGACTTGGCTATATGTTGTTGTTTCCTGTGATCTTGAAAATTTCATCTTGGCATTTGAATCTCGTTTTCTGTTGACACTCCTAAGTTCCTCGTTTGTTTGCTGAGAAAATCCAATGGAAAAAAATTAAAAAATGAAATAGATGTCTAACATGAATAGACTATTCCTGGCCCTAGTCGTATAGTGGTTTTTGAAGAAAAGTGAAAATTACGCCAAAACAATATATATGAATCAGACTATTTATTTTATTTTTATTTCTTATTTTTTTGTTGAGGTTTGTTTGAAAACAACATGGAGTGAACACATATAGTTAATAATGCGGATTTAATGAATATATTTGTGTGTGTATGCACACACTTATATACAGTTGAAAGTGTTGAACTGAAGTGATCATGTGTTGCAAAATCAGTTGTTACACAGTCATTTTGGAATTTGAACTTGTGTTTCTGGAATGAGTTTCTTGGATCAGAGTTTGCAGTGGTTTGAATACATACATATTCTGCAGTAGGTATGAGTACGGACCACTAATGTGGGTGTGGCTTATGATATCTTGGAGATTAATTATTCTGGGATCTGCGATTTCATGAAATTGCATAGATCAGATCAAGGGGTGGCGGTTACTTGAGCTGTTAAAGTAAATTTATGAGTTTGGACCACCACGTGGACATTTTTTCTGATTCAAAATGGTGGTTATCTGTTTCTGAAGAAAATGTACAACCTAACAATTTAACTATTGAAAATTGGATTGCTTTCATTTGTGTTTTGTTGCAGATTTTTTCACTAAATTTTAAAAATACACGGGAGCACAAAGAATCATCTTGAATATGGTGTTTGGTTTTTCTTTGGCAAGAACGCATACAAGTAGGACCACAAGTCAGATGCCAAAAGAATTAATTCTAACCCATACAAATTCTATAAAATCAGTTTTGGAAAGAATATGCCATTTATGTTGCTAAAATTTATATTTTATCATGTAAATCAAAATTTTGTTTTCTGTCCGGATGCACTCGATTAACAATGAAGACCCACTCTAATTTTTCTAACGCTCGCATTGTATGGTGAGGACTGGCTGGTCGGTGGAATTTACTGCATGGGATTCTTCTGAGATCTCAGTTAGTTTTTCAACAAGGTTGATTCTGTTGGTAAAGAGTTACTGTGAAAACTTACCTCAAGTGGAACTATTGTCCATTCGTGCTATATGACATGCTATTTATTTATTTTAATTTATAAGTAGTTAAGTACAAAGATATACTGTCGAACCATGTGGAATTTTTAATGGTTTGTTTGTTCTGTGGCTTCTGTCCTTGTAATTTTCATGGGAATGTACCAGGTCTGGATTTTTAAATTGTGAAATACACATGATTTTATGAGTTTCACCGGTAGACGATGAATGTGGAAAATGTATTTCCATGAATCCATTGAGACAATTGGCTGATGATTACTCTATTTATTATCTTTGCATAATAACCTATTTGCTAAATAGAGCAGGTACACCTTGATTATCTTGAAGCTGGTGCGGATATAATAATCACAGCATCTTATCAGGTTATTTACTCTCTTGTAACTAAATCCCATTCCCCTCTCCTCTTTCCCTCTCTCTTTCTCTCTCTAATTGAAAACTCAGGCCTCCTTGTATGTGGACAGGCAACAATTCAGGGGTTTGAGGCTAAAGGCTTTTCTCAAGAAAAAAGCGAATCTTTGCTTAAAAGAAGTGTGGAAATTGCCTGTGAGGCACGGGATATGTATTATGAAAGATGTCTTGAATGTTCCTGTGATAGTACCGGTGATGGTAAAATTCTCAAAAATCGTACCATCTTAGTTGCAGCATCTGTGGGGAGCTATGGGGCTTATTTAGCTGATGGTTCTGAATACAGGCAAGTTGACTCTACTTGGTGAATTCATTGGATAATCTTATGTTTTCTTCAGTTTTAACACGACTCATACCTCACAATTTACAGCTGAGCATAAATAGCTCGAGATATGATTTTGTTGGCACCATTTTTAAATTTATCTTCATTTGACACTGTTTCTTATCCATTGTATTGTGGATATTTTATCTTCTCTCCTTATTGAATGTTTTGTTTTTGGAATTTTACTTAGTTTGTAAATATATCTACTTGTGAGAATGTGCCGAGTTTTGGCCTAGATTAAAGTACTATGTGGAATTCTCGGTATATGTCATATTTACCTATTTTAGTTTGCTATGGAAAATATGGGTAGTCATTTTCACTATTATGGTTTTTTCTAAGCACAGTTGATATTTGTTAAAGACTCAGCTTATAACACGACACTTTTTGACTGTGTCCACTTACAGTGGGGACTATGGTGATGCAATGGATCTCAAGTTTTTGAAGGATTTTCATCGGAGAAGGGTTCTGATTCTAGCAGAATCTGGTGCTGACCTAATAGCATTTGAAACAGTGCCAAACAAGCTAGAAGCTCAGGTATTGACCATATTGATATTTTTACATTTAGTATTTAATTCCTTTTTTCCTGTCATATGGAGGAAATTTGAGGTAGGCTGAGCTTTGCCATTCTCAGTGAATGGCTTAAACTACAATGGTTAGAAACTTCTTGGGTTTCTCAATCATGTGCACTGTTTTTGAATTGTGGCAAGTATTCGAATGAGTGATTGAGAAACAAAGCTTGCTTCAAGATGGGGTCAAAACTCTGGATTGTTGTTCACTGAGAATGACGGCTGTAGGTGCAATCCTGGTATTGCATATTATAATTTGATACTGGCTTTTATGATAACAATCATTGGTTCTCATCCAGGCTTATGCACAGCTTCTTGAGGAAGAAGACATAAAGATTCCTGCATGGTTTGCCTTCAACTCCAAGGATGGTATTAATGTGGTCAGTGGTGATTCTTTGCTTGAATGTGCCGCAATTGCAGAATCATGCAAGAAAGTTGTGGCTGTTGGAATCAACTGCACCCCTCCTAGATTTATACATGGTTTGATTTTGTCTATTAAGAAGGTACTATATTATGCAGGTTTCTGCTCTTTTCTTTTTAATTTTTATCTTATTTTTCTGTTTTGATTTAAATATAAGATCTAACAAATATATTCTAAAATCTTAGATACCTTGCTTCGGTCTATATGGGTACCTTATAGTAATCACTTGGGCATTTCGTTGTTTGAGTCTGTCTGTGGTGCTAAAAACTTGTAGCAACTTTGAAATTATATTTCCCCACTCAACTCTGTACTAATGATAAACAGTGGAAATGCTTGTCATTACAATTGGGAAGTTCTCTCTTTCCTAAATTTGATATGAGAAGGGTTTTACATTTCTTCTTTCATAATTTGATCAATGAATTTTGAAGGGTTTGAATAATTCTATTTTCATATTGCTTTGGAACTTTGTTCTTACTTTGTTTAATTTTTCCCTCAGGTGACAACTAAACCAATACTTATATATCCAAACAGTGGTGAGAGTTACGATGCTGATCGAAAGGAGTGGGTGGTAAGTTTTTTCATTTAGGTTCATAAGTTTGTATACGAGTGCCCAATGTAATTTATGCTTAGAATTTGAAGGCACAATCACATTTTTCCATGATGGAGCTGCTTCAAAGAGAGAGAGAGAAATAAAAGAAGGTGGTTTCACTTGATAAAATGGGTCATTAGAGTGTTAGGGACACATCAGTGTCCAAATAGCCTTATATGGTTCCGAATCTATATCACACCTCATCCTCTGGACTCTCGCTTGAAGACCTTGAAGAACTTCTATTCTATTGGCAAACCTCGAGGAGACTATTGCAGGAAACGACACCTCAAAAGAGCTGCCCAGGTTGGAGGCAGAACTTAGGGGGCTCACACATACCTCGTAATGTCACTTCTTGGATCCTAGGGGCATTTGTCCTGGTCCACCGTCCACCACAATTATATTAATATAGTTCTATACAACTACTTTATTGGACTTTGGGTCCTGGATTGTGATAATACCCAGAGATCCTTACCCCATGGTTATTGATTCCTCTACCATTATATATAAAGCTCTAAAGACGCTCCTAAAGAAGGAGAAGGAGCAACTTCCTTAATCTTTCTCTCTATAATAGCTTTCCTTGACAAAGAATTGATCATCCCTTCTTCAAAGATTCTTTTCATTGATGTGAATCTCACTCTTTCGGATATAATCCTTGCTTTTTGCTCCATCACCGTTTCACGATACCAATCGCTTGCTTAGCCTTCCCTTAGAAAACACGGATACGAATATGGTAGGTATTCATAAAAAGAAAATAATATAAAATAGGATAAATTGCATGAATATCACCCACTTGAAAATAACCCTCTCGAACCACAAACTGCCCCCTGAACTAATGAAATAGCTCACTTAAAGGACATGACATCAAGCATGAAATTTGAAATTACGTTTGTAGAGAGAGAGAGGGTTTTCTGAGGTTACCTAGCATCAGCTTCACCAGAGACGACCCTCGAATGGGTCTGCCATGGAAAGGGATTGTGATTTGAGAGAGAGAGAGAGGTTTTCTGAGGTTACCTAGCATCAGCTTCACCAGAGACCAGACAACCCTCAAATGGGTCTGCCATGAAAAGGGATTGTGATTTGTGGCAAAAGAACAATTTAATTTATTTGGATGAAATAGTGAAGAAGAAAGGGAGGTGAGGGCTGTTTTTTCTTCTTTTTTTCACAGTAAGGTTCTTCTTCTCCCTTCTGTAGGCTATTTCACATCTTATTAAACCCCATGGAGAGAGATCTCAACAAATCTATTTTGATAGTGATGGTTTAGTAGGGCTTTGCATTACCAAAAGAATTGCTCCAACAATTTTTCTTGAATGAGGTTTGAGCTATTGATTGATGTGAAGTTGAGAGTTTTGGGTGGTGTGAAGATATTATTTAATTTATTGAGTGAGACGCTGAAGGTGTGATGGAAGAATTTTGGTGGTATCTTTTTTTTTTTTTTTTGATAAGTAATTTTGGTGGTATCTTTGAACCAGTAATATATTGGATATGTTTATAAAGAATAAGAAAAAATAAAATGGTCGGGTCAATTTAAAATGGGTGGGTCATGTGTGGATTCTTTTATTTTTAGGGTTGGTTTAGCCCAACAAGGTGGAAGGGATTTGGGGTTAAAACGTGTTAATCCATTAAATTTGGGTATACCCTAATGGTCAAAAGGGCAACGATGTCTTATTCAAAAAATGGGTTGATTGCGTGACTTGTAGCCGTTGATGCGTCAACGGATGTTTAACGGCGTGGGGATTTTGTTAAAAACAAGATAGTTTAGAGGATTAATTGTCTAACTAGTAGTTCAAATGGGTTTCTTGAGAGAGAGTGAGAGAATACTTCGGGAGGGTTGATACAATTTACGCTATAAATAGTTTTTGCTCATTTTCTCCATATTATAATGATTGAAATTACTAATTCGAAAATTAAAAGTTCTATGTTTGTTTTTTGTTGTTTTTATTTTCTAGTTAATCCATAATATATTTTAAAATTGTATCAGATTCACATTCTTTACGAAAAATAATTACAAAGCTATTGTTGTGTCTTGAAAGTGTCTCAAACGTGTTCTTGTCATGTTGAGCTGGGGAAAAAAGAAATTTAAAATTCAGGAAAATTCTAATTGTGTCAGACATGTGTCTAGTCATGTCCTATACCGCCTCATAGGGGTGTATAATGTGCCGGGACGGGCTTTGGGAATCCAGGTCCGAGCCCGTCGAGCTTTGACTTTTCAACAGTTTGGTCAGTGTTGCCTGGGCTTACAATAAAGTGCGGGCTGGCGGCCGGGCCAAGGGTTGAACCCTATACTCAGGGCCTACCATCCTTTTATAGGGTTGGGCCGGGTTGGCCCTCCACGCGCTTGGGCAGTGCTAAAGCCCGACGGGCTCGGGCCAGCTCGTGGGCTTTTGATCATTTTTGCACTGTTATGCCTCGGCACCTCCAAGACAATTGTCCGTGGTTCCTAGGCTTTCCCTTTCGGAGTCTGCTGTTTTCTCACTCCTCGGCTCCTAGTCTCATTGTGTTCTTTGAAGAGTTCCTTTGCACTCTTCCGGTTCACGCTGCGGTCCCAATCTTCGATCAGGTTCTTTGCACTTTTTCGGTTCTGCACCACGCCCCTACTCTTCAGTGTCCATCGATGGTTCTTCGAAGGGTTCCTTCGCCTTCTTTGGTGTCCCACAACAGTTCTTTGAAGGGTTTCTTCGATTGCCAGCTGCAGTTCTTTGAAGAGTTCATTCACCTTCTTTGATTCTGCGCTGAGGTTTATTTGATGCCCAGCGGCGGTGCTTTGAAGAGTCATTCACCTTATCTGGTTTGGCACTGAGGCTTCTTTCTTTGGTCCCTACTCCCTAGTGGTGGTTCTTTGAAGGAACCATTCATTCTTCAGTTCAAGTTTTTGAACAAGTTGTTCTCGGAGTGGTCGGATATACTTGCAGAACTCTCTTATTGTCTATTAGGGGAAGCTTGAGGAACTATCAATTAGCTGCCTTCCCTCATTCTCTTTGGAATTGACTCGACTTCCACCTAGGCCGGCCACCTTGGACCCTTTGCCAACTGTCTGTCATGGTGCGGATGGTGCCTCCATCCTATTCATCAAACCGTACAACTAAAGTCTAAATAAAAAGTCTCTTAGTAAACTTCAGCTGCATGATTTCTGGAAATCTTGACATTGATTTAGTATGCAAAATAAACACCCTTCAAATGCTTTGAAGAAGAAATTATGACCCATCTCATATTCCAAAGGGGAAATGATGAGTTGTTTTAGTTGCTAGGTTGATAAAGTAGTAAATTATTTAATTTTGTTATATGGTCCCAGTTGTATCATACAGGGTATAAAGCTAGTGGCTAAAAATTGTTGTAGATTCAAGTTGTTGATCTTCTATGTTTTCCATTTTCCCAACTTGTGCGAGTAGCTGGGATCACATTACTCTTTTTTTTTTTTCATCGGATTTGAAAATGGGTTTTTTTATATTTTATTGTGGTTGTCTAATATGAATCCCATAGAAAGGTAGGTAGCATTAGGTTAGTCAATTTAAAACCTTAGTTGAATCTTTGTGAAACATAACATGGAGATTTTTTATTGTGTAAAATGCTGAAAATGTTTTCATGTCCCAAATTATTTGGGCAAGGCTTTGTTGCTTAGTTTAATTGATGACTTAATGTACTATTCACATAATTGAGCCAATGATTCTGCTCAGGCATGCAGAGAGCAGCCTTTTTTTCCCCCACCTTCTTGAGAGCAAGCTTCTTTTTGTTGTTGGTGTCAAAGACCAACTCAGTGCATAAACTCTGGTTTGATTATATGGTTATGTAACAGGGATGAAAGAATCATTTATTCTGCAAAACAGTGATTTGGGACTACCATTGCTCTATTGTTGATTTGATCTTTATGGTTATTCCAAACTGAACATTTTCTTTATTTGCATTTTTTCTGTTGTAGCAAAATACTGGGGTTTCAGATGATGATTTTGTCTCTTACGTGAGTAAATGGTGCGACTTGGGAGCATCCCTTGTAGGAGGTTGCTGCAGAACCACTCCGAACACTATCAAAGCCATATATAGGACCCTTTCCAATAGATCCGCTGCCTTGTCTCTGGAATAATCACACTGATAAATGAAACTGAGGTCTTCAATTATCACTCCTACCCGGATGCTGATCAGATTTGGTGAGGTTAAACTTCTATTGTCGTTGCAAGTTGGGGGTGGAGATCCTGGCCCAAGGTGTCACATGGTTTGGTTGGAACCAGGTTCCTGTTTCAGTGGAGATGAGGTTTAATTGGATGGGGTAATTTTTTTATTTTTTAAAATTTTTTTTTTTGCTAAGCAGAGCTTATGGGAGGCCAGGTGTATTACTTTTGTCAGGTCATTTTCGGGCGCTGTAATGTTAGCATGATAAATTATACTCTTATATAATTATGTTCGAAATTTATTCAGGTATTTATTTAACTTGCTGAATTAGGTTAGGCATGATAAATTATACGCTTATATAATTATGTTCGAAATTTATTCAGGTATTTATTTAACTTGCTAAATTAGGTTAGGCATATCGCCTTCCATCTTGGTTCCCAACTTCCCATGAGACCCATTCAATATATAATCCCATCCCACAGAACTTCTTTAATCAAATTGCAACCTTCGTTTTTATTTTTTATTTTGGAAACAATGTGCATTTAGTTTCTGTTCATCTTAACAATGGATTATTTGAGGTAAAACAAAAAACAATGGATTATTTGTACCTTCTCTTAGGTGGCTTTATCAAATTGAAGGTTGTAGAGGGGGACAAGCTTCATTTCCACAATTTATATTGCAAATGAAATAAAAAAAATTAGTTGACTGATGTAATTTATGCCTAGTTAAGGGGGAAAAAAAAAAATCAATTGAGACAACAAAAATGCGATTTTCATTTTTGGATTTTTGACTTTTAGTTTTAGCATTTTTATATTTGATTTACTTTGACTTTAACTTGAAATATTGTTGCATGATTTTTAACATACAGTTTTTAGTATCGGTTCTGTAGAGTGGTAGTAAAGGTGACTTATCTATCAACTTTTCTACTATTACTCCAAAAAAAACAATCTGTAGAGTGGTAGTAAAAGTGACTTATCTATCAAATTTTCTACTATTACTCCAAAAAAAACAAACCTTGACTTACGTAAAATTGCCAGAGTGCAATTAACCTCGTCCCTTAACTTTTTCAGTTTACATATAACTTTTTAGCTTTTACCGATAGTTTTTTATTTTCTCACAAAAAATATTTGTTTTTGACTTTTAGCGGCGGTTTAAAACATCATCACGACATTTGTATATAATTTTCAACTTTTAGCGACGGTTTAAGAATGTAACAAAAGTACAATCGCATCGGCCAAAAAACAATTTTTTGACGATTTTATTGAGCTTTTTTTTAGCCATCCCATCAACTAAAACACAATTGTGTGATTCAATCTTAATTCTCTGGTACAAGAATCAATATATTTGACAAGTTGGGACAACCGCCATTTACTTGGTCGAATTTCACTAAACTAACAGTTGTGTAAAAGGAGAGAGAGAACTCCAAAATGTAAAAATTATTGGTTCTAATTCCTCATTAGGGATACACTTGGTTTATCTTACCAACTAAAAAAAAATGGTAACAAGAAGGATTCATATAACCCACCAAGACTTTGGCTCACCAAGACTTTGGCTTGAGCCGTCTATAGGATTTTTTCTGTTTCTACTGGTGCATCTACGAGTAAAAATCACTTTTTTACTTGTTATTTTTAATTTTTAAACTGATGATATGGCACAGTGCTACCGTTCCCGTTCGAGAAACCAATTGTGAAGTGCTGTAACTGCTGTTCACACCTTTTTAGCTCTTACAAATTTTGTATCTTATTCAGAGGGGGAGCACTCACTCATCATACAATCATGCATTCCACTTTGACCGACTTCCCTAAGCTAAGTAGTTCAGTTTTCATGATCCTGTGGAAATCAGTTTCATCAAAAAGCTATTGGAGGTGTCTTATGCGTTGTAAAATTGAGATACACAGGGCAGATCAAGAATCAAAACCAGAATAAATCCCACTATCCCTTAGCAACCTCTTCTCTTCTTCAACGTAACTCTTCCCCCTGCTAGCCTGACCAATATCTCGCTTCCTCTTCTCCTTCTGCGAGAATGAAAGATTCTTCTTCTCTTTCTGAGTAAGAGCATTTGACAGCTGCTCCCCTTCAACAAGTGCAGCTCTAGTTCTCTGTCGTTCTTGGTAAGATTCCTCAGTGTCTGTTGTACGATTGTCCTTGCCATTAGACCAAGACCAGTCTTGCTTCTTGTCATCCACCTCTTTTGGTGGAGGCACACTCAAAACTGACAGTCCACCTTTATAGCCATGTCGACTCAGAGCTTCAAAATCTATAGCCCTGCTCTTCCGCTTTCCAGGTATAACTGTTCACATGCAGCTAAAACAAGGTTAAGGGAATGAGGAAGTTCTTCTTGTCTCAGAAATACAAGAGAAATTTAGAATGATGAATGACAAGTCCACAAAGACCATAGCTGCAGAATTCACACACTAATAGGTCCCACAGACACAAGGAAGCTTTCTAAGTCCAACACGGACACAAATAATTGAAAATCTAATCTTGGAATTTTTTCAATGCATACACGTATATTTCGCAAACCCAAATTGATTCTTGACATTGAGAAGCTTAACAAATGGTCTGTGGAAGCCGTGTACAAAAATAGGGCAACAATTGGTTTGGTTGGGTAGGAATCTCAGGCCCAGTAAAAGCCTTAGTAGGCCTTGGGCCCAACTCAACCCGATCTCCAACCAGAGCCACACACCCAGCCCAAGTTCAATTCTAAGAGCAAAGGCTGTGATCAAGTTGTCTGATCCAGGCTGGTCTCGGCTGGTTGAGGACAGGCCAATTGAGTTACATATACAGTTCAGGAACTGATTCATTGTTCATCGCTAGAAAAGCTAATGCTGCTAGTGAATTGTGAATGACAGGATCATGGATCAGGCAAAGTTGATGATAAAAATGATCAAATTTTCATATTCTAAACAATAAACACTTCAATTTTTTAATTCCATTGTCTATATTACATCCAAAGAACTATAAATTCACACATCTACCGAGATTCTCGGCCTACAATCTATTTAAAAAGAAAAATGTATAGATTAGATATAAAGCTACCAAAAATGATCATACAATCCTTGCTCTTTATCTGATTTAAATCAAGAATAGTTTCAGAAATGCAGTCTATGGTTGAGCCAAGGTGTGCCACTAGTTGCTATATTGGAAATTTTCCCAGATTCAAATATTTTTTCAACTGTAGAGACACTACCATGTGTATACCAGTGCTGCCTCTCTTTAATTGCACATTAATACCTCCCATCCTGCACAAAAAGGATTCCATACATCACACGCTCCAAATTTTTAAGGGCGTCAACCACCATAAACTCTCTTGACATGCATGAAGATTGACATACAAGCAGATGATACCTTAGGTAACAATCGGGTAGCAGTGGCATAGCATCAAAATTAACAAATTTGATTGTTCACCGTTCGCTATTAGAAGAATGGATTTTTTTTTTTTTTTTTTTTTTGTTGACAATTTAATGTTCTTCGAAGTACATGGATAAAAACAAATTATAATGGATAAAAATGCATAAAAATTTACCTTCTTATTTGAGAAATTTAGTAACTTTATACTTGTTAAATTCCCAAAAGAAGTCTAAGTTCAGGGTGTTGCAGAAGGTCTTGAAGGCATATTGGAATGCATAAGCAGTAAGCCAAATTTAACACTACACAACTGTATTACCCAGTGTTTGCTGGAGGAAATTATGCTTAGGTAATCCAGCAAGCACGCATTGATGGAATTTGCACTACTACATGAACGTTGTTATGTTAAAGACGTGATCACAATGCAAACGACAAACCCTTCTTGCATCTGATGAGGCAAGTTATGATTCACATACATGAGCTGCATGTGCTTCGCTTCTACTTTTGGAGAAGGGGCAAAGATAGATGAAATTAGGGATTTGATGTAATTAGGATTAATTTTTATTTTTTTATTATTTTGGTAACGTTTTAATTTTAGGGGAATTTTTATACTTTATTATTTAAAGATTTTTAGGCTTTGGTTATGTTTGGCCTATATAAAGGCTTCTATGTAACTAAGCAAATCAACTTTTGATTATTGGAATATTAGTGTGGTTTGAGATTTCTGTGTGTCTCCTTCTCTCTCATACTTTTTGCTCTTCTCAATCCTTCAGTAAAACCAACCTATCATTTCAATCTGTCTTCTCATCTCTTTTTTCTAGCCACATCTCATCTATTCATTCCCATCCCCTTCTTTCATTTTGGCTCTAAATCTGTATTAAACAAGCCTACTCGTCCTACATCAACTTGGTATCAAAGTGAAAGATCCAAGCATTTTGTTACTAATCATCTCGAACTTCGCCAAACACAAAATCCCTTCAGCCTTAAACCCATCAATTATTGTTCACAACCAAAACCCAACATTGTTCACACATAGTCCAAACAAATCCTACTGTTCGATTACCCTTCCAACCCAATTTAACCACCATACACAGCCATCATTTTTTTTTTTATATTTTTATATTTTTTTATTTTTTGTAGAAGTGGGGTTGGTTGTCCTGGAGTAATAATTGCCTCTTTTAAGTAAGTAATACTTTTCTTCATGAGTTGCCAAGATATGTGTCTACTTTTTAGCAGAAGCTGGGTTGGTTGTTCTGGTGTAATAATGGCCTACTTGAAGTCCCATCAGTCTCATCAGGAGTTTGGCAGTAAGTGTTACTAAATTTCATGAGTCTCCAAGATATCTTGAATATCTTTATCGGAGAATTCCCACCACTGACCTAAATGTTCTTCTAGATCTTCATTAAATGGTTCCTGGTCCTAGTCATCTTCTATGTTGTCACCTTGTGTGCTTGGAGCAAAATTTATGCAGGGATCTTCATCATGCATACCTTCATTAAGATGGGACTCCAAAATTTTCATGATTTTAAGTTTGAAATCTTTTTGAGATATAGAAGTTTGTTTTGCCAAAAGTCTCTTAATTGGTTTTCTATTTAAGAAAATTTAATTTCGTTTGCATTTTTAATAAATTGGGCAGAGACTACTGATTTTGATCTAAATAAACTACTCATTAGTATTTAAATTTCTATTTTGTCTAGACTTTCCCTTATGTGAATAATATAGATAACCTAGCCTCTTTCCCCTTCTTTCTTCTCTTATGGGTCTAATGGCCTAAATCCTATGCAACTTGGGCGAAGACCAAACATTCAACTGAATAGAATTAAAACACTAAATTAATAAGTAGATTTATAGTATGTTTAAATCAATATACCAAATGGCTCTGATATCACAAACAACCCAGGATAAACTAAAATAAATAATTTATAAATAAAACTATATCTTAATGAAGGTTTTACAGGATGGAGATAGCTCCATGAATTCTGCTCAAAGCACACAAGGTCACAACTTGGAAGATGACCATAACCAGGAACCCTTTAATGAAGATATGGAAGAATATTTAGTTCGGTGTTGGGAATTCTCCGATAAAGATATGCAAGATATTTCAGAGACTCGTGAAGTTTAGGGTCTTAGGATTTAGTTATGGTTTTGCTTATAAAAAAGGCTTCTATGTAACTAAGCAAGTTAGCTTTTGATTATTGGAATATTATTGTGGTTTGAGATTTCTCTCTCTGTCTCCTTCTCCCTCATCATTCTTGCTCTTCTCAATTCCTTTTGATCTGTCTACTCATCCCCCTTCGTCTATCATCTCATCTTCTTATTCTCATCCCCTTCTTTCATTTTGGTTCTTAACCTATACTAGAACAAGCCTACCCGTCCTACATCAACAAGCCTATTTTTTTTTTTTTTTTTTTAAAAAAAAAAAGAACCTCCATTTTCCTTACAATTAAACACCATAGCCAATGGTAGGACACTAACTATTTAGTACTCATCATCTTTTAGAACCTAGCATAATCTCTCCAAAAACCCATCATATGAATTCTATAAGTTTCAACTGGGTATAAATGGGTGAGTATGTAGCACTAACCAACAATTTGAACTTTTGGGTAAATGAGAAAGCACCCATCCGTTATAGTCGGTATCAAAACCAGCCCCAATCCTTCATCTGGTGTCACGCCAAGCGTCCGGCCAGGAAGGTGTCCAAGTAAGCTAGTCTGGGTAGGCAGGGTGGTCCGAGTCGCAACGAGAGCGTTGCGAGTTTGGGCGGGAGAGAATGTAAGAGGTCATTTGTCCTACATCGGATCTGGATGGAAAAGTGATTGGGTATAAATGAGTGGGTATGCAGCACTACCAAAAGTACCTAACAGTTTGAACTTTTGGGTAAATGAGCAAGCGTCCACCCGTTACACTTAGCCTATCAATCATTGCCGAAAAGTAAGAATATCAAAGTAATTGTTTGGCTTATGTCTGAGAACATTCTTTTTTATTTTTACAATTCTTTGAGAAAAATTAACTTTACTAAGTCTACCCACATCAAATCCTCAGTTGAAAGATGTCGAATTGTCCTAAGGGTCATGCCCTTTGTCTTGACAGGAACATGTGTAGGGACACTATCCACTTTTGATCTAGGAGGAGTTACAGGGGATTAAGTATTTGAGAACCTTCTGAATCTAATTCTAGGAGTATAAAGGATTTTAATCCCTCTAGAAGTCCAAGGTTTGAAAGAAAAAGGGATTTCTACTGTCAATCAAACATCTCCATAAGCCTCCAAACGATATCCGCATAAATTGAGTTTGATTTGATTCACAATTTTCATGTAAAATAGTTATTTTGGTAAAATGAAAAAGTTGCAAGATAAATTACCTTCAGGTGTTTTTCCTTTGGAGGTTCTAACCCTTGTGTTGTTCTTGCCAGAGCCATCACTAGCTTCTGTGTCGGTATCCAGGGTTGAAGATTCATCAGATGATGAATCATCCTCTCCATCACTCCATGGCATTGCCCTTTTCATGGTTTAAATACGACCTGAAGCAAAATAAAAGAGCACAAAAGGTAGCTAGATAATAAACCTCTAATGAAAATGATATAAATATAAGTAAAAACATACACATTAATCAAAATCAACAGAGCCAAAATGGGTTTTTTTTTTTTTTTTTTTTTTTTTTCTTCCTGTTATGATCTATACAACGCCGCCAGCACACGTTTAGCTTGCTCCTTGCCCTTCGGTAGTTGAGGGGAAAAAGATATACAGTAAACAGTAAAGTTCCAGGGTATACACAACTAAATCAAGTCAGAGGGTTTGACATCAAAAGGAGTAGCAGTCAAAAAAAAAAAAAGTGAATTTGTTGTTGACACAGCTCTTAGAATAAAGTCTAACACGTTTCCAACGATGAAATAGGTTTATACTGTCATCCTCAAAAAGAGACCCTAGATATACACAGCAATAGATATACAAAATGCATGTATATATATAGATCATACACAGTACGACACTAACTTTGCGATACGCAAGCATATGCATATATAAATTAACCACTGCAGAGGAAAAAGGCCATCTCAATCGTTAGGGTTCTACGAAAATCTTTACTGTTCGTAACCCTAAAATACGATCAACAATTGAAAATATATATGGATATAGAGAGAGTGGAGAATACTTACGAGGTTGAGGATTAGGGTTTTTACCGCAAAGGGATGTGTATGGTTCAGAATCAACACCAATCAAAACTAGGGTTTGGACAAGACGATGTGGTTTGAACGATCGATCAAACAATAATTTGGGTGCCCGTGTATTTTTTATTAGCAGACTCGGGTTTGGACCGGTTAGATTGAGGCGTATTGGGTTTTAATACGGGTTTGGGTCTTATAAGACCGGTCTGTTTTAAAAAACCGAAAGCGTGAAAACCCCACCATGACCATTAGTCTCGGTGCGATTATTTCCCCAGCTGAAATCTCTGGTATGATTTCTCTCAGCGCCGCCGCACCGCTCGCTTAAAAACCTAGGTACAACTTCTTCGCTCAATTCCCTTCTTCCGCTCCATTTCACTCGGTAATCAGTAGAATATATCTGCATATGTATGTATATATATGTGTTTGTTATTCTTTATGTGTTCTATATCTTCACTGTATAGGTGTCGTAGGGTTTATCTATAACTTAGGGCACGATCTCTTTAACGGATTTTTTTTTTTTTTAGTCTTTCATCTCCATCAAGTGGGTGTATGTATATATATGTCCTGTCAAGAAAAATTTTAAAATAAAATAGAAAGTTTAACTGGATATTTATAGGGTGTTCGGCTTCTCCTAACTCTACTAGGACTATGATTCAAAAATAGGATGGAAACTTTGATTTTTTTCAAAACTATTCAGACATTAAAAATCACATTTATTTTATTTTATTTTATTTTACTCTCACACATTCACTATCATAGAACACCCTTTAACTTTGGAAGGTGGGGTTGGGGTGGGTAGCCGGGGGTTTACCAGGTAGCTACATGTCCAAAGTGCGCATAGTTGCGGGGGTTCCCATGTCAAAGAAAAAAAAGAAAAAGAAAAAAAAAGTACCACTATTAAACTAGAGCCCTTGTTATAAAAAATCACATATGAATTTACAAAAAAATAAATTGACCCCTGACATTAGAACTTGAACCACTACTACAATAAAAAATGAATTACCTTCCAACTCTTAAAGCCTAATAAATATAAAATAAAACCATAAGCATACAAATTTAAAATAAACATGAATTAATATTTGAATCACTATCGAGATACTTTCCATTAGACCAAGAAGTGTCTTCCTGAGTGCCATGGGATCCAAACTCTTAACTTTAGGCTTCCAAAGAGGGCAGGTACTAGGTATTCTCCAATCAAGGAATTGTTACTGCATTAATCAATGGCAGTAAGGCAGAGGCTGTAGAAAATTGTTTTGTACATGGGTTTGAAGTACTACTTTTCCCCAAGTACGCATATTGAAGGTGGGGATAGATGAGATGGTTTTGATGCTTTATGCTTTGACCTGATATGCCTGACGTTAGAACCTATAAACATCCGGCATATTTTATTGTGGCTACTGGCTGAGATTAGTGATTTCCTATATCTTGTGTATCCGTCCTTCATTGAATGCATATAGCACCGAAGAGAACTTTGAGTGCTGTTTTTTCTGTTAGGACTCCCTATATGTTTTGTTTAGATTAATCCTTTCTTTTGCATTGTAATTCTCTTTACATAATTGCAGTTGTGAGATAAAGTATATAGCGACTTCAGTAATACCAAATTGCTCATCATGGAAATCAAGGTGGATGGGAATGATGTCCCCTTAACATTGCTGAAACAAGGCGCTGAAGCTGTAAGTTCAGCTGTTGTAGAAACTTGTTGCCAACATGTACTAACTCATTCTGATGCTGTCCATTCGTGTGATGCTGTCCATGTGCACCAACCAACTATTATTATTTTTCTGTTGTGTCAATGGGTTATGAAATTGTTGTATTGTCACAACTAACAAACTCCTCCGTGCAGGATAAGGTTTATATTTTGTATCTGATTCATACGTTGGTGTCTTGTTTGCTGCTTTCTATGTAGATTTGATGTATGCATTGTCTTACCCAATTTCTTCTCTTATATTGCCTTCTTTCTCAGAGAGTTTTTGAGTCAATCTTCGTGGGGAGGAGGTCCGTTGTGAAGGAACGCTTCTCAAAGAAGTACAGGCACCCATCACTGGACTCAAAGCTTACTCTCAAACGCTTAAATGCGGTCAGTTTATCTGAATGGAGTTGATCATCCACCTGTCTATCTCTATGAATAATGATATAATGATTTTATGCTTGGCTGTTTTTCTGACTTCTCATAATTCAAATTTTGGAGCAGGAAGCTAGGTGCATGACTAAAGCTAGACGACTTGGGGTTTCTACTCCAGTGCTTTATGCTGTCGACCCTGTGCTGCATACCCTAACATTTGAGTATGTGGAGGGTCCCTCTGTGAAAGACGTATTCCTTGACTTTGGATTACAAGGTGTCATTGAAGAACGGATGGAAGATATCGCGATGCAGATTGGTGATGCAATCGGCAAACTGCATGATGGTGGCCTTATTCATGGTGATTTGACCACATCAAATATGTTAATCCGAAGTAACACCAATCAGCTGGTGGGTCTTACTTTATTTTAATTATATGGGGGTTGCAGGAGTGCTGGCTCATCTGTCTTTTCCTTTACAATCCCATGCTAAATAGTTATCTTCAATCTGCATTACAGCCATTGTTATCTTCTCTTAGGTTCTCATTGACTTTGGACTGAGCTTCACATCAACCCTTCCGGAAGATAAAGCAGTTGATTTGTATGTACTTGAGAGAGCTTTGGTATCAATGCATTCTTCATGCGGGAATGTGGTAAGCGAATTGGATCTTCTTTCTTTCATTTTTTTTTTCCTATATGCTCCAGTTATTGTAGTGTGACAGAAAAAGAAGAAGCAAGAAGTTGGAATTTGTGACTAATTGTGCTTTCAAATTATTAATTATTTTCCCCTCTAGGACAGCCAAATTGAGTATTAGCTTCTTCCTCTCTCAAAGACATTTTTGCTTGGCATCAAAGTATGACTCAAGATTTGATACAATTATATCAATCACGATGATGCATGAGCTTTTCATTTGTTATGTAGACATGCATATGTGCCCATTAAAATAGGGGGTTATAACATTATTATATTGAAATTTTAATAAAAAAAAACATATTTGCTCAAACATGAATTGTTCACAAACAAAATTTCCAATCAATGTACTCCAGGCCTTTTCAAACTATTATGTTTTTTACATTCTTGCATAGATGGACCGGATACTTGCTGCATACAAGAAGTCGTCAAAGCAATGGTCACCAACATTTAACAAGCTGGCTCAAGGTTCAGCCCTATTGTCTTATGTGTTCTGTTCATGTATTGTTTTTGAAGTTGATGTTCTGTGTGTCATATTTGTTCCATTTACTTGTGTTCTTATTGCCTCACAATTCTTACAGTGCGACAAAGAGGTAGAAAGCGCACCATGGTTGGATGAGTTTCTTCACCTCTGGTCCACATGAAAGTAAGAGAACAGGTGTCTTTGTGGATTGATTAATGTCATATTGCAATCTTTGATTTTAATGCCACCACCTCTGTTGCTTTTTTTGTGCGTGTATACCAGACTACCAGTGATTGAAATCAAATAAACAGTTAACATTGATTTGCAAGTTGTTATGTACAATTGGATGTAAAATGTCCCCCCTAATTCCTTGGGGTGTTTCAGACATCACGTCAATCTAGTATTGTAATCAAAGTATCTCGAACCAGTTCTTTGACTTTCATATTTCTACAAGGAAGAAGTCATCTGAATCAACTTGGCGTTATTGTGGCGCATGTGTAACACTTGGGTCGTGTATTGAATCTAGTGTTTTTTGAATTGTGTTGCTTTCCTTATGACATAATTGTAGTGTATGTGAAGCCTTGTGCACAGAAGGGGACCTATCTTTTTTTTCTTTTTCTTTTTTTTTTTAATTTTTTGCAAATTGTATTAAAATGGAAAAAAGATACATGAAAGGCCTTTGGCCCACATAAGGGCAGACAAAGCCCATAGGCAATCCCAACCCGAATCCACCAAGGGCCAACCCAAAAAGTTAAGGCCCAACCCCAAAGAAAAAACAATAACTTCAATTAGCAGTTGCAGCATTGCATATTTTTGCGAAAATATAAAATTGCAAATCTCTATGTACGCACTTGGGAATTAAGCTGCAAAAATTGATTTGCATCCCCTTAAGGGATTATTATTGTTGACCTGCTCATCGTCATCCTGACTAGGAGCATACTCACTCTTCTTTATTATTGTTAGAAAAATGGGATGGCAAACTCGAAGTTCTTGCAATCCTAACGACAACCATTCTTAATGAAACCGTTGGGAACCATAATATTATTGAGCAATTGGAATAAAGTTATTTATATCAATCAGAAAAACATTTTGTAATTACAGAGATTATATTAGTGTAAAAGAAAACATTTGTATTATGAAGCGATAGGTTACACATCCATATATGGTACATTAGTACCTCATGTCTGCCTCCTACCCTTGTACCATGTCATGAAGAGATTGAAGAGCGACAGTACAAGTGTGTTTGTGCAAAATAATGCAGAAGTAGGTCTACATTTATGCATGACCATTACTAAATAGTGTCTTTTTTTACAGTACAAGTGTGTGTGCGCGCAAAATAATGCTGAAGTAGGTCTACATTTATGCATGACCATTACTAAATAGTGTCTTTTTTACAAATGTGTTAGAGAAAAGGTACAAATGTACCCGCAAAGACATCAAACAATCTATCGGACAATGGTAACAAGTATTCGATTTTATTGGTTGATTATAGATACTTCCATTCGTAATTTTATAAATAAATAATTATTTTTTCTCAAATACCGCAATTACCCGTTCAGTTATAAAAATATGTCTTTGTCTCACTCTCTCTCCCCAATTTAACGTCTCTTAATTATTTCTCTGTTTTGTATATATTAATCATCTGCTTTCTTTTAGTTAAGATTTAATATTGATCTTTGTATGTAACAATGGAAGATTAGTACTGGAAGTATGTAACAACTATCAAAACTTCATAAACCATTCAATACCATCCATGCTAATATTGATGGTAATTTTTTTTTTTTCTTTCTCGTATTGTATTTTGAGTTTAATTTCAAATTTTTTTCCATTATATAATTTCTAAGAATTAATTTGAAATGTATTTAAATCTTGAAATTTTTCTTATTGATGAGAAAAGCCCTGACTGTTTTGATAATAAAATTTCAAGAAGGATTTTATGAAAAAAAAAAAATGAAAAAAGAAAAAATGTGAGAGATGGATGTTATGTCAAAACCTACATCCATGGAATTCACCTTCCAAATATCTTCTTTTTTTTTTCTCTGGATATAATCTTTCTTTGTTTTTTTTTTCTTGAAAGATTAACAATATATAATATTAATTGAAGACAATAGAAAAAGAAAAAAATCATTCACTGCAACATAGTTCTTCAAGAAAAATATTTTATAGAAGGAAGAATTTTCAGATGACTATCAAAGAGTAGTTTTTCTATCTAAAATTAGTTAGTACATTTAATATATGAGGTAAGTCTAATGAGGACAATTAGTTTATTGCCACATTAAATTATCATTTTTGAAGTAAATAAAGAAGGTAACAAAAAAAAAAAAAAAAAAAAAAAAAAAAAAAAAAAAAAAAAACCTAATTCAGCCCCAACTAATTCAAAGGAAGTTATCAACTAATTCATTCAAGAGCAAGGATAACAGCCCCAACTCAGTAAATAAAGAAGGCTAAAAAAAAAAAAAAAGTTTATAGTACAAAGGAAGTTATCAAATAGTAATTCATTCAAGAGCAAGGATAGTAGCCCCAACTCTAATTCAAACCCACACCAATTCATTTCCCCGACTCATTGATATTTTCCCGCCAAACTGGAATCAGACCTTTCTTTGCAAGATTCTCCAAGATACTTCTCCTCTCTCTCTTTTTCTCTCTCTCATGGATGGTCTCTACAACACACACGTAAAGCTCCTCGCCTTCGATTTGCTTTCTCTCACTCCGACCTCCTCAGATCCACCTTTTTTTTCTCGCAGAGGCACGCCCCTCTCACGTGCCGAAACCCTCGGCGTCGTCACCAGCCGAGAGCTCAAATACGACAGATTCCTCAGATTCACTGTTGACGACGGCACTGGTTGCGTCCCCTGCGTCCTCTGGCTCAACCAACTCAATTCCCCACACTTCTCTCGCCGCAACCCATCAGATGTTCGATTAATTGCCGATATGGCCGCCACTTTCGCCTCCAAGATCCAGATCGGCGTGGTCGCCCGGGTTCGCGGTCGGATCACCGCCTACAGAGGTACCCTTCAAATTACGGTTTCTGATGTTGTGATTGAGAGAGACCCCAATGTAGAGATATTGCACTGGTTGGATTGCATTAAGTTGGCTCGCAAGTGTTACGATGTTACACCTTGCAATAATTAGAACTACTAGTGATTCTGTGATTGTTTATAGTTAATGAATTGTGCATTTTCAAATATTGTCCATTAATTAAAAGCTTTGTTCTTGTCATCTTGTTAGTTGTTACAATTCAATTAGTTATAATTGATTCTAAGGTGTATAAAATAGAATATGCAATTAAAATTTTGAACTAAACAAAGTGACAAATCACTTGATGTTTTTAGTTCAGTACTAAATTACTAATGGAGATATGTAATGTTTTGAGAATGTTATAGTGATGGAAAGGAGGTATTTTGAGGATGAGGTTAGCATGCAAGTAAGGCCAACTGTTTGGAACTGAAATAGCTGCAAATACTAACAACTGATTCATTACAGATTATAGCTCTAAACATATGGCAAATACTAAGTGGGTACTTTGTTATAGCAACCACTATCTTGATTGAACTTGAATCATTCTTTGTGGTGACAGTTCTGGATTACCCAATAGGAGGCGTTCTTCTAATTTATATATAAATTGATGGAGGACGGGAGATTCTCGCTTTATGGGTGCTTGAGATATTGCTTATAAATATTCAAGGCCTATTTGGCTAGCTTAATGCGTCGAATTATATTTCTTTTCATGTAAACATCGAACTAATTTGAGTATAGCACGTTCTGTTAGCTCTGCAACGCAAAACATCTCCTTATCAAGCTTGCATGACATTCTGGATTGCGTAATAGATTTTGTTCACTTCTCCATTGATAAAGTAAAATTTGGTTTGATTGAAGCATTTCCTATGAATTTATTGAAGAATGCAAAGTGATTTCTCTACTTGAATTGGTTTCCTATGCTGTTGTGCTACTGTTTTTGAAGTTATGCCGTCAAGCTTGCAGATAGTAATTCCAGAGGACCATTAGAGGATTCTATCAAACCCTACTAACATGATTTACCTATATATATATATATACTCTTTTTTTGGCGGAGGGGTTGATTTGTTCTTCTTATTAGATGAATCAAACACTTGCCCTGCTCATATTGTAGATGGTACCCATTGGCAGAAGCAGTTTGTATCTTCAAGAAATCTTTGCTTCACTATTCCATGATTTATCATACGTATCCATCACAAGAAATGAGCTGTCTGATACATGAAGAGATTTTGACCAAGCAAGCATTTGTGAAGAAAAATGTCCACTTGGACTGCCAGAGTTTGTCAACAATGATGGTATCATTATTATTTCCCCTGTAGTGTACTGATGCAATTGGATGTTTTTGTATGTCCACTTGCCTTCTTTTTATTTGTTTCAGCATTCTGTCCTGCTGCATCGCCTGTTCTTGTAAACTTTGATATTTAATTGATAAATAACTCTAATTTATATTATCATTCAATGAGCAGACCAGTATTTCACATTTTCTTTTTTCTCATTTATTTCACTCAATAAATAAATTCTGATCATCGGGGTATGTGTGTGTATGTTGATGAACAATAGACTACTGTGGCATTTGAGTCCGCGCATGAGCAATTGTGCATGAGTCCCGGAGTATTTATAATTTTTAGGGTTAATTACAATAACAACTCCTGAAGCTTACTTTATTTACAGTCATATATAAGTTAACCCATTTTTTTTAGAATGACACCCCAATTACCTTTGACACATAGTGAATTGACACTATTATCCTTTGACTTGTTAATGGATTTAATTGAATAATATAATTACCCTTTTAACCTTTTTCAAACTATATGTATGGACAAAAATAACCCTATGTAAACCTTTCACGCAAAAAAAGAATACCGGACCCATATATATAGACCTCTCTCTCTCTCTATCATAGTTCACCATACCCATATAATATAAATCCAAACTGAACAAGAACTGTGAAATTTTATATATATATAACCCAATGGATATTGGACGGGCGAGAAATCCAAACTGAACAAGGCCCAATGTAAACTGATCATCTCTGTTATGTACATATATGAACATATATAAATATATATATATATATATATATATTTATATATATATATATATTGTAAACTGATCATCTCTGTTATGTACATATATATATATATAACCCAATGGTGGTCGAACAAGGAGATCGCACTTGGGCGAAGGAATCGACTCATTGAACTTTCGAGTGAGAGACGAAGAAGAAAGCCGTAATTCGCTGGCCGGACTAACTCTAAGCACAATCCTGGAGAGCGAGAAGAGAGCGGCGCCCGTTAACCGGACGCTCCTTGACATCATCCGAGACGACCCCAACGGCGGTTTCAAGAACAACAAGAAGAGCTAGAAAGTCTTCAGGAACAAGCTCCGACTCCGCCGCGCCGGCGCTGCCTGGATCTCCACCCTTCCAGTTCCGCGCTCCGACGTTCGAGTTCAGAACAGAGTGATAGTATCTCGGCGAAACTCAACTAGTTCTGTGAACACGCAAAATCAAATTCAACCCCAAATGTCAACGTCCCTGGCAATTAACAACGGATTGGTGGAAACAAATTCAGTTCCGAATAACAAAGGATGGCGAGTCATCGATAGAGGCGGTGGCGGTGGAGGCGGGTGGGGAGTCGCCGGTGAGGGTGTCATTGATGGCATTGTTGGCGGAGACAGACAGAGAAATGGGGTTAGATGGTTTGGCATATATGATGGATGATGATGAAATAATGGAAATGGAGGCGGAGGAGGAGGAGGAGGAGGAGGAAGAAGACCACGGTGGAGGCGGTGGTGAAGGTGGAGGGTATAATAACTGCTGTGTGTGCATGGTGAGCACAAAGGGGCAGCGTTTATACCCAATGGATCTACTCATTTATATATATATAACCCAATGGATTTATATTATATATATATAATATAAATCTAAACTGAACAAGAACTGTAATCTGATCATCTCTGTTATGTACATATATATATATATATATATATATATATATATAACCCAATGGATCTACAAAGTCGAACCAAAAATTTTAAAATGAAACCCTAATAACAACAACGATTGGAATCTGAAATACGCAGCGGCTGGCCAGGTTGAAGATCACCGGCAGTGAACAACTACCCAAAAACAGAGGACTCCTCGGAGTCACAATCCAGTCCGTGCTCCACTGCCGATGAAAAACCCCATAACTAGATTCTTTATTAATCAGGTTCGTCCACCATCAGTGCGACTCGGGTTAAAAACTAGGGATTAGGGTTTCATTATGTTATTGCAGAAGTTGGAGAGAGAAATGAATAGACATTTGGTTCTGAAAGTTTGAGAAAGAGATCAAATTAATGGCTTAGGTGAGAAAGGGCAAAAGTGTCTGTTCAAACCTTTTATATTTTACAATTAAAATCAATCATATATTGATGGGTAATATTATCTTTTTAAACTTTTAAAGGGTTCGTTTGGATCAAAATAGTGACGAGGTGTCATTGTCTGAAAAATGATTAACTTATATATAGTTATCAATAAGGCAAACTTCAGGTATCATTATAATTAATCCTAATTTTAATTTTTATTTTGGTCGTGGGGGAAGGTTGGATGAAGCAGATGTAACAAACATTAAGAATGTAACGTGGTTTTGGTAGGTGAAACCAATTCAACAACTCAGTTCAAATTTATGTGTAAGTCGAGAATTTATTGGTACATCTATCCACATGAGGCATTCTTCTCCCTCTGTCCTCCTTAAATACCCCCTTTTCCTTTTATCAGGTGCTATCTGCTACTGCTACTTTTAAGAGTTATGGTTCAAGATTAAATATTATGCTATAGATAGGAACATGAGATTTAAAGGAGAGAAGAGGTGGTGTGTTGCACAAGGGCTATCCCCAACTGTGTGTGTGTGTGTAAATTGTAATTACCACCATAGGGACCTCTTATAAAATGATGGGGCAATATGGAAGGTGATGAAGCTACGAAGGGAAGGCAAGAAAGACGTTGACAAGATCTTTGCCCAGGTCAATGAACTGAAATGAAATCAAATGGACAGAAAAAGTGTTTGGTAAAATAGAAACCCTCATTTTCTCTCAAAAGTGAAAAGCTTCACATCACATTGAAAAAGTTCACTTAAAATTTTTTTTTTATTTTTTATTTTCTTGTCTTTCTTTGTTTTGGCTCTTGTGGATAAATATTCTTGCACCTTCAACAGGAAACAAGCTTGCCATATATATGAAGAAAACGAAAGAGATGATATCATATGCTCCATTTGGCCTCATGTACATAGAACTAATTACGACAATAATAAGAAAGATAATAATGACAAGAATAAGTGATGCAATGGTAATGCATACATGCGTTTGTAGCCTAATTAGTATATTATAAAAAGAAAAATGATATATATATATATATAAGCCAAATATTGAATCCTACCATGCCTTTTCGCATCACTAGTCTATCAAAAATCTACTCGTGCCACATAAACCAAAAGTTTCCAAATTGGCTGATAAGAAAGAGAAGAAAGATTTGACATGTGTTACTAAATTTTTCATCTACTTTTTCACTGTTCTTTCTTTCATTAATTGTTACTCATGTACCATATAATTAATATAATCACAAATTCTTTAATTTATAAAAAGATTGGTGATGTTGTGACACAGTACTCTGAAAATCACATGCATCAAGTAAGTTGGGAAGAAATTAAACTCGAGGTCTCTTGGTTATCATCAAGAAATCTCATTGGAGAGGCATGTTGAGGATTGTTAATTGCAAAAGTAAAACCAGTGAATCTGCATCAGAAGCAATATGATAATAATTTATGGACAAAAGAAGCAAAGATGCTTTGGAAATGGCTATTCCTTTCGGCAGATGGAATGACATGAGAACAATGCCCCACTCAAAGACAAAAGGACCAAAATATCCAACAGCTTCAAATGGTTATGAAACCCGTGTAAGAGAAAAGAGGAGGGTGGTGGCTTAAGAATGGGTTTCTTAAAGCAGAAAAAGCAAAAGAAACACACAAGAAAATCAAATTCCCTCCCAGATAAGAAGATACTTTGCCCAAAGTACAAATTAAAGATCATCCTTTGACTGCCTCGTGTGTCTGTCTCTGTCTGTGATATCTCAATTCATTGGACAAGGGCAATTTGGGAAAATAAATTCAACACATGGCTCAAGTTTTTAATATTGATGAGAAATCCATCAGAGTAAATTTTGAAAAAAAAATTAGACAAATTATGATTGCAAGGGTATGGATAAGCAATATTCTTTTCTTTTCCTTTCAATTCACCTCTTTTGTACAATCAAACATCGCATTTCTTGTTTTCTATTAAGGAAACTAAATGGAGTGGAATTTTTTTTAAAAAAAGAGGCTATATACAGTTGTTCTTAAAAAATTATATTTCTGTGTGTGTTTGGTAGAAGATTCCAAGTGTTTTGATTTTCCCCAAAAAAAAAAAAAAAAAAAAATTCAAAAAAGAAAAAGATTTGGCAATAAGACTAACTAAATTTTCTAATAAAAACTTATGTATAATGGATATTCTTGTGAAAAGTCAATTAACCACGGCTACATATTATATATATATATATATATATATATATATATATATCTGTGTGTATATATAATGGCAGCAATGTGATGTCTTACATGGCAGATTGGTAGAGAGGATAAGGTCCAACTAGTGCAAGAAAAGGTTGGGGGAATCATAAAATTCATCAAATCATTATTGAATCCAAGTTTATGGTGCCCCCCTTATATCCCATTTTCGTGACATATAATGGTGTATCAAACAGTCCCTCACTAGAAAAGTGAAAGAGTTCTGATTGTACGGCAAGCCCTCTAGGTAAGCATTTACCAGTACAATGGGCCCACCAATGAACATTTGTAGTTTCGTACTATATATTATTATTGGGTGCAATTTTGTGGTACTCCCATGTAGAAAACATCGAAATGAGACATTATTAAGCTATTGACAATCTTGACATTTTTCTATTATTTATTGTGTTAGAGGTTTCTGTCCTACATAGGGCTTAGATATAAAAAGTATTGAGTAATTATATGAGTTGATATGTAATATTATTTAATAACTCAATTTATTAAGTGTTTTGATCAATGAGAAAGAGCCTGAAATGTTTAGCTTACCTGAAATGTTGTGTAATTATTTTATCATTTGATAATTAATTTATTTTATGTTACAACCAGTTAATGAAGCTTGGTAATGATTGATTAGTGCTCAAGTAGATAGCTTTTAATGAACAAAATGGAAGGGTACAAAATAGGAGGAATTAGACAAGTGTTGACAGCCTATAATTGGGACCGGAATGTGTATAATGGTAGTGGAAGGTTCACTAGGGGTAGTAGTGCCTAGTGGGTTGTAATGTGAGGTTTGTTAGGGATTCTCCATTTGGGAGATGGAGGACTTGTTGGACTGTTTTGCCGTCAACTCCATTACTTTTAGTCTTTGAACACATAAACTAATACCATTAATTGAGTGCAAAGAACCTTGAAATATGAAAAATTTAAGACTAAGCTTGGGGAACCAGACACAGTCTTCCACATGTAGCATGTGTATTTAACATTATATTAATCACAATCTTGAACCTTTAGAGCTTAATCCAAGAAATTACTTTGTTGTAACTTAGGTAAATATTCATACAACAAATACTCGCCCAAAACCCTAGGAGATTGTGTGGGCTGTGGCACGAGTTGAGCTAATGCTAGGGACCCTAAATGCCCTAACAACATCCTAAATCAATGCGATGTATTACTTTTGGGTTAAAAATACTCCTCAAGCACAAAATTCACATTAATCGGTACACAAATGCAAGTTTGCAAACCATCTAAGTAATAACCCTAAAATTTGGGACCATTGCTTTAGCTACTCTAAACACTAGTCTTGATTGAGCCAAACTAATCTCAAATTTGCCCAACAAAGAAACACATTGTTCTTGCAAGCAAAATATCGAACCACCCAAAAGTTGCACAAATCTTCCAAAACCTAGAAATCTATATAGGAGAAACGGCTCTTTTTTATACAAAATTCCCTCCATTAAACCCAAGAAAGTAAATTTCTCAAACCCCAATATCTCACATTGGAGGAACAGTCTTCAGCCATACAAAAATTCACTATAAACAATTCCCTGCAAACATTCCTACAACACCTAAAAAAACATTAACATATCCAAATTGCCTCATTCACATTGGTTTTCTTGGTACCAAAAATGAATTAAAAAAGTTAAATCTATTCTATTTTTGCCATTTTAAAAATTAAAAAAAAAACACTACAGAAGAGGCAAAGAAAGGGAAACAAAACTCTCATGCATCCCCTTTTTTTTTTTACTTCTTTAACTGCCTCTTTTCTCCCTTCTTAGAAGACCAAATGGGAGGACGGTTGGCGCTTGGATTTTAGATCAGTCTTAATACGCTGACCGCGGGCAGACGTTTTAGAGAGAGAAAGCCAGATACAGTATACAGTATACATATATTGTGTGTGTATATATATATATTAAGATATGTAGAGAGAGAGAGAGAGAGAGAGTTATACAGTATATAATATACATATATTGTGTGTGTATATATATATATATTAATATATGTAGAGAGAGAGAGAGAGAGAGAGAGAGAGTTTGTGTGTGTGTGTGTGTGTGTGTGTGTGTGTGTTTTTTTTAAGAGAGAAATAGGGAGGGGATCCGGGCAAGCTGAGTGTTGCTGGGTGACCAATATATCCCTTTGCCCCTCTCAAGCTGGGTCGGCCTTGGATTTTGGGTAAAAAGCAGAGAGAGAGAGAACTCTCCTGCACTTTATTCTCTTCAAATTCGATACTTTGCTGTACCCAGAACGAGGTTTTGAGTGAGCCCCCTCTCTCTATATCTCTACCATCTCTTTATATGTCTCCTACATTGTATTTTTCTAGCTTCAGAATCTCATAGTATAACTTCCACGCATCTGTTCTGTTTTTATCACTCTGTTCATTGCCCTTTGAATTTTCTCTCTTTCCTCTGTTTTCTCTCTACTTAAAACAGAAGAGCAAAGATAAAGAAAATAACCCAACTGGGTTCTTTTGATTTGACCTCGTGTTTGTTTGCCCGGAAGGGCCGGAACCAAAATGCCAAGAAACCGGGATTGCTTCTTTCCCTCAAATTGTTTTCTCTTTATTTCCTGAGGAAACAAAGTCCTCTGTTTCTACTGTCATTCAAACCAGTAAACTCTTTCTTGGTTTTTGTAACAATTACAAAGCTTATTTTCTTAATTCTTGTTATTTCTAGAAAAAAAACCAGTAATCGGGAGCAAAATCCCCCTTTCAGGGCCTTCTTCCTTCAATAGTTTTCTCCATTTTTTTCTTCATTTTCGTTACATTCAATCAAAATCCAGAAGTTCAATTAACAGTTGACATCTATATATGAAGTTGTAAAACAATGAGAGATGGGAACTCCAAGAAAAGCAAGGTTTGTTTGGGTAAATGCCAAAAGATTTGCCTGTCTGCATTGTTGTATTTGACATTGCTGACTTTTGTGTGTTTTTGGTGTAGCTTTCATGGCCGAAGACCCTGGTCAAGAAATGGTTCAATATCAAGAGCAAATCAGAGGACTTTCACGCGGACGAGGTCTTCTATGGAGGTTCATCTTCTGTGCCCTATTTCTAAATCAATCAATTAGTGTAATTTAGGGTTCTGAAATTGGGAATCTTGGCTATAATATTAAGAATCAAAAATAGGATTTTCTCTGCAACTTCTTCACAGATTTGCTGTAGCTTATTCTGCATCAACCGCTGTTCACTTTGTACAATAATATTTGGATTTAATGGCTTCTGCCACTTCTAGTTGCAGCTCAAGATCTGTTCTTTGTTTTCTTCTTCTTGTTTCTAAAATTCAAAGAATTTCTATTTATTTTGGTTTGAACTTTTTTTTTTTTTTTTCTTTTCTTTTTTTGTTGTTTTGTGTATGAATATGTGGGCTTGATGCAATAACAGTGGAAAGAACGCAGCTTTAACACTTTATGTATTTCCTTTTTCAGGTGGTGATGAAGAATGGAGGAAAAACTTCTCAGAGAGGGAAGCATGCACTATCAAGAAAAGCAAAACAGGTTCAGTATCAGACAATCAGTACTCCTTTGGACCACAACACTTCTAAACCCCAGTGAATTTTGCATAAACCTAATTATAAGAAAGATTTTTATTTTTATTTTATTTTTAATTATTTTTATTTTTATTTTTTCTTTTGCCTCTTATTTTCTTTACCCACATTCTAATTTTGTTTAATTTATCTCTCCCTCCCTCCTCCCCTTGGATGAACAGAAAGATCAAGTAGGAGAAACTCTGATAGGGCCTGGCGCAGTAAGATTGACCTCGAGGCCTCCCAAGTTACAGATGTGCATAATTATAGGTATGCTGTATTCTTATTCATCATCTTGTGTTATTATTATTATTTGTTTTTGTCTAATAGTTGGATTTTATTGTTTCTCTTTTCTTTTGTGAATAGGATCTTTGTAGCTACATGGAACGTAGCTGGAAAATCTCCACCAAGTTATTTGAATCTTGAAGATTGGCTACATACCTCACCTCCTGCTGACATTTATGTTCTTGGGTAAGCTTGATTGATCAAAAATTAAAAATCTTCATCTTTATTTTGACTGTGCAACTTTTGTAATAGGAAGAGTCTGTTTGGTCCTTTTGTCATTCAGATTTCAAGAAATTGTCCCTCTGAATGCTGGTAATGTTTTGGGCACAGAAGACAATGGCCCAGCTAGAAAATGGCTAGCACTCATCCGAAAGACTCTAAACAGTCTTCCTGGAACGAGTGGGGCTTGCCAAACACCTTCACCAATCCCTGATCCCATTGTGGAATTAGATGCAGACTTTGAGGGATCAACTAGACAGAAAGCCTCATCTTTCTTCCATCGTCGATCCTTCCAGTCCCTGAGTCGCAGTATGAGAATGATGGATAATGACATGTCCACACCACAACCCCGACTTGATCGTCGATTCAGCGTTTGTGATCGGGTTATGTTTGGACACAGGCCTAGTGATTATGACCCAAATTTCAGATGGGGGTCCTCTGATGATGAGAACGGACCTGGTGATTCGCCAGGCACCACGCACCACTACTCACCATTGACATACAGTGGATCTATTTCCATGGGGGATGGAGATAGACAGCCAGGAAATTCAAGGTACTGTTTGGTGGCCAGTAAGCAAATGGTTGGAATATTTCTCACAGTATGGGTGAAAAGTGATCTAAGAGATGATGTTCGCAACATGAAAGTTTCTTGTGTGGGCAGAGGATTGATGGGTTATCTTGGAAATAAGGTACATTTTGCTTTATGGAAAATTTCTGAAATTTTAGATTTGAACTCATTAAGGATCAAGTAAAAGTGGCAATCTTATACTATTGGATTTTCCAGGGTTCAATTTCAATTAGCATGTCTTTGCACCAAACAAGCTTCTGCTTCATTTGTAGTCATTTAACCTCTGGGCAGAAGGAGGGAGATGAGTTGCGAAGAAACTCAGATGTCATGGAAATTCTTAGGAAGACAAGGTTCCCAAGGGTTCATGGCATGGGGGACGAGAACTCGCCTCAAACAATCCTTGATCATGAGTAAGGCCCTGATTCATCAAATTTTGCTAAGTTTCTGCTAGTGCTATTCCCTTTCTGTAATTAATTTAATTAGATATGATCAATATTTTTCCAACACTTGTTCCACTGTTTTCAAAACCTTTTCTCTGGTGAAGTTTAGCAAGATAAATTCACACTGTAGCTTTTGTTGCTCAAAATTATGATTTGTGTTTGTGTCCATGTAGTCGAATCATTTGGCTTGGGGATTTGAATTACCGGATTGCCTTGTCTTACCGTTCTGCAAAAGCTCTTGTTGAGATGCGCAATTGGAGGGCTTTGTTAGAAAATGATCAGGCATGTCTTCCAAACTATTTCGGTAGATTCTAATAGTATTTGTTTTGCCTTTTCCTACAATAGGATATGTGTTTCTCTTCTTGAATTCTGGAAAGTATTCGATCTGAATCTTTGATGGCTTTCCTAAGCAGCTACGGATAGAGCAGAGACGAGGGCATGTCTTTGACGGATGGAATGAAGGGAAGATATATTTCCCTCCCACATACAAGTACTCAAATAATTCAGACAGATATGCAGGTGATGATATGCACCCAAAAGAAAAGCGAAGAACCCCCGCATGGTATTCCTTTTCACAGGACAATATTAATAACATAAATGAGAAAAACACTCCTAGCCCAATATTCAATGGATATCTTTATGATATAATAATATGGACAACTAATCTAGGTCTTTTTGTGTTTCAAGGTGTGATCGAATATTGTGGTATGGTAGAGGACTCCATCAAATATCTTATGTCCGTGGTGAGTCTAGATTCTCAGATCATAGGCCAGTTTATAGCATTTTTGTGGCAGAGGTCGAGTCTATCAACCGTAACCGAATCAAGAAAAGCATGAGTTGTTCCAGTTCCAGGATAGAGATAGAAGAGTTGTTGCCACACTCAAATGGATATACTTCACTTAATTTCTTCTGAGGATTTGATTCGAATTCAAGTATGCTCTCTCTCTCACACGCACTCAGACAACTCTTACTTGTCTTGTTTTTCACTGTTAAGACTTATCGTTAATTGATCTACAGGAAGGCGTGATTTGGTTCACATAGATAAAAAAAGAGTTACAAGTTTAAGGATGCTACCATTCTGTGGAAGGTAAGTTACTAAAACAAGATTATGGAATCAACTTCTTTGTTCTATTGCTGTTCCTTGTGATTTTGTGAAAGTAGTTCTCATCAACAATGAACATGTTTTCAGGTTGATTCAAGATATCATGAAAGAATATAATGTTTTCCTCAATTCAACCCGAGGTTATCTTCTCAATCAGTCGGGTAATCTTTCATTCTGTTTCTGTTAATATATGTTCTATTCTCAACATTCAAACAAAAAAATAAAATTAAAAGAGAGAGACAGAGAACGAGAACGAGAAATGGCTTTTTTAAAAAAAAGAAGTGGGTGAGGATGACTTAATGGGTGGATAGCAATCCACCTTACCTTGCTTTCAAGCTGAACAAAGGTCATTCTGCAAACCATGAAGTGGATCTTGTGGGGTAAAGAGAGAGTGACTTTTTGGCCTTAGGAGTGAGTATTGTTGTAGATTGTGTCCTCTTTCTTCAGTTGAGAAGAACTAGTGGTTGTTCTCATCCTTGCATGTTATTTGGTCCCCTCCGTTGCACAGATCGGGTGAAGAAGTCTGCCTCAACAGTGATGGACACATTCATTGCCAGCAACCCGGAAGAGGTTTGCCCTTTGTTTCCATTCTTTTCTTATTTTGGCTTGTAATTGTTCTTCTGAAATTTGACTGTCTAACCATTTCCATGCCATTCCTTGCCTCAACAGGTTCCAACTTGCATTTTTCTGTTGATTTTACGGCACAATTATTTTCATCACCAGTACTAGCAAGTTTGGGACAGCTAGGTCTATAGAAGCATTCACCATCAGTCTATCACTCTCAGCTATCAAGTAATAAAAGCGAATTGCTTGATTACCATAATATAATCCATTTTTTCCATCATTTCTTTGTGTGTATAATACATTCACTCTGCTGTGTAACTAAACTTTGTTTTTAATTATTTTGCAGGATGACGTGGCTAATCGAAGAGTGCAAGTGTTTCTGGGTGACATAATTGGATAATAATAAATCATTTTGCAAAACCAGAAAATGAAATCCGAATAACAGATTTATTCTGTGAAATAAAACATGTAAAAGAAAAATAAAAATGATGAGAAATTATCAAATAATCATCCTTTTTTTTTTTTATATATATTCTTTTTTCTTTTTTGATTTGTTTTGAGATGTGATGGATAATGGTTACAAGTGAAAAAAGAGAAGTTGAAGTTCGTGATGAATATGAAGCTTCCTTTCCATTAACGAAAAAGAAAAAAGAACGGTGAATTTGATCTGTCTTTTGTGCCCATCCTCTTGAGTCATGGTGACATTGTGTGTAGGAATGAGTATCATTTATCAAAATCTTGTATATAGTTGCTACTCCATTGTGTAATGAAGTTGATTTTCAATTTAAAGCTCTATTTGTTTCGGCATAAAAAAAAAAAAAATCAGAAAATATTTTTATTTTTTAAGTAAAATATATTTTTTATTTGTACTTTTAATGTTTGACAAAAGTTTAGGTCGAGGTTAATGGTGAGTCTTTCTGGTAGAACGTATAAAATAACTTATCAATTTGATGAATAAATTATTTTTATAAAATTTTAATATATATATTTTTTTGTAAATATTTTACGATAATCAAACACTAAAAATATATATATATTTTTTAAAAAATATTTTATATCCAACCGAATGGAGTCTGAATGTTTGATATTGTGTTTTTGATTGGTGGGCGGATTGTCTTTTTTCACGGATTGCATCAGCGTAAAATTAGTTTTGATTTGATTTGACATTTTTCTGAGTCCAATTGTATGTATTTTTGGGACGCTTGCCAAACACCTGAAGAATTCGGGTACAATTATGTTAGCACATAGCCACATAGCACCAAGGTTATTAGCAAGTCTAGTTAGTACAGTGCTATTTTGTGAGTCTTATAAAATAAAAAACCGAGTAGTAAAGTTTCCTAAAATAAAAGTTTAGGAAACACGAATATTTACACGAAATATGAGTAGGATGATATGATAAATTAATAAATAAAAAAAAGAAAAAGAAATTAGAACACTAATAATGCGACAAAAAATAAAGGTTAGAGCTATGTTTGCTATTTTTAATTTTATATTATTTCTCTAATTAACTTATAATATACTTCAAATTGAAATAAATCTCATTCTTTAAAAAAATATATATATTATAAAATTATCTATCATGCTTTAAAGGTGTTCAAAATGCGTTCAAAGTGTTCAAAGTGCGTTTCGTGTTCCGAAAATATTCAAAACACGTGCATCCGGTGTCTTATCTATGCCTGAAAAGGATAAAATATTTAAATTTGAGGAACACGTGACACCGTGAGGTGAAGTGTGGGTTTTTTTTAAAATTAAATAAAAAATTTAAAAAGTAAGTATTTTCATGACGTGGCAAGTATCCGTTGGTTTGTAAAGTTTAGAAACCGAATTCCGTTGGTTGAAAATGTGAATGGGTAAAAAAGGAAAAAGTGTTGATAAAACATGCAAAAAAGACAGCTTTTGATTGTAAGACATGGCTACGTCTAATTGGTCATTGGTTTCCGAGCCCACTTGTACTACGATTGTTTTCGGAATCGCACTAGATTCAAGTACATCACACGCTACGATTTTTCTCCTTTTTTTTCAAAAATCATAATAATAAACTCATACATCCACATTATACTCTGATAACCATTTTTAAATATACTTTCTGGAGTTTTCTCAATCTGTCACACATATAATCATATCATACTTTCTTTTTTCTTATATATATATATATATATATATATATATATAACTTTTTTTAAAAAAGAACATTTATTTTAGTACATTCCTAAAAGAAAGAAATCTATTTTAGTTTAAACGGAGAAAGTATCATAAAAGCAGCTTTATATTGGAGGCCTGAACTAAACATTATTAGTACTATGTCGTTATTATCTTTGCACATTATCATTTTAATTCTTTCTTCTTTAAAAATTTAGAAAATGAAAAAATAAAAAGTGATGGATGTATTTCACGCGCGCTATTGTCCTTGTCACTCCTAAACAAAAAGTAATTGCAATTCCACCTGGCAACCGACTGCTTCCAAAATTCTCTCTAGACATATTTGTTACACTAAAAAAAAAATTTTAATTATGGAGTAATACTGTATATTCCTTAGTTTATATTTTTACCTAAACGCATAACGTTCTCGTTAAGATTGGACTACACTGTCTACTCGGATGGCTCATTCGGACGCAGCCACAGGCCTAACATAAGATTAGTGGGGCCAGATGTTCCCACTGAATTTTTTATATTTTAATTTTATACTTCAATTTTTTTAGAATTTATAAAAATAACTCTACTAAAATTATAATTCGTACCCACTGGATTGTTTTTTTTTTTTGCATTTTATACTTCAAACTTTTGAGAATTTATTTTATAAGATATCCCCACTAAAATTACAATTCCCCCTCATTGAAATTTATTTTTTTTGCATTTTATACTTTAAATTTTTAAAAATTTATAAAAAAAAACTATGTCAAAATTACAAAAATGGACCCACTATATAGGTTTGCCTCCACAAATTAAAAGGTCGCCCCCCCTCAAAAAATTTTATGGGTTCGTTACTACCCGGACACCTTTCGAACCGGGCGTTTGAAGTGGTACCGGATCAAAGACTGGGTTTGGCTCTGATACAAATTGTAACGGATGAGCGTTTACTCTTTACCCAAAAATTTAAGTTATTGGATAGTGCTGCTACCCATCCATTTATATTCTTTTCACTTTCTATCCGAATCCAATGTGAGTCAAATACCTCTGCTAACATTAGTCTATAAAAGAATTGTTGTTATTGATTGACAAGAGCTATCACAGCATCTAAATTGATGTAAAAATCACCACCATCTTTTCCTATGAATTCTCCTCATACAATTCAACTTGATATATATATAAATACACACACACACACACACTAAATAAACAAAGCATTTTGAAGGAAGGTTAGTTTCATCTAAAAAGATTATAATTTTAATGTCCCTTGTAAATAGGAAACACAATATGGAATTTAATGACAACTGTTGAGATTAGCTTTTCAGCCAATGAGAACAACGATTGTGCAACCCTAACACTCTTCGTATTTTATTTTTTGAATTAAAAAATTATTAGATGATCCTGAATCATTTAATACGTGATGGACTAGTTTCATCTAGACCATTGTTGAAATTTTTTTATAATATATTAATGTACTCTTGTGGTGCCATTTTCTTAATCGAAATGTCTAAATTGAATTAGTTCACTAAATATCAATGGACCATAACTATCTAATAATTTCTCAAATTCAAAACTTTAGAAAAAAATACTCGTGTTACTCGAATGATTAAATTATTCTCGTATCTAAAAGTCATATTTGAGCCTTACATCATCCCCTGCTTTCTAACATTACCCCGGATATGTAAACTTAGAAATACTATTGGTGTGATTTTCACTGCACTTGATGCTTGTCTATAGTTTTGCTTGCTAGTATATATATGCTTGACATGGTCGTAAAGTCGTATACATTTGCAACCTGACGTTACTATAATATTTAATGAAGCATTTTTTAACATATGTATAATATTTTATATTGCCAATAATATCACCCATTTATTTTTTTATATGAAAATTAAACTTTTAGGTAAAAAGTACCATTAATATTCACTTTTACATATTCAATACTTACCTTTTATAGTCATTTGTATAATGGACTTATAATATCGTGATACAATACAAATATTATAAGATTTTTTTTTTTTTTTTTTAAAGGTATATAACATGTTATTGTAGGACAAAATCCGAATTTCCAATTCAATTGTTTACACGCACCTGAGGGAGGGGTGGTAGTGGCCCACATTTTACACGACATGGTTTGGAGCTTTCCAGGTTTCAGAAGAACTTTGGCAAACATACATTGGGAGAAGCACCATAATGCTCAACTTTGTTTCTGTATTTCTTTCATGTGGAGAGTCTGAATAAGGAAAAATTATTAGATGTCCTCAATTATGTGTTTTCCAAAAATTATTATATGGTTTCGAGATTAAATCGGCAATGATAGGTTTCACTTAATGGTACATTGTGTAGATTTTATGGCTTTTTTTTTAAAATTTTTATGTGATTCTTCATTAAAGACTTCGTTACAATTAGACATTGGATTTGAATTCAAGTAATTCTAAAAAGATCAGATCTTACCTGAAATCCACGTGTGTGTGTGTGTGTATATATATGTATTTTTTTTTTTTTTTTAATCTTCTTTATATTATTATATGGGTCGAAAATGAAGATGTACCTATATGATCTGATTTTGTTTTGAATTGAGTGTGAATCTTGGCATTAAAATATGAATTTACATGAATTCGTTCAAGCAAGTACCAGTATGAGAAAAATAAATAAAAAAGAACAATTAATTTCTTTTAAGGTTATAGGGTTTGTTTTTGGCAGCAGCCAGTATTGTTTTTGCAATAGGGATATTCCAATTATAAGAATTTATTCTATTTACTAGTATTCGTTAATCCATTGTTGTCTGGATCTGATCAATTTATATTGGTTGCAAATAATATTGATCTAATACCTCTTAGTGACTTCTGTATAATGTATTATTAATCAGTGTATATATATCTTTATTGTAGTTGTCGTGCAAATAATAATAATAATAATAATAAATCAAATCAAATCAAATCATTGACAAGTATTGGGTTCACAAAATTATGATTTCTTAACAAAATTATACAATAAATAATAATTAATAAAGGACGACGTGGACAATAAAAGAATAAAGAATGCTTAGTTATATTAGAGTATCTCTAAAATATCTTTTTGTGTAAAATATATAGTATGTGTAATTTTTTTTTTATCTCTAATAGTTCGTCACTATCACATCATCAATGTGTAAAATTATTGTGTATTTTATACAATTTTTTTACACAGCTACATTAACATATTTCATTTTTCCTCCATCTTTCTCATTTCATTAACTAATTAACTACATATTAAGTTATTTTGTAAAAATTATGTGGGATTCAAAATGGTGTTGATTGATTATTATTGAAAGATATATTTTTATACAAAAAGTATAAAATAATCGCTAAAATTAAAAATAAATAATATAAAATTTTTGTATAAATTTATTATAACATATTAGATAAAATATATATATATATATATATATATATATAGATATATATATGCACACACAAAACTATTGAAGATGCTCTTTGTAAATATAAGTTGCTCCCGTTTATGTAATACAGAGTACTAATGAATGGTGGAATCTTGTAGATGGCACCTAGAGGTACCGACCAGACTTGACTGCTACAATTATGTTTAATACAGGGTACGCTTGTCCAGTCGCATCAAACCACCATTCTAGGGCACTTGTTTGATTAATATTTGGAATATTTTCCTTTTCCTTTTCCTTTTCCTTTTCAGGACTTTAAATTTATTGTTCATGGAAGATAGATAGTTGACTCTTCAAACTCATGATGAGCTGAGCTGACTCCCATTAGATACTATTAGTAGACTCGCTTTGGAGGTTTGGAAAAAGAATTCTATATATATATATATATATATATATGTATGTATATTACATTTTCTGATAGCTGAATGAGGAGAAAATATCATACGAAATTAATTTGTTTCCGGTTATTTGGGAGCTCTTTCATCACCGTCATCATATTTACATACGGTAGTTTTCTTTAAAGATGTGTTATTTTTCCCGAGTTTTTGGAAATTGAGTTAAAAATGGACTTTATCATCATCGATTCATTATACGTACTTTTTTCCTCAAATGAAAATTGGGGTCGAATTCTTTTTCTTCATTATGTTTCATCATCGTCCATCATTAATCTGACATGATATAGGATTGTTCTTTAAAAATGTGTTAATTTCCCAGAGTTTTTGAATGGGCCCAGTAATTTCAAATGAAAAAAGTAAGGTGAGATGGCACGTGGTTGGACGATGGTGAGCTCTATCTCAACTTAAGTCTCATAACCTAATGAAAACACGACAAAGAACCAAACATTTGACTATTTTCTACAGTGCAGTGGAGGATAAGTTACTACTTTTAGAATTAAAACTGTACTTGCATGTGTTTTAAGGTAACAATCTTCACATCGACGTACAGAGAGACACGAAATCAAAGTGGGTTGCCTTTTAGTTTTGATTCCAGTTTTTGGCAACATGCACAATCCACCTTGAAACACACACTAGCCCATCCTCCCTAAATTAACGAAAAAAAAAAGACATCCGATAATGTTATACAACTGCGATTATAAAATGTTTACTGTAAATTTTTATTTTTTTGTATTTATATATATAAAATTTTAAAATCCTCAACACAAAAATTATAAAAAAAAATTCCTCCAAATAAATAAATTTTTAGATCCGTCCCTACTCTTGTCATTTATTCAAGAACTATTGTTGATGTTGACGAGGTGGGAGAGATCACTTACAGTTTGGTTCCCACAGTTGATGAAGTGGGTCACATAAAATAAATTGCATGTATAATAGTACTCATTCTATAATTGGGTGTGGCTCACAATTATGGGATAGACGAGTACCGACTTTTGTTTTGGCTTAATTTGTTTACGCATCAAATTGGGAAACGACAAACTTTATATAATAATTCAAGAAACATCTTAAACTTGTGTGGACGTGGTGGGCTGACACCTCCCTCGACCTCCACGTGTCAGCCTAGCATTTTGGAATTTGAGTGTTGGTATGACATCAGCCTCGAGAGACCCAAGGACAGAGCACGCACCTCTGAAGCAAGCTGTACTGGTTTGCTTACGCACGCGGGCAACATCTGACATGGCAGTGATGGATTTTACTTATTGCACGTGATGTCATTGCCATCATCACATTACTTTGTTGGAATTTACAACTGTGGCAACCGGGAGAAGAAAAACTTTTAATGAAAAATAAAACATTAATTTCCAAGGTTAATTTACACTAAACTCAGCCTAAACAAAACTCACATTTCTTACCAAAATACTTGAACTAAGAATTGGAATCGTGTAGGGATAACTTGTATCTCTTCCTGTATCGCTACTACCACAATGTCATAAAATAACCATGCAAAAGAGCAGAGAAGGCGAACCGCAATGGAGGATTGAAGTTCCTGAATTAGAAGAGTTTGTCCAAATTCATTAAATTTACTTATGAAAACAATCATCTGATTAAAGCTTGAAAGCAAATGAGTGAAAACTAGCTTATACTATCATAAATTCTTCCGGCAACTACTGACAAGAGGGGTTGTTGGTCCATAAATTAAAATTGGGTGCAAAACCATGGGCAATAGTGCGTGTATCAGAACATTACCAGTAACAGAGCAGAGAAAGCTACTTCAGTGATAAAAGGTCTAAAAGAAATGTTGGCGCTGTATGTTAAAAAATGGACTAAATTAAATGTTGGGTTTAAGAAAGCATTTAGTGAAGTGTGCAGTGGGATCAAATTAAGCATTATATATATACACACACATACAGGTGATGTCACGTGCTTTAGCTTTGTTCAACAAGTTGTCAGGAATAGGATTGAGACAGTTGATGTCACGCACGAGTTCAAGTGTGACCCTACCTGACTGACTTCTATGAGAGCAGGTCTTATCGCCAGGTTGTAGAGTAAACCGTCAAATAAGTGACCATTAATCGCCACATTTCTTCTGCTGCTGCTACCACCCAAACTTCAGTTTGCTTCTTTAGTCAACCCTCCTCCTCCTCGTGTTCTTCCATGTCTCTCTTAATTAACTCAGCTACTATTTTTTTTTTTTTTTTTTTTGACTCAGCTATTGACAGAGGTCACCTATCAATTACTTCACCCTATCCTAAAAACATACTCATACAAGGGCTCAATAGATGGGATAGGGAAATATAACATCTTGGTCCTCTTGGATGATTTTACCCTAGATTTGTTTAAAACTCATTACTTACTGCATTTACAATGATTACTAAAATTGGAATTGAAACATGATAACTCAAGCTTCAAACAAGTGTTTCTCAAAATTAAATATTTTTATGCTCTAATTTCTTGGCTTTGCCCTCTGGAACACCATGCAAAGTGCTCCTTCTAAATGGGTTGAGTAAATCTCCAGTTTTCTCTTGCAGGTGTGACCTCAAAGAATTGTTTGCACTAAGGGAAAGTCGAACCTTAAACCTCATGTTTCATGAGGTACCAGACTCAAGTGACTTACCACTAAGGCCAACCCTTGAGTTTTTTTATGCTCTAGGTGGTAGAAAAAGAATTTGCTTAGCCTCAACAATCATCTAAAAAGAAATCACAATGTTTCATCTTGACTAAGCACGTTGTGTTTTTAAATGGGTTCTGAATACCCCTATTCTGCAACTATGGTAACAATAATGTATATGCATGAACATTCCACACAGATCCTCTTGCAAAACTAAGAAGCAAGAGATGCTGGCAATGATGTAGTTAAAAAAAAAAAAAATTTGAGTTGTCAAAATCATTGAATGTGGAAAATTCCTTTTCTTATAGTTTCCCTTCCAAAAAAAATTATACATCTGTTTCTGGATGCAATTTTCTTGAACGGAAGATTAATTCTTGTGCACATTATCAAATATTAGTTTGATCACTTCTTAGTTAACGACAGACTATAACAGAAGTCAACATATCAAAATAACATGGCAACCACTCATATTTCAATAGAAAATCTATGAGAGACTCTAGAGAGACATTAAAAAGTTTGGAATTACCTCAATTTTAGCAAGTTAAAAGAGAGAAAGACCACAAGAATCTCCAAAGATCAGTAGAAATTAATTAGCAATCTACAGCAACTGATTTTCAATCCCTCATCATGCAAAGTTGGGTCTCTTCTCACATTATGCATAACCCTAAGAGGTTGACAAAGAAGCAAAAGGGGCAATTATATCACTCACATAGGTGTCCACATGCAAAATATTTGATTACATATTAAAAGGTGAAACGAAGTCAAGTGTCAAAGTTCAACCCTTGAAAAAACAAGGTGAGTTGCTTCAAAAACAATCAAATATAACCATGTGAACTTAAAGGTGTCACGCATGAAGAACAACATACATTCTTGACATCATTGTCCGCAGTGATGTGCTTATGCAAGCAAGTAGCTGCATCGTCGAGTCTCATTCAGGATGTCAAAACTGCAATAAAGTGGTTAACATTTTTTGGTACGTAAGAGAGTGGGTAACATGAGCACAAAAAAAAGGGAGAAAAGGAAAAAGGAAGAAGCAAAACAATAAACCAGAACAATCACTTGATTTGTAAACGTGCATGAAACACTTCTTGAGTTAGCTAACCAAAATCAAATCGAGTTTAGGAGACAGCTAAAACGTAAAAAGACCATACACTACAGAAAATAAACCTCAAACAACTTCAGCACAGGTATTAATCATGAGAGTCAGACACCAAAAACCAATATAACTAATAGAGTGGGTAACATGAGCACAAAAAGAAGAGAGAAAAGGAAAAAGGAAGCAGCAAAACAATAAACCAGAACAATCACTTGATTTGTAAACGTTCATGGAACACTTCTTGAGTTAGCTGACCAAAATCAAATCGAGTTTAGGAGACAGATAAAACGTAAAAAGACCATAAACTACAGAAAATAAACCTGCACAGGTATTAACCATGACAGTCAGACACCAAAAACCAATATAACTTTAAAAAAAATATTGGTCTAGCAAGGTGACCAATTTTCTGTAACTTGAAGCTCATCATATTTAAGGAGAAAATTTGATGAGAAATGCTTCCAATGCATCTGCAGAAATTAAGAAAGCTCAAGGAAATGACAGGCACAGGCTTGATTAATTTCTGATTAAATTCTGATATTAGTTTAGGAATAACATAAACCTCTATATCAACTGAGATAAGGGATAATATGCAACCTTATAGAGTCATTTAAAAAGAGAGAAGAAAAAAAAAAAAAGGAATTTAAGATGAATCATATTGAAACAAACTAGAACTGTTAATTGACACCAGTCCTGAACCAATAATGAAAAATATAATAACATAAAATAGAAGAAATTAAAAGAAATGAAAAGGAAGTCATTATTTGTACCAGATGATTAATATTCAAAACATTTTGAATCACATGCATCAATCCCAAAAAATTATGAAAACTCAAGAACATAACACCAATAGAATGAGAAAAATTAAATGACAACATCATAATAGATGATTAATAATGGAACAAACTACAATAACTTAGTATGACTCCTGAAACAAGCAGCATAAACAATTCAAGAACCAAATAAAACAAAGGATGCAACAAATTAAAGATAAAATAGCTAAATATATTTAATATGATCCTTCAAATTGCTAATCCATGGACCAGATGTTTGTTTCAAATTTTTAGACACTCCCCACGTCATAGTTCATGCTGATATGTTAAACACTTGCATTCAGCACCACAAAATGCATGCAAGTAGCTCCATCACATCATAAAGTCAGTAATGCAATAAAGTGGGTAACTTGAGTAGCACAAGAAGAGGAGAAATTATTCATTGCAACCGTTGCAACAATGACGTGGTGCAACAGACGGCTACAAACACTCCACCAAAGCACATATATCAGCTTTTTTATTCTATTGTAGGTCCACTTTACTTTGGTGATGTGTTTGTAGCCGTTAGTTGCACCACATCATCGTTGCAATAGCTGCAATGAATAATTTCTCCAAGAAGAGGGGGGAGGAGGGAATATTCACTTGCTTTGCAATTTATGCATGGATAATTTCTTCAATAACTTGGCCAACACCAAATCAAGGGTAGTAACTGGTTAACACTAAAGTGAGAAATGTAAATTGTAGTTATTAAAATCAGTCCTTAAAAAAAATTGAAAAATAAAAAGAACACAAAATCGAAGAAATTAAAAGAAAATAGTTACTAATGATTAATATTTGAACTGAGAGTGAATCACTTGCATCAATCTTTAAACGGTAATTAAAAATTCAAGAACAGAACGTGATGAGAATAAAACAAAAGAAGTAGCAAAATCATACCAGAAATAATTAGTATTGTAAGAAGATACAATAATTAGTATAAATCTATAAAAAAATAAAAATAATAAAAAAAAAGTCGAGAACCAATAGTAAAAAAGATATAATAAACGAAATACATGTAGTCATAAATTATTAACATTAAAAAAATCGTAGGGGCTGCTTGGTTCAATTTTCTGTTTTGTAAGAACCGAAAATCAGAAAACTGTACGAAAAATTGCTTGGTTGACAGTTTCTGAGAACTGTTTTCTAAAACTCAGTTCAAAAGAGATCTGTTTTCAGAGAACTGTCTGTTAAAGTTCTCTGAAAACAGTTTTCTATTTTCTGAGTGACAAACCAAGTAGACCCATAGTAATCGACATTGAAGTTAATACAAGCATAAAAATATAAGGACAAAACATCGGATGACAAAAGAAAGTTCAGAAACACAGTTGAAACCTAATAGGCGCAAAAAAAAAAAAAAAAATTGACAATATACATGAAAATTTCACCATCCTCTCTGAGATCTTCATCTTGCTGTACTAATATTTCTCAAGAAATCCTCCAATCGGCTCTTGATTATGCACATCACACAATCCTGAAATGGAGACAGACACAGTCGGAATTCAAAACATAGTTAAGACGCTTTAGCTATGCACTTTGGTGGATGAATACATGTCCTCTCTAGGATATTCCTCATTTAAGAGTTGTTGAAAGTAATTTTGCCACCTATACAATATGTCATCATCCTTAACTAATATTTTTTTATTTGCGTCCTTAATATAACTAACTTGATCCATATCTCTAGTCAATTTATCTTAAATTTTTGCAAATTTATAAATATAACTCATCTAAGGAATTTTGCTTGGCTTTAGCTACCTTCCTCTTAGCCACATTTTTTAGTTTACTGTATCTCTCTACTTCTTCTAGATTCTTGCTTTTTTGCCATTCCTTAAAACAACTTCTTTTTGTTGTATTACATTTTGTATTTCATTATTCCGCCACAATGTTTCTTTTTTAATAAATTTCTTTCCACTCGTCTTTTCCCAACGTCTCTTTCGCCACACTCGTAATACAATCCGGCAAATTTGACCATACATTTATTTAAATGGCACCAAAAAGTAAGTGGATAACATTAGCACCAAAAAGAAAAAAAGAAAAAAAGAACAAAGAGAGACAGAAACAATAAACCATAACATTGACTTGATATGTAAATAGTGCATGAATCACTTATTCAATTAGTTAACCAACATCAAATCCAGCTTAGTATATGGTTAACACTTAAAAACCATAAGCTACAGAAATTATAACTAAAGCAACTTTAACATGTTTAATAAACATGAGAATCATACACAGATTCAACAGAATATCCAGTAATAAATTAATAATAAATAACTTTCTCATGGAATGTTCTCTGTATTAAATCTTCGAAAAGCAGTATAACTAATCTAACTATCTTGGTCTGACATAATAATTATTTCTGCAACTTGGAAAGTTTATAATAATCAAGGAGAAAATTTTAGAAGAAACGCAGCAGTTCTGCAATGGATCTGCCAAAAGAATGCATGGCAAAAGAAAACAAATAATATGCAGGGGCATCAATACTGATAAACTTCTGAGATCAGTTTAACATTTTGATAAACTTCTCATCAACTGAGACAGGGAACAATAAAACACACCCCAATCCTGAAACAATATAATTAATTTACCCCAAACCTGAAATAAGAAAATAAGATTTGAAGAAAATTTAATCACAACTAGAAGATTTGAAGGCAAAATACGAAAAGAAGATAACAACATTAAAAAATAATAATAATAAACTACAGATTAGTCATAATTGGAAGAAACTAGAATCGTTAATTTACACCAATTAACAATATTCATAAATGTAAGAAGACAAAATAAAAGAAGGTATAATAAATAAAGAAAATTAGTAAAAATGATTAATTTTCAAACAAACTAAAATCATTTAGCATTGATCTTGAAACAAGCACAAATAAGTAGAGATCCAAATGTAAAAACATGTAATAAACAAAAATAAATTGTTAATAGACTATTAAAATTAGATGAAAGTATAGCAATTAATATCGAATCATCGATGTTGACAAAAGACAAAAAGATACAAGGACAAAACAAAATAACACAAGAAATAGTAATTAATTAATACCAATGTTGACAAAATAATAAAAGATACAAGGACAAAACACAAATAACAAAAGGAAATTAAAACACATACTTAAATGCCTAATAAGCGCAGATATTGAAGAAAGCAAGAACAGAGCCAAAAATATAAAACAACATGAATGTTACTTATAGATGAAGTACTTTGTCATCCTTTCTAATTTTGTTCTTACAGTAGAAGCATTTCTCAAGAAATCCTCCAATCAGCTTCTCGTAACTCACATCAACACAATCCTGAAACAGAGTAAGAAACGAAAAACAATGTTAAGCCGAATTTGCTCTGCAATTCATTTATTTTTTAAGTTAACTATTTGCTCTGTACTTTGGTCACTTAGAACTTAACTATTTGCTCTGTACTTTGGTCACTTAGAACCAACCCATTTGATGGATGAATGCATTTTATTCAATTCACTATTTGGTGTTTGGGGTGGGGGGAGGAAGACATAATAAATCGAACTAAAACCAAATTCTAAAAACAATCAAAATGACATTATATTGAAATAAGGGGTCCTAAAAACTACTCCCTCCTTCTCATATCAATAGTCCATCTTTCCATTTTTAACTGTCCCACAATAGTTGTCCTATTTCAAAAATCAATATACTATATTTTCTAACCTTCCCAATTTAACCTTACTCCATTGAAAGGATAAAGTCCAAACTAATATCACCATGGACCCCACCAATTCAAAACAGAGGGTAAATTTGGAAATCCATTCATACCAATGCAATAATACTAAACCAACAACCTTTCTAATTTTTGAAGGATACAGCATTCACACAAAATTGATAAAGCTTACACGAAGTTATTAAAAAAAAAAAAAAAAAAGAAGAAGAAGAAGAAGATAAAGCTTACACAGTTGTTAACCAAGAAAATATAAAGTAAATCAAGTCACTTACAACCCAAAACCAACCAGTGACAAGTGACTGGAGCATTGGCTCCTACAGTCGATTACAGTTCTTTTTTCATTGTGGTGTACGCCACAGCTTCTTTTGAAGCATATACCCAATTCGGCAAGTCCCTCGACCCACTCCTGTTATAGATTCTACACACACATATATATGTCACATGTAAAGTATTTGATATAGAATGCGCAAAGTATCGACAAGTATATATATCATTAGCTTTTCAGACCAGTGTGTCAATAAGATGTACTTAGGACTAATTCGCAAAAAGACTTGAGGTGGTGAGAAAACAACTTATGCATCTTTGTCATCTGGGGCTCGCTTATTTGCAGGACAACTCAACCGAAATATATGAGGTTTTGACGACATCTTTAGGTTATGACCTTCATACCAACTATCGCAGACATATAGGACGCCAATAGTTTTAGTTTTCAGTCGGTAAACAAATGCTGATAGATATTCCAGAAAGCAGAAACAATAACACAATGTCAAAATCAATCAAGTGCTTATAAAGCACATAGATTAGCTAGTAATTAATTCCGTACAGCTCTTATATATAATAATCAAAGCGCTATTCAAATTTTCACACAATGCATCCATATGCACAACATTAGATTACCTATTGAAAGCTGAAACAAAGTTGAGGGTCAAGTTTAATCCTTCAAAAATATGACACTTATTTTCTTCAAAAAACAAACAAGTGCAACTGTATAAACCAACAGATGTCATCCATGAAAACCTAAACATAAGCAGCAGCCATTCTATGCAGAAAGGCAATCCAATCTAAAATATCTGACAGCTATGCACCACCACATAAATGAACTAGCTAAATATGAGACACAGAAACCGTATACTATTCCAACTAAAACCCTGACACTCACTGGCAGATCCAAGGGGGGGCTTGGGTGTGCTCAAGGCCACCCCAAAAAAAAAAAAAAAAAAATTTTTACTATACCTAATTTTAGCACAGCCCCCCAAAAAAAAAAAATTATTACTAGTATTAGCCCACCCAAAGAAATATTAGCCTACCCCATTAACAATTCCTGGATCCACCCTTGCTGACACTTCACATTGCTAATCCCTTGGCATAGAATCAGCATTTCTTTTGTTTTCTCCTCCTCATTTGCCATGCTGATATGTTCATCATGGCATTCAGCAGTACAAAATGCATGCAGTAGTAGCTGACTCGCATCATAAAGTTTCAGGTTCGGAATGTAAGAATCACGATATCATTTTTAATATTAGCACCAAAGGAAAAAGAGAAAAAGAAAAAGGATAGACACAAAACAATAAACCAGAACATCTGCTGAATTTGCAAATCATGCATGAATTGTTCCTTCAATTAGCTGACCAATATCAAATCAAGGTTAGTACATGGTTTAACAATCAAAAGCATATACTACACAAATCACAATGGAAACAACTTTAACAAAGGTATTATACAGGGTCAACAGAAAATCCAGTGATTAATTATTATCTCCAACACGCAATTTCCTTTATGAATAAAGTCGCCTAAATTAGTATAACTAGTCAAACAATCTTGGCCTAGACAACATGATTATTATTTCTTTAACTTTATCAAACTTTTTATATTTAAGAAGTAAATTGTAGAAAAAAAAAATGATAAAGTTGCCCAATGGATCTTCAGAAATTTTGCATTGCCAAGGTACACAACTGATTTGCAGAGGCATCAGGTTTTTTTTTTTTTTTTTTTTTTAAGTAAAAGTTTATTAGAAAAGCCTTCAAAAGGGGAACGCGTCCCTAATACACAAATCGAAAACTGAACCTAAGGACCAATAGAGTCCAATAGATCAACTAAGTCATCAATTGAGGAGCAAGCGCTTCCTCTTACATAACAGAAAAAAGAAAGAATGGAGAATATGGATTTTTAAATTTGCCAAAGATGATTCCTTTTCTTCAAAATTTCTGCTATTTCTCTCTCTCCATATACACCACCAAACCCAGTGTGGAACTATCCTCCAATAGTCATGAGCATGACCTTTCACTGGGCATCTTCTCCATGCGTAAATCAGTTCTATGGAGGACTGAGGCATCAGTTATGATCAATTGCAAAATAAATTCCAATATCAGTATGACAATGATATAATCCTCTCATCAACTAAGGCAGGGGACAGCACACGACACACCCCACACAGTGTTATCCAATCACAGATAGCAGATTTGCAAACAAAATAAGAAAATAAATTAAATTAAATTAAATTAAAAAGAAAAAGAAGAAGAAGAAGAAGAAGAAGAAATATAATCATTGCAGAAGAGTGATATACAATAAAAAATAGAACCAGTAATTAACGTTAGGGTCCTAAATTTAACAACAAAAATAGAAAAGAAAAAAGTTAAGTAAAAGAATATCGTTATCATATAACGATGAGATGATTAATATACTAGAAACAGTAATTGACATGAGAGGCCTGATGATACTGAAAAATATAAAAACATTGAAAAAAGATAGTAAAAAAAAAAATACAAGGAAATTGATAAGCGTAAAACTTAATTAATATTTGTTACAGGTTATTAATTACTTGAATCAATCTTGAAAATTTAATGAAGAACCCAACAGAACATCAAATAAATAAAGAAAATGGTATAACAAAATCATAACAGATGATTGATATTGGAATAATCTACGATCACTTAGTATTACTCTTGAATCCTCAATCGTGATTAGAAGATGATTAATATTGGAAGCAAATTGGGAGAAGACTACAGCAGTAACATTTCGAAATAGATCCTCCGATCAAACTTCTCATCAATAGCATCACAAAAATGATGAAACGACAAAATCAGAATTCAAGAAATAAAGAGAGCAAAATAATAATAATAATAAAGAACCAAGTATTACCTATAAATGAAGAGCTGATCATCTTTTCTTGAAGTCGTCAACAAATCCTCCAATCAAGATTCTCAAGAAATCCCTCCATCGGCTCTTCGCAACGTAATCCTGAACCGGAGTTGACACCGTCAGAATCATCGGTCGCGATTCATCTTCTTCTTCTTGAAATCCTCAAAAAAATCCTCCAATCAAGATTCTCAAGAAATTCCTCTATCGTCTATTCAACGTACTCGGAGTTCAGTATGCGCGTGTGATTGAGAGAGACAGAGAGAAAAGAGTTTCTGCGAAAACCAAATGAAATTTGTGCAAGTATGTGTGTTTAAGAGAGAGAGGGCCGATGGGGAGTGAGAGCCAGTCTGTGTTAGTGACAGATTTTCGTGCCCGTTTGTGTTGGAGGGTGAGTGAGAGAGAGAGTCCGAAAACGGAATGAAGTAGCGTAAAAACGTATAGGCTGTTATGGCCCCACCGACTTGATTTTGTTTTTAATATTTTTAAATGCATATAGGCTGTTATGCTTACCAAACGTGTATAATACGATTTGATTTTGTTTTTAATATTTTTAAATGCATTATCATCCTTATCTTTCTCCCACGTGAATAATTTTTATGCATAAATTTCCTAAGTCAGTTTATTAAATTATTCAATATTTGTCCTTAATACCTCAGCGTTGTAGGAAAACAAATCTTACCAATTACAAAGACGCCTCGAAAGTTTAAAAATAGATAAAAATACTCATTTATATGAAAAATTGATCAAATTATCTTTTAACCATTTATGAAACTTTTTTAACTTTACAATTTAATAAATTGAACCAATCTATCCTCATGAATAATTTATACATAAAATAAAAAATAAAAAAAACTTTATATTGTTCACTTTTTTTTGTTATTTATTTTATAAATGTCCCAACTTCTTATAAATGTAGACGTCCAAAATGATTTTTTAATTTAATACATATATTTCAAATAAATTATATTTTGTTATTACTTCTTTTTTTTTTTTTTAAATTAAGATGTTTAATTGTTTCATCTAAAAAATTAAACCAATCTCTTTTCCTTAAAAATAAAAAATATGATACTAGTATAACTTTGTACATCTTAAATTATATATCAAATATTATGCATTTCCCAATATAAAAGAAAATAGTTACCATTATAACTTTATACATGCCTTTTTTTTTTCTTTTTTTTTTTCCCTTTGTTTTATTATTTTTTGGGCAAACTACAATGACCTCCCCTGAGGTTTGGACTAATTACAACTAAACATGAGGTTTGTTATTTTGTTACAATGTGACTCCCTGAAGTTTTTTCCATTTTACAATGACCTCCCCTTCGTACAAAAAATAATATTTTTTATCAAAAAATTAGTTTGAAGTGACTAAAATGCCCATCAACAACGTAAAAAGACTCTATTACCCTTGTAATGTAAACAAATGACAACAAAATTCATGTTAAGTGGACCAAACTACCCTTAAACCATTGTCTCTCTCTCTGTTAGAACCCACCTCCACTTCTTCACTGCCACTATCACTTCTGCTAAATTCATATGCAACACCCAAATCAAAAAATGTGTTTTGTGTGCAAAATTCACACACACACACACACACACATATATAATAGATATATGGTTACAAATTCATACATTATATATATATATATATATATATATATATATATAGATCAGACCAGTCCGATCCGAACCAGTCACGGCAGTCCGTCACCGTCGTTGAGCTTCCGAACCACTAACGGCAGCCATCATCGTGCCCAAATCCTTGCTTGCTGTGAATTTTTCACCACTGCCCGCCGTCCATTACGGCCGAAACATTTGAGCCGCCGCAGCCGAGCCATCTTCATCCTCGTCGGTTCTTCACCGCCGCTGCACCACCCGCTTAAGGAATTTGTGGTGTGTGAGACCCCTAATTTCGGAACACGGGTTGATCAAGTTCGCGCACAAAATCAGGGGAATATCAAAATAATTAAAGTATTTAAACAAGCACAGATTACAAAATGAAACAAAGAATAAAATAAAACGCTGAAGAAACTAATAAATAATAAGTCCCTTAATAACTTCCAAACGGTTACAACTCGGGAATTATGTAACTCAAGGACCCCTTAACCAAAAATCCATAATCCAGAAGTTTATTATTAAATACTAATAACAAAAGAAGAAATACTAATATCCTACTTTTAAATAAAGCGAAAGAGTGGACAAGTCCTCCAGCTGCGGATCCTCAACCTTGAGACTTAAATTTCTAATAACCTGAAAAATAAATTGCGGATTAAACCCTACGAACAAGCTCTCTTTACCAAGCCTCTAAAAACCAATAAACAGATCATCTCTACTAAAATCATCCCAAATAAAGCTTTAACTTTAATAAACGATGCTACTAATATATATAAATACCTATATATATTACAATAATCCTATCTATTAATAGGTTCATTTAAAGTGTTAAAACTATTCATCCACGATTAATTATTAATCATACCTAGACCAAATCCATCATTTATAATTTTCTTATAAAATAAACTACACTGACCTTAATTCCATCCTAAACAGTAATTTAACCATTTAAGTAATAAATTACAATTAAAGGAATAATCCAAAATTTAAGCTTTGACAAATCATCCATGTCTCCACCAATATTATTTTATTAGTATATATAAAATAATACACTAACATGTAACCACTAGATTATTCTAATTTAAGAATATCTAATTCTAATCTAATCTTATACCTACCGTACACATAAATGAATTTTAATCATCTAATACACATAACAATTTAATTATGCTATAGCAATTCAACCATGTCATTATGAATATATTTATCTATATATATTGGCAACTCAACCATGCCTCCTTAAGTATATATATTTATACTTTTAATTAGCAATTCATTCATACTTTCCATGTATGTATTTTATCCATACAAATAATAAGGCAATATATTTAAGCCTTTGGCAACTTATCCATGCCTACAATTCAACCATGTACCAACCTTAACCTTAATTAATAAGTTAAATCATACATATACATCTTATGCATATAATAAGCATATCCGTAATTAATACCCAACCTATTCAGATATACCAAATAAGACTAATAATATTAATTATCTTAAATAATACACATATATTATATAATATACATGCGTATAATACATTCCATACTATATATACATATGTATATGTATATATATATATAAATACTTTCTTCCATCCTAATCGCAAGTTAAATAAACTATATATACCCATATATAATTATATATATATATATATATATATTCATTCTCTTCCATAATAAATCATTAATTTATTATATTTACACAAACTAAAGGCTACTAAATATCTTAGTAACACTCTACAACTTCTAGAAAATCAAGAACACCTCAAAACTTATTCTAAGACCTCTCCGGACTTCACATGACCTTTCCGAGACACCAAACACATTCCTACGCGCCCCTACACTCTCCTAAACACCCTGCACGCGCTTCCACACCTTTTTCTACATGCGCACGCGCTCCCACACGACTTCACACGCACAGGAGAGTGAGCACACGCTCACACGCGCTGAGACGAGCTTCCACGCGCACGTACGTGCCGCCACGCGCTGCCACGCGCGCTGGCTGTTTCTCTTGCTGACGCGGTGCACTCCTATTGGTTGGTTGTATCGTGTCCCTGCAGGTGTGCTGCACCGAATCAATCCGTCATCTTCAATGGTCCAGATCCGCGGTGTATCATCTCTCCCTGCACCTCACTACACCGAATCAATCCATGATCATCAGGACCATCCTAAGGTCCTGATTTAAGCGCATTGAAGAGCCATACGCCTTGCTGCACCGAATCCTAGCCCTTTATTTGGGTGCGCCGATTTGAAGCCTCGGTATTTTATATAAACAGTGTATATATTTTATACAAAATATACAAAATAAACTCTAAAATAAAATATTGTAATTCCAGAAAATTTTCATAAAATTCCAGAAAATTCTAGAAAAATTCCAAAAGCTTAATTTAATTATTTTTGGAAAAATATGAACACGTATAATTATATTAAGATCTTTTTAATTTAATTAACCATGCTAAACTAACTCAAGAACAAACTATAAAAATTACAGAAAATAAAACCTTATTAATACAACCTCTCATACAAAACTAAATTATCATAACAATACCTATCTATATTCACATGTTTAAATCAATCACTTTGCAACGAAAAACATGTTCATCTAATCCGATTAATAAATTATTTTTAATCAAACAAATAAAAATATAATCTTGATACTCAAGGTGATAAGTTTATGAATTCTAAGAGGAGAAGTAGAGAAGAACTTGCCTTTCTTTTCCAAATTCGGTCTCCTCTTTCTTTGATCCGGTCTCTTCTTCGTTAGCCCTTCTTCTTCTCTCTCTAACTCTCTTATTTTTCTAACGTAGAAAAACTCCTAACCCTAAAGTCTTATATGTCTATTTAAACACATAAAAAAAAAATCTAAATCATTTTCCCATTATGATTACCATAAAAAAAAAAATAATAATATTTATCTTTTAACTAATATATATACATACATATATTTTAATATAAATATATATATTACCTTTCATATATAACCATTAGTTAAATAAATTATATATACCTATATATATCAATATATATTTATATTGACATATATACCCCTCCACATGATTAAATATACCTATATATAACAATATATATTTGTATACACATGTAATTATATAGGTATAATTATTAAATATCCTCACAACCATGGGCATTTAATAATTAACCCAACAAAGCTTCCTTCAAGCCCAATACCACATCCTTTGGCCCAACCTCCCTTAAACCCAATCCAAATAATTTAAATGCATAAAATAACTAAATAAATAATACACACAAGCATAACTACACCCAAACCCAATAAACAATTCGCTCATTAGCATTTCGCAAATCAAACACTACAATTTTAACAAATAAAATTATAAAACATAATTCAATTAAAACAAGACAATATATCTACACACTTAATTAAATAAAACAAACCACAATTTATCTACACATTTAATTAAATAAAACGAATCATAAAAAAAAAAATCATTAAAAAAAAAATAATAATAATAAAATAAAAATAATTAATTTTAATTAATTAATCCTTTAAAAATATTGGGGTATTACATGGTGGCACGGTTGTAGAGCCCTCATCGATCCACCACCACCATTACCGATTGTAATCGAAACCTAATACCACCACAATCGCGACACCGATTACAGAGCCATAATCAAACCCACCACCACCATAATCGCGACACCTATTGCAGAGCCATAATCGAACCCACCACCACCACAATCGCGACACCGATTGCACAGCCCTAATCAAACCCACCACCATTGTAGTGTCTTAATCGAACCCACCACCACCATCATCGCCGATTCATTCCAATTTCTTCTTCGTCACTCGAGTTCGCCTGAATCAATGGAGTTTCAGTTCGCATGATCTTCTTCGTCACGATTTGGGTTGAGCTCTATTTTCTTCTTTGCTTCGCTGGAATCAATGGAACGTCTAACCCTTGCCCTTGGCCGATTAGCTTGCCTTCAATTCGGTCTAACCCAGATGCTTACATTTAAAGCATTGTTGTACAATACGGAACCGCCGGCTGAGGAGATAAGCTTGAGATTGAATATTGGAACCGCCGGCTGAGGAGATAAGCTTGAGATTGAATTTTAGAATCGCCGACTGAGGAGATAGGCTTGAGATTGAATATTGGAGATGGGTTTCAGTTTTGAAAAAGAAAAAGAGGAAGAGATGGTGCTTGGTGGGGGCGGTGAAGTGATGGTGCTTAGTGGTGGTGGGGTGTGTGTATATATATATATTTACAATTTTACACGCATATAACCCATATGTCACTTGCTATACAAACCCACTTTGGCGGTTATGATGACACTGTGGGTGGTGATGGTGGTGGAATAAGTGGTCTTGGTAGTGTTATTGGTGGAGGCGAGAGAGAAGAAGAAGAATGATAAATGTTATTGGGTACAAGGGTAATTTGTTATTTCTAGGTATTTTAATTTTTTAATAATATAATAATGAGGGTAGATAAGTAAATTTAATGCAAAATCTGACATTGGGGGGTCTTTGCAACCCTCAGGTTTAGTTGCAATTAGTCCAAACCTCAGGGGAAATGCATAAAATTTGATATATAATTTAAGATGCATAAAGTTATACTGGTACCATATTTTTTATTTTTAAAGAAAAGAGATTGGTTTAATTTTTTTAGATGAAATAATTAAGCATCTTAATTTTAAAATAAAAATGAAAAAGAAAAAAAAGTAATAACAAAATATAATTTATTTGAAATATATGTATTAGATCAAAAAATCATTTTAGACGTCTCCATTTTTAGGAAGTTAGGACATTTAAAAAAAAAAAAAAAAAAAAAGTGAACATATAAAGTTTTTTTTTTTTTTTTTTGGTTACTTTTTTTTTTTTTATGCATAAATTGTTCATGAGGGTAGATTGGTCAAATTTATTAAATTGTAAAGTTAAAAAAGTCTCCTAAACGGTCAAATGATAATTTGGTCAATTTCTCATGTAAAGGGGTGTCTTTGTCCATTTTTGAACTTTCAAGGGGTGTCTTGTCCAAAAAACAGATAAATTTTATCTGAGTGTCCTTTTGTTAAACCTTAGGCTTTACCCTAAATTTAACTTCTAAAATATAATTTGAGTGAATTTGAATTATTTTTCTCTCTAAACAAGGCTAAGTAAAAAATAGGTCGAAATTTCAATTTGACATCTATTTTTCAACTAGTGGGTCTTTCTCATTTTCATTCAAACATTCAATCTATATACATTTTAAAAAGTCTAGTGATATAATAAATACCTTGATTGAAGTAATTTCATTTAAAAATTTAATCTTTACTCGTTAAAATCAAAAGTAACTCGGATAAGTTTAATTCAAAACTCTTATTTTCTTTAAAATATTTATTAAATTATTCAGAAAAATTTATAAAAGACAATTTTTTAAAAACATACCTTTTTTCACAAAATTTTTTGAAAAACAATATTTAAAAACTGGCATCCAAGCAACTGTTTTTGTACAGTTCTTTGATTTTTAATTATCAAAAACCAGTAAACTGCCCTTAAAAAACATAACCAAACATCATTTGTTTTTTTTTTTTTTTTTTTTTTTTGAGAGAGACATATACCATTCACCCATTGGATTGAGACACTAAACTGCTTATAAACCCTTGCGGTAATAATAAATTTACTCATTTTTTATAGGAAAATTATATGACATTTTAAGAAAGGTTTTTATAAAAAAATAGGAGTTTCGAATTAACAGGCTTGCCATGATGCATTCATAACCTAGCTGCTTATCCTTTTGCCATAACTAATCAGAAAATCCTACTCACCGTTCAAGAACAAAGTTCAACATTTGTCTGGACTTTTACAATCCAAAAGTTTGTTGTTATTGGTCGGGCAAGAAGGAAAGGAAACAAATTTTTGGAATGCGAAAATCTCAATAATTCAGCCTGCATAAAACAACTGCCTGGTACTCAAACTGTATAAAATGAAACTAAACAAAGAAACGGTTGATTAAAGACTTGGCATTCCCTTCCCAGTTTTAGCATCGTATGTCTTCTCCAATACAAGATCCATTGGAGTATCCTTGGGTCCAGCTGCAAAAAGAAACAAAAACAAGGCACCACAAATTCTATAAGATCTTAAGTAATCATTTAATTTTTGATTGGGCAGTGTCCACATATATGACTACTGTTTAATTTCTAAATCAGGCAACCATTTTCATATATTAACAAGAATCTGTCCAATGAAAACAATACCTAAAAATTTCATGGGAACCAGGCTGGTTTAATGAAGTCATATCCCAAGGACTATATACTTTAAAAGAAAGGTACTAAATTTATTCTAGTTTCGATATCCTTAAGATTTTCTATCAAACCTTCAGACATAGCAGGGAAAAATTCAGAATGTCTATTCCCCCTACTTTTCATACTAAAGTAGAAATAATAACTAGGTTTCTCAAAAAACAGAACAAAGGCTTAAATGCTCTCATTAACAGAAGACGTGAATTGCAAATGCAAAATTGTGCAATTTGCAGTCCCGAAATCACAACATTCACTGGAACTGTAAAACTTCTGCAATAACCCATCTAGACAAATCAATGCCAACCAAAATGTAAAAATATACAAACAACACCGCAAATAAGAGCAATGATTTACTTAAACAAATAGGTAATTGGGTATCAAGATATTTATTTAGCACAACATCAATGAATGATGATGGCATATAACTTTCCTTGTTACCATGTGCATGTCTAATTTTTTCCCTCCCAAATAGATGCATGTCAGAGAGAGCATAAACATCACATCCTATGTCTCACACATCTATAATGCTTAAATATTTTCTTTCAATTGCAAAATGGATGCAACAACTAATGATAGATGCAAAAGGCCACTTACACATACTACAAACTTGCTTATTACGACGCAATTGCAGGAAAAATATACAAAATAATAATAATAATAAAAAATGTGCAAGAACACCACAAACTTAATTTATTATGACACAATTGCAGGAAAAAGAACACACACACACACAAAAAAAAAAAAGAAAAAGAAAAAGAAAAAAAGTTGCAGAACACAAGACTTCTATTATTACTAAAATTAATCATATGCATGTACACATAGATAGGTGATAAATATTAGAAAATACCAATTGTCGGCCTTGGTGTGGTCCTTATTTTTAGGATCTCAGGGCGAGGGATTATGGACCCTGATGCTCCCATACCGCGAGAAATTCTTACTTTGCTACCATCTTCTAGGCGCTTGGTTCCAATTTTACAAGGCTTCCTGCATCAGTAAACATTGATCATCACTCCCATGAAAAGATTAAATTAAAAAAAAAAAAAAATGCTATGTATAAGTATGGAATATATTTATACCCCGTGGCTGGGTCCAGAACCTGAACATTTGAGACATGAAGTGGGGCCTCAATTGTAAAAATCCCACCTTCATGACCTTGCCCTTGCTTGATATGTTTCTTCACCTGATAAGAGGTAAACCATGACAATATAACGTAATACTCTTTTGCCCAATAGATAAAATTGAATAACAGAATCCAATCATTCAAATTCATAGGGCGGAAAATAATATTACAGCAAATGAAAAAAATTAGGCTCAGAAAAAAGAATGAAGATTGAAAATTACCCAACAAGAGATCTATAGCAATATTTACCCCCCAAAAAATGGTCTATAGCAATTAAAAAAAAATACAGAAACAACTTTTGTCCCTTGTCTTTTGGTAGGATCCAACAAATCCATAGCAACTCCAAAACAAGCAAGTGCTAAAAAATGTCAACGGTTAAAACCACCAAGGATTCTTACAAGTTAACTGAAAATGACACCACAAACTTTTAACTTCATCTTGAGAAAGCTTTAAGAATAAAGTTATCACTGAACCCATCATGTTGCATGTCATAGTAACTTCCTACTTCCTAGTATCCCGTTCTACTACCATGAGACCCAAGCACCACCACTCCTTTCCCAGTAACACAAAATATTTTATAACTTACAATAGTAAACAAGGCAGTCCAGATACATTACCTCATCAATTCGTCGTAACAGGTTCAATGAGATCGTAGAAGTTTTCCAAGACGCAACATAAAAATACATAATTATATATATTATGGTACGTATGCGTGTTTTGATGTACATGCACATTCATAATATAATACATGAACGAAGCTTGGATGATCACAAAAATCCTAGGAAGCACGGACACTCCAAAATGGGTGAAGAATCCGTGTCCGACACGTGTCAGGCACGGACACGCGTCGGACACGCCAAAAAACGTGTCTGGAATTTTTTTATTTATTTTTATTTTTCGGACACGGCTCGGACACGCCACGGACACGGCTCAGACAGCTCAGACACGCTTTTCTGGAAATTTTTTTTTTTTTTTTTTTTTAATTTTTAATGCTGATATGTTAATTTTTTTTTTTTTAAATTTTTAATGCTGATATGTTCTATTTTTTGTTTTGTACTACCCTAAAGATGCTGATATATATATATATACTAACCTAAAGATGCCACAATTCGCCGTGTCCGTGTCCTAAAGATGCTGATATATATATATACTAACATATCAGTGATATATATATATATTCCAACCTAAACATATCAGTGATATATATATATATTCCAACCTAAACATATCAGTGTTTTTTTTAAAAAATTATTAATGCTGATATATATATATATATATATATACTATTCGCCGTATCCGTGTCCAAATTTTTTTGGATTTGCCGTGTCGCCGTGTCCTTGTCGTGTCGTATCCGTGTCCCGTATCCGTGTCCGTGTCCGTGCTTCTTAGCAAAAATCTATCTTTCAAGTGATACTGTTCATCACTACACCATACTGCACTTATATTCACCTGCTACCCAAATGGTACCATCTAACATACTTTTCATGTCCTTGAATATCCCAACTATAGAAGAATTAATGGAGATAGAATAAATCCCTCCGACCAAAAAAGACAATGTCCTTGAAGAAACCTGCTTCAGCCGAGGGATAGTAAGCCCTGCCCCCTGAAAAGTACACTAATCTTTCAAACTCCAAATGCAAAGGAAGGAGATCATTCCACACTTCACTAGCTCTCACCCACCAACAACCCCCACTCCAACTCCCCAACAAGACCATCACTAACCCTGTCATAGTCCAAGCAATCCCAAAAAAAAGGAAAGAAGGAGGTTCTACAATTCTCAGTCAACCCTACAATGTAACATAAGACAGCTAACTGACTTCTCTGCCCCACAACACCAATCAGCAATAATAAAAACTCGTATTTAATATAGAAAAGGTAGCATTCAAATCTAACACTAGGGGGGAAAAAGCCACCTAGAAGAAGGAGGGGCGCCGCGGGGGGGTGGTGGTGGTTTGGGGCGCACCATATTATCACAAAAGGAACTGATTTTTCCATCTGGGCCCTAATGTGGCAAAGATTTTGGGTCAAAAAGACTCATAAAAGCATTTCACGTAGAGTGCTTTTGTCTCTGTAATATTAAGATAAGCATGTCTAATGTTTGTGCACCTGAAAAAGAACTATGAATACAAACAATTATAAGTTCCAAAACCCCAATGATAAAATTAGAATAAGTAAGCTGATCATATATAACATCAAAGCACACATGAGATTAAGTAATTAACCAGAGTTGAAATGGTGACACGAGGATTTTCAGTGAGAATTTATGTGACTGACCCTGTATACATCTGTGGCCAAACCAAACCAGAACAACTTTGATGATTTTTGCTATTGATTCCCATGGTGACAAAATCAGAAAGTCTCTCTTTCAATAATAACTCAATTTTGCAACCGTGTTTTTGTGGAAATTAAATGATTTTGTTAGAGAGAGTGAAAATGATGTCAGCGGAAATAATAGGTATAATCCTAAGGTCTCCCCCAAATAAATAAATTTGTTCAACAATATCCTACATATTCTTGACAACTAGTTGTTCAAGAAGAACAATTACCGATCAATTGTTACAGAATATAATAATTAAATGAAAATATGTCCAAAAATGGTGGAAAATTGCATAGCGTACAAAAAGTGGTGTCTCACCAAATTTTTACCCTCAACAATAACACGATTTTGCGAGCGAATGACACGCTTGATAACACCAGACTCGCCTTTATCTTTACCCCTCATTATCATCACCTGCAAACAATAGAGATGTGGTAATAGAAGATTTTGTTGTGTTTATAAAATGAGTAGCAAGAATAGAGATATTGATTGAGAGAAACGGTCTTTCTTCCTCTTACATTATCTCCTCTGAGAATCTTCCAGTGTTGAATGAGTTTCTGAGCAGCTTTCCAACCCATTTCAAATAGAGCAGCGATAGAGAGAGGAACAGAGAGACGGGGAGAGATTCGACCGATGTGAGGAGATATGTAGATGGTATTGAGTGTACGATGGTGGTGTAGTTGACAGTGGTTGCGATACCACTGTGGTAGTGGTCGACGGTAGTTGCTATGCGTAGATGGGTGGTGTTATGGGGTTGAGGTGAGAAAGATTAGGGATTTTTTCGGTATGCTTGGATAAAAAACCTAAGATTCATGCTGAGGGGTAGGTGAGGTATATCATGAATTTTACACTAACCAATAGATTTTTTTTTTGTTTTTTTTCGGGAAGTTAGGTATATTGTATTGAAAATGAAAGGTATACAAGGCAAAGGCCCAAACAAAAACAGAGAAGGCTACCCATAGCCCACTCTATACCAGAAAAGGCAGGCCCAAGGCCAAGCCCAATCAAACAGCTGCCCTAAGACAAATATAGGCTAAAGAAGATTCTAGACTAACGTTGTCTCAGTCAGTTGTGTGCATCCGGTGTTTCCAAGCAAGAGGCCGAGCCTCCAACTTTCAATCCGGCTCCGGCGGTGGCCTGATAATGGACTGGGGAAGATCCCAGTCAAGGATGATTCTCCGAGCCGATGCTGAGTCTTTAATCCGCATGGAAAGCAGCCGCTGTTTCACCATGTCCATTGTTTGATTGATTGAGAGCGTCTTTGATTCTTGAAGGCGCGGCTGTTGCATTCATTCCAGATCTGGTTAATAGTATTGGACAAAACGATTTTGTTGATCGAATTTTGCAAGTTCCGAGAGCTCCAGTGCTGTGATGCCCAATTGACAAATCCGTCCCAGTTGAGATGAGCCACCCAAAATCTACATTTATGTTGCAGGAAGGACCAAATTGGCTTATGTGAAGAACAAGTGGTCGTGAGACTCTCGCTCGTTTGGCAGAGACGGCAAAGCCTAGATCCGTTGAAGGACTGCATACATCGACGGTCATAGGTGGAGAGGCGTCCTTGAACTGCAAGCCAAAACAAAATTTATTGAGTTTCAATATTTAATTGAAGACCTGAATAGAGGGTATATTAAATTTTGCATAGAATTATTTCATCCAAGAAACCCCCAAAACAAAATCTTCTAAATAGATAGCCAAACTTTTACGTCCGAATGTTTCCTCATCATATATAGAATTGCTGAATTTATAATGAGGGATGTGCCAGGCATCCTAAAAATATTTTCATGTTGCACACCATAAAAGAATTACTGTGGGTTTTTTTTTTTTTTTTTTTTTTTTTTTTTTTTAAAAACTTATTATATTACATGAATTTCTGGATTGAAAGAAGCCCCCTAGATAAAAGTCTTGTCAGACACCATTTGATTTCATAATGTTTGGCTTTTTTATTAATAGTAAATATTTTATTTAATCATTAAATCATCATAAATTAAGGTACCATAAAAGAACTAAATCTAGATGGGTACTTCTTTTTTTTTTTTTTTGCCCTTTATTATTTTTATTTTAAATTATGTGAGTGGGGAGTACCAAAAAAAAAAATTAAAAGTTAAAGCTAGGGTGTAAGACCTCCCATCACATCATTACAGGATCTGAAAAGGAATAGATGTATACAATCTTAATTCCCTGGATGTGAAAGGCTGTTTTTAATTTCGAATTCATAATCTTATGTTATAATAAAATAACAGCTTTAACTCAGGTATGTGAAAGGTTATTTTTCATTTTCAATGATCACTAACCAATAGAATTGAAACATATTTATGGATAAATTATAATCTGATACTTGGACAAATTAAGCAAATTTTACACGAATAAATCATTCAAGTCCCTAAAGTTTGGCACTGTGTGCTCATGATACCCCTAATAATGTTTTAAAATGACAACTTTGTGTTTTTCCTTGTATAATATTAGAAGTGTATTATTAATTTTTAATACTTATGTTGTGTTTGGTAGGAAGGAAAAGATGTTGAGAGAAAATAAGAAGAAATGAATGAATTTTATTTGTTCGGTAGAGATGATATAAAGAAAGAAAAGAAAATAATTTTACAAATTTTATTATAAAAATTTAAAATTAAAAATTATACTAAATTATATAAATTTTAAATTACAGTATTATCCTTATTAATTACATTATTATAAATATTATTGGATATAATGGTAAAAATAATTAAAATTTTCTCTTTCCTTTTCTATTAACAAACATAGTAATTTTGAAGTAAAAAAAAAAAAAAAAACCATAGTAATTTTGAACTTAAGCAATATCTTCCCTAAGATGTCTCATTCATCTATTATTGTCTCCCTTTCATTTAATTTTTTTCTTTCATACTGGACAGAGCATCAAAGTTACTTTTCTACTGCCCACAAATAGATTTAGAAGGCAACAAAGTAATAAACGCTGAATAATTATATGTAATTTACTCAAATCTCAGAGAATGTCGGTATAATTTATTCCAGTTTTAAAAAAAACTCATAAAACAAATAACAGTTTTTAAAAAACTCAACCAAGTATAATTTTTTGTACAATTTTTAATTTTCAATTTTCTTATAATAAAAAATTATTTTTATAGTTACAAACCAAACGGGCCCACTATTTTTCAATCTCCATCGTGATCTCCTATATAAATTTATGCTGCAAGCTCTTTATCTTGTTAATTCGTGTCCACCCAAAAGGAATAGTGAAAAAGAGATTGCAATGATCTAATAATTGGTATACAAGTAATATACCAATCATTTTTATTGCATTTTTTTGAAAAAAATACGTACAATGGCAGAGAAAAAGAGAGATGTGATATTCCTCCACATCTTTACAAACATCATGCAATTTATCATGCATCATCCTGAACGCTCTGTTTAATAATCAGCAAGATTTTGTAGTTGAGCTGCACCACATAGAAAATGAAGGTTGGAAAACAATATCAATATATAATTGAAGGCTGGCCATAAAAAATAAAAAGAAAAAGAAAAAGAAAAAAAAAAAGACACTTCAATTAAGTAAATTCATTTGTTGAGGAATATATTAAATTAGAATGGTTGACTTCCTGAGATTTCTCAAAATCAGACTTCCCAGATGGAAATTGATGCAAGCCTTTTTATTTATTCATATTTATTTTTTCCCGAATATTTAATGATCATGCTCTTTGTATTTTAAACTTACTGTTTATAAACTTAAAAAAATATTATTATTTTAAGTACTTTTTCTAACTTAGCTACAATGCATTTAAGTATTCACAATTGACATTACAACACCGAAAAACAAATAAAGAGGGTGTGGAGTAGAGCACCCACAACACAAACATTGCTTTAGTAATAAAACATACCGCCAAGCTCTTTTGTCCCGCAAATGGCGGAACATCTCATGTCACAGACGGGTCCCTTTTCATCGGGTTTGCACTCCTCCTTGCATTTGTTCATACAATTATCGAATTGAGGCGTCTTGGCTTGGGCCTCATGTACATGCATTACTGCAACAACAAGAATGGATATAAGAAACACTGCAACAAGTTTATTATTCGCCATTTTTAAACTGCATAGTCTCTGCCGCTGGCCTTCTCTATAATTTTGCAGTGTTTCCCTGAGACTTGGGTTGTTTCAGGAGATGGAAAAGGTTATGTATAGGGATGATGAACCTTAATTCATGGGGACAATTTGTGGTAAGCGTTGCTTTTGCGTAATATGGGATCCATTGTGATTCAACCAAATTGCTTCATTTCATATCTGTCATTAGGATTCAAGGGGGATAATGATGACCTATTCACCTTAATTTGACCATAAGCTACATTTGGTGTGTATACATATATATATATATATACACTTACCATATTCCCATTGTAGTAGTGTGTTTGATTGTAGATATTGGATGATTTTAACAATGTCCTACAAATTTGTATACACTTTTCCATGGTTTTTTTTTTTTTTTTTGGTTGTCAAAATCTTTCAAAAATTAGTTAGGGTCAAATTGTAAATTTTGGATTAACCAACTTGATCAAGACAGTATACTTTGTCTAAAGTAGGATGCTGTATAAAATGGAATGGAAAAATCATCCATAATTTAATATTGGCTACATACATGAAAAGATGAATTCATTTATTTTTGGATGATATAAAGACCGAATAATTAGGCAAAATAAAAGTCATGATTGTTGTATCAATCAAATACATCACTCATATTACAAACTTTTGCTTTGTTTTTCACTTACACATTAGCCGTTATTTGCACAATTCTGACACAATGTAAAATGACTTAAATATTATTTAATGACAAAAATATCTCTAAATATTTTATAAATTGTTTATTATGTTATATATATATGTTATCTTTTCGTCGGATTAGAGTATTGGCGAGTATGCGAGTGGTGGTGATAGGTAGGTTTAATAATGATGGTATAATGGTCATTTAAGTAACTTGGTATTTAAGAATAAATGGGATTAAAAAAATAAGGGTAAAATTGTTTATTTTTTATTTTATATTTTTAACTGAGACTGTAAAGAAAAAATAGATCTAAGCAGGGATAGAACTAGGAAATTGTGTGAAAGGGGGTAATAGTATAATTTTTTAATAATTTTAGTAGGGGCGGTTGTGTAATTTTATATATATCAGTGAGGGCAATTAAGTGGGGGCAATTGCCCCCACTGACTTGTACAAGTAATAATCATTTTTCAAATATATTTAAAAATAACATTTGACCAAATCTGAAAAGATTTTGATGAAATTAACCCTAAATAAAGTAGCCCTTCGTGTTTGACAACCTCACAACCCCAAAATAGCTTAATGAATGTCCACTAATGCAAGTGCTAGTAAGGTGTTGCTGCTGTAATAAATATATATATATATATATATATTTTGGTATAGCTGTCAAAAATTTACTATTATATTAAATGTGGATACCATTGCTTTTTTTTTTTTTTTTCGTCTAATTACCTTTTTATACACTTTGACAATATCCAACGGTTTGGTGTGCACAGTATAAAGTACTTTTCATAATTAAAGTATTTTTTAATATGTTAAACTAATTTTTTTTAAGATCTGATTCCAAATAAATTATTTTATTATTTTATTTTAATTTTAAGACACTAATTTCATAAAAAGAACATAATATCAGTAAACTAATTTTTTCTTAGCTCAAATTTAAAAACACCAATTCTATGCTATCTAACTTTATCAATGATTTTGTTTTCTTTCTTATTTTTGCATATAGGTCAATCAAGACTCAAATAATACCACATATATAAATGCATTGTTGAAGATATTTGGCAACCAAAAGTCACAGTTAATTTAGGAGTGTTCATTTGATCAGTCAATTCCGTCCTAACGAACATGATTAGTTTTTTCCTCCACCAATCTGCCTTCTCGGGTACTCACTCAGTTTAAAACTATTATGGGGTGGTTAAATGGTTTTGGGGCAAAAATTTGAGTTTGAATTGAAAACTCACATGGTTATGAAGCAGAACAGGGAAATGTCATCTTGCCCCCATTTATAATGATAAATTATAATTTTTTCTTATATTTTATTTATATTAAATAATATTAGGTGTATATATTTATGAAATTCTAATTTATTCTATTCCAACCACTAAATGTATTTTTGTATTATATTTTTTTTGAGAACTTCTATGTATTATTTTGATATTTTTACAATAATATTAACTCTCAAGTTTCAATTGAGAGGTTTAATTTTGTTTTTATCGGTATCTATATATATATATTTGTAGATTATTTTGGTAATTGGACGAGAATGAGAATGGCTTCCCCATCCCAAATCACCCCATTACCATCCCTGGCTTAAGAACCCATTGGGTCGGTTTTATTTGATTCGGTTCATGGAATAGGGTCTCAAAAAAGTTGACCCAATCCGAACCCTTGACATTTTGTTCGATTGTAGGTAGTGTTTACTCCAATGGAGAGAAACAATTGTTATCTTCAGAGTATGCTCGTTGAGAGACTGTTTTTCTTGTAAATTCTTATTCCATTTCTCTAACAAAATTATTCAAACTTCTTTTTTTTCTCGGTAAATAAAATTTTTCAACTTTTCCCCCAAAAAACTTATATTTCCATCAGTAAATTTGATCTTTTAACCTAATGTCTGAAATTACAATTATTCATGCTGTTTAATATGTATTCAAGATTCCAAATACATATCAATAAAGTACGATGAGAGAAAGATAGCAGTGATCCGAATCCACACTCTTGCTCATAAACTACTGTTGCCTCTCAAAGATATTAAATAATTATAATCAATGTTATTGCTTTTCATCTCCAATACAAAATGTTATTTCTCCGTGCTAAAATTACATTATAGCAATTCTGCTCTATTTGTGCATTTCATCCATACATTATTCTTGTTTTTCCATGTGACTTTTCAGCTCGTGTCTGCACAAAAATGGAAAAAAATCTCAGCATCTCAATTGCTATATATGAGAAAACTTTTAAGATTCTCATATTTAAGAGGCTGTATAACCGACTATTAGAGAGTGTATCAGCAAAAGAAGTATGCTACATTTTGAGTTTGAGAGAAATTTTAAGTCTTAGGAAAAAAATAAAAATAAGGTAAAGAAGAAGAAGAAGAAGTGCTATTCTTACACTAATTTAAGGTAATTAATTTAATATGCTTCCCCTCTACGGTCTACCTTGATGTTCGTCAAACTTCATTCTTCCTCATCTGTAAAAGGGAAAATGCTGCGTCTTAAACAACACATATATAATATTGAAGGCCAAAACATTTGAAAACACACACATATATATAGAGAGAGAGATTCATATATATATATATATATATATATATAGTTAAAAGGTAGTAATTTAATCACATATGCAAACATGAGACCACAGAGTTGGTTTGTTCCATGTGTTAGAAGGTGAAATTTCCTAAAACTTACCTACAGACATCTTGTCTTCATTTTCGGCACATTGATTCCGACACTTCCTAAGGCAGGTGTCTGGGCTGCCGCATTCCTTCTTGCAAGAGCTGAAGCAGTCCCCAGACGCCACGACTGGGGTTGGGTCTATGGTGGCGGGAGCTGTGGCTGCGTCCATGACGGCGTGGTAGTGATCATCACCGGCGGCTTTAGCTACATGCATTGCTGCTGCAAAAACAACAATACACATGAGGAACACTGTAACAAGCTTCTTCCCCATTCTTTTCTTTTCCTTTTGTTTTCAATGTTCCTTGAGTTTTGGAAAAAGATTATTGTTATTAATTTATATTGGTTGGTTAGATTTGTTGTGCGTGGTAAACCTAATATTATGGGAAAGTTAGAGGTTTACATTCATTGTTGTACAAATATGGTCCGCATCCTATGGTTAGGATCAATATTAGTATGAAATGTTTAACCATCTATATTTTTTTTTAGGTCAATAATATTCTTTCACTTCCGTGATCTCCATTAATCCCATCATTATGTGAGCTGTAACAACTAATAATCAAAAAGGAAGAGGGAGGATATAAGGGAAGAGAACATTAATTATTTGGTTGTCAAAATTTATTCTTGTTTTGTTTTTGTTCTGTAATTATTATTATTAACTCATCTCAAAACTGTTGTTATTAGAATCTGCCCAATTAAAAAGAGAAAAGATGGGTCTTGGTCTTGGGCTGCCGGCTCTAGCCTAGCTAGTTCAATGGACAATTTACCAATTGGGGCAAGTTAGTGGTATAGACATACCACGGACATCATACGTTACGAAACAATTTAAACTTTTAAAACGTAATACATGAGAACCGGGGATCAAAAATTTTTAAAAATTTTATTATACCCTCAAAAATTAGTTAATTTATAAATAAATTTTAGTTTGGAGTTCTAAAATTCATTCAAAAATTTTATTTTACCCTCATAAATTAGTTAATTCACAAATAAATTTTAACTTGGAGTCCTAAAATTCATTAACAGTTTCACTTGGCCCCCTACTTTTTTCAAAACATTTTATTGGCCTCAAAATAGAGAGTTTGAAAATTAATTTAACTTGTGTCATTTTAAAATTTATATAAAAAATTTATTTGGACCATTTTAGCCATACTCTTGAAAAGTCAAATTGTCTGAAACATAAATTTTTAGTTATTATAATTATAGTACTCTCATCGTAACTCCATTTACATATATACACATGTATATTAATTCTAGAGAGAATAATACATTTATGTTTAATAAAAATGCAATCACAATTTTTTTTTTTGGTCATACATTTTAGTCTCAGGGTATTTATAATTAAAATATCTAAAATTAAATACTAATCATTATTGGCAAGTTTTGAATTCATTAGAAGAAAGTGTTGTGAGACTTAAATGGCAAAATGTCAACAAATGATATCATATATATTAACGCTTTGAATTGTCACTTGCTAAATGACAAATTGAATAGCGATTAATTTCTTATATAAGTTACTAAAGTTATCGAAATTGTGTACTATAATTTAGTTAAAATTATTATTTATTTGAATCTTTTAAGAAGATAATAATGATATATTTTTCCAAAATTGAAATCAAATTACTCAAAATGTTTTTCTAAAATGAGTTTTTAAAAAATTAAACAATTGCTGAAAAAAATTTAATTATTTAATAATGTTCTCTCTTTATCTCTTCATTTTTTTACTTATAAATTATCATTGTCTCTTCTATATATTTGTTTCTCAAATCAATTTTTTTTTCCCTGTATATTAAGTTCCATTTTTTAAATTATGCTCACCATTTCTCTTCAATTGCTTGATTGTTCCTCAGCAATTCAATATAAATATATATATAGGTAAATTACACTGACCTTCCTAAAATTTGGACAAATTACACACATGTAAAATATTTAACCTTTATTACTTTAATCTCCCCCGATATCTCCCCCTAGATTTGGCGCGTGTGCTCAATAAAATCCCTTATAGTTTAAATTTTTTTTAAAAATAACTAAGTTGCCCTTTCTTTGTGTTAAAAGACCCCAATAATCTTATATAACATGAAATGCAAAATATCATTTTTCATACCAATTTTATATTATTAAGTTTTACATTTTTTTTCTTTTTATTTTAATTAATGAGATTTGATTAGGTTTCTTTTTAGGAGTTGATTAGGTTTTAATTATTATTTATCTATGTGTAATTTGTCCAAATCTTAAGAGAGTTACTGTAATTTACCTTATATATATATATATTATATCTATATATAGAGGGGAAGAAAGAAAGAGAGGGATCAGACAAAGTGAGTGAAAGAGGGGTTAAGCTTGGCTTGACCAAAAAGATGAATCAGAATTTTTTAAATTCTAGAGAGACCCAAAAGGCAGCATCAATTTAGGTTTATAAGGGCATTGGACCATTGGTAATTTTATGTAAAATAATAGTACGTGTGTGACGAGACAACGAGTGTTCAATTAGAACATGAAAACGTGATTAAATTGGTCCTAATTACTTTCCGGGACGGAGTGGAATAGGCACATATTTTGTAATAAAATGTAGGGTAAATATTAGTAGTTTTGATTGAAAATTGCTCTATTTTACCAGTACTCGGTCAATATTCTTTTAACAGAGTATGACCAAATTGACCATTCACTGTATATTGATCAGAATTATGGAATCACATACCCACATGATTGAATAAATGGAAGCAAAATGATTGATAAAGGAAGAGGTTAAGGTTGACATCACAAGATTGAATGAAAATACATTTATTTAAATTGTAACAACAAATCATGTGTAATCACCACCATTTTGATTGAGCTGTTCTACTATGGATAAAAATGTCAATCAATCAAATATTAAAAATAACTCCTTTTATAGAAGAATCTCTGTTCCAGCATTGTTTCTGACACCTGATAACGCAGTAGTCGGGGTTGCCACAATTGTTCCTGCAAGAGTTGAAGCAGTCACCAGAAGCCTTGTCGCTGGCTGCAGCTACATGCATTGGTGCTGCAGCAACAGCAACAACAATACACAGGAGGAACACTGTAACAAGCTTCTTCCCCATTCTAGCTTGTTTATGGCTCTCTCTGTTCTTTCCTTTTGTTTTCAATGTTCCTCCAGTTGTTGCAGGAGTTTTTTGTTATTTATAATGGTTTAGGTTAGATTTGTTGTGGGTGGTCAACCTGAATTTTTGGGAAACTTTGAGGTTTACTTTACATTCATTGTTGATCAATTTTGGTCCGCATTCTATTTTAGGATCCAGGATCAATCCAGCCTCCCTGCTCATCAATATATATTGTAGGTCAACGGCAATTTTTGGAGTGAATCCAATAAAATCTTATTTGACTTGTAGCTTTTTTTCAGTAAATTTTATTTTTAATTTTTTTTAATCCAAAAAACTAATTAAGATGGGTTACTTTTACTAAAATATCCCTACAGTGTCAAAAAAAACCCTCTTAATTTTATTTGAGTGAAAGAGGGGTTATACCCTTTGGCCAAATTATATATAATATTACATAAATTATTTATATTACTATTATAGTACAAGAGGGTTACACATTATATTACTCTATTTATAATATTATTATATTATATTATAGGTAGTATATAAGTGGTCGCCATAAAACCCTCTTAATTTGTTAAGAATATTTTTGGCAGTAGGTCAAAAAGTAATCCCTCGAGTTTTTTTTGACAAAAGAAAAAAAAAATTAAAAAAAAGCTTTATTGCGAAATGCTACAAGAGAGTTTAATGCAATTTGCTCTAATCTTTTACTGATGTGATCTGCATTAATCCCATTATACTGTAACTACTAATATTCAAATAGGAAGAGAGAGGATAAGGAAAGAGAACTTAAAAATTGCTTGGTTTGTAACAGAAAATTAAAAAAGAGAAAATTGTACAAAAATTATGCTAAAAATTTTTAAAACAATTTAGTGAAAATTCAGTTATAAAAAGACCTATTTTTTTTTTTTAAATTTTCTGAAAATTATTTTCTGTTTTTTTAATTCTTAAAAATTATTTTTTGACTTGCAAACCAAATGGACCTTTATTAATTGTTAAAATTTATTCTTATTTTGTTTTTGTTCTATAAAATTTGTTTTACTTATCTCATAACTTTTGTGACTTGGGCTCTAAAGTGGAAAAGAAAGGATGCGTCTTGGTCTGGCCTAGATAGTCCAATGGACAAATTACCAACGAGGACAGGTCTAGGGCTGTTGTGCCTTGGCCTCTGAAGTAACAAAGAAAAGACGGGTGTTGGTCTGGCCTAACCAGTCCAATGAACAAATTACCAATAAGGATGGGTTTTTGTACCAGTAAATTACCTCCGTTTCGGCAATTGTTTTTTTTTTTTTTTTTTTTATGTGTAAATTTGAATAAAAAAAACTTAAGCTATTAAGTATTATCGTACGCCCACTCATATCTATCCGATGAAACACTTTTAACACTAACCATTCACTTGAGGAGCATTTGAAAACCATGACCCAGAGAAATATTATCATCCACTTAAGTATTACTGTATGTACTCTGTTTTTCTGTGGTTAATTGCTCTTTGGCTTCGTTCGGATGCACAAGAGAAAAAAGAAAAGAAATGATTAAGAGAGAAAAGAAATGAAATGAAAAAATAGCTATAATTTATATTTATGTTTGGATAGATAGGAGAGAACACAAAAAAAAATAATATTCTTGTTAGGATAAAATAGAGGAGGGAAAAGAAAGAAAAATATAATAATCAAATTACTGTATTACCCTGTTGTATCTAATGTAAATAAAATAGCTTGTTTTGAAAACTTAAATTACTTGTAATTTGGAAAGCTTGATCCCTTTTGAATTACTTGTATTATATAAAATCCTTATAATTTATTGGCCTTCCATCCCGGAAGTCGTTGTTTCAACTTCAAGCTGAGCGAATTTTGTGTGTTCAAAAATTAGTAGCTCAATATGTAGATGATGGTGAGCTTCATCTTGCAGTTTCTGTGAGTTCATACCTCATTAGATTTGCTATCATATTCTTAATTATTGGGTTATATGCAGGTTCAGCTGGTTTGGTGCCGATACATTGGTACATAATGACTAGTCCATTTACTAATGATGCCACACACAAGTTTTTTGAAAGTCATAAATATTTTGGCCTTCAAGCTGAGTAAGTAAGATATATACATACATATACATATATATATATATATATATATATATATATTTGCTTTTTTTATTTAGTTCTTGATTTTGGGGTAGCTCACCTATGAATACATTTTTAATGCAGGTCACCTTCTTTCAGCAGAGCACCATACCTTGTGTTTCAAAACATGGTAGATTTGTCATGGAGACTCTGATTTGCAGACACAAGAGAAGAGGAGATAGAGAAGCTGCGCCTATATATTATTGACCTTGGGCTTGAATGTAATATAAATTTTGTGTATAAAATTTTGAAGGTTAATTTTGTCTTTAATGATAATTTTACTTAAATTGTTTCATTTGCCTTCAAATCTTCTCAAAATTGGAAGGATTTAGTTGGAGGGTCCTTCCCAATCCTTTCTTTTCTCTTCTATTCTCTCCCTCCAAACACACTTAACACTATTCTTCCCTTTCTTTTCTCTCTAAATCCCTCAATTCAAATTTGAGTTTTGCCTGTAAATTCTATTCCATTTCTCTAATAAAATTATTCACCCAATCCAAAAAAAAAAAACCATATATATCCTGTCCAGTGTCCTCCAGTAAATTTGATATCTAAACCAATGTCTGAGATTACAATTATTCATAGACATTCCATATCCCAAATACATATATAGGAATAAAAGTATGAGAGAAAGATAACTCTTGGTAAACTACTACTGTTCTCTCAAAGAGAATAAATAATTATAATCAATATTTTCCCTTTTACAGAAGACTCCAGCTTGTTGGAGCATTATTCTTGACACTTGATAACGCAGTAGCCGGGACTGCCACAATCCTTCCTGCAAGAGCTGAAGCAGTCCTCAGAAAACTTCACAATCCTTCCTTCCTTTAATAGTCAGTGGCGGCAATTCAATTGCCCACTGAATTTATTTATTTTTACTATTATATACCACTATTTTTTTTTTTTTTTTTTTTTTTTCAACTATATACTTATAAAATTTTCACTTTAACCTTCTAAAATTACAAAAATAAATATACTAAATTTATTTTTATCCCCTCTCACAATTTTCTGGATCCGTCCTTGACGATTAGGACTGTGTCTCGGGTGTTTACATCGTCATGGGCGGCTTTAGCTACACGCATTGTTGCAACAACAATTACAATACAAATGACAAACACTGTAACCAGCTTGGATCTTCTTCCCCATTCTTGCTTACTTTTACTTTCATTATGTCTACGTTATTTCCTTTTGTTTTCAATGTTCCTTGAGTTTTGGCAGGAGATTATTGCTATTTATAATGGTTGGTAGATTTGTTGTGGGTGGTTAGGTCTGAGATTTGACAAGTTTTTTAAAACTTCTTTATTGCTGCATCATTTATTTATTCGGCCTATTTAGTTTTATTTTAATGGCCTATTTATTTATCTATAGCAAGTGTCACATCGGTTGGATATGGGAAAGGGATGGAATTAATTTTTTAAGATCATCTAAAATAATAAATAAATAAAAATTATTCTTGAATTCCGAGTTTGATGTCTTTTAATATAAACACTTAGTAGTAAATTTTATGAAATTAATAAATACAAATAAATTCAATTATGAAATAAATAAAATTTCATATCATATCTAACATATAAAAAAAATTAGATAGACTATAAAAGGTATGTAAATTTGCACTATTATGCTAAAATTAATATGACATTTTAATTTGAGAGGATAAAGAATTTCTTATAAATGCAAATGAACAATATTAATTTGACGTAGTGAGGTCAAGTGAAAAAATAAAAAATAATACTTATTGGATTTTTTTGTTAGGTATACTTTAGTTTCGAATTTGGGTGGGTTTCTAATTTGAATATGGTTGTATGAATTCAATATAATAATTGTAAGTCCCGCAACAGTTAGATATGGAAAAAGATAGTGAGCAATGGCAATATCAACATAGGTAGAAAAAATAAATTCAATAGAGCAACTGTAAGCCCCACTTAGGTTAGATTTGGGAAAGATTAAAAATATAAAAGAATAATTACAGAAGCATGAATTTTCGGAGTTTCAACATTCATGAATTTTGCTGAAAGTATTGTCATATATTATTTTTGTGCAAACATTCATGGAGAGTGATAGCTCTGTGCATACAAGTGTACATGCACTTTAAAAATAAATACACTGTTTGCTTCTTCTTTTTTTCTTTACTGTTTGGGTCTATTTGTCTCTACATTCTGCCCAAATTATTATTTTTTCCTTTGTAAGGTAATGTGTAATGTTTTTTTATTTGTGAAAAATATGTAATGTCTATTTATGAAAAAAAAATGTCTTTTTTTATTTATTTCCTTTAATTTTGTCAACAAATATGAAAATTATATATTTTTTTCAAGATTTAAACATCTCTATTATCAAATTTGTTCAACAAATGTTCCATTAAAAAAGTTTTAGATGAAGATGATTTATAGCGTTGGGTTTGTGAGATTTGGGTGGAAAAAAAAAAAACCTTTAGATTTGAAGTGGGTTTTTGGAGCTCAATTACTTTAAACTAACTTGATTATTGGAGATTTAATATTAATTTAGTTTGATTGTAGCTTGTGTTTACTCCATATGGATGAACAAACAATCGTATATGCTCATCCTAACATGAAACCATTACTAACAGAACACGTGGCGGAGTTTGAGAATAGAAAATTCAAATTCAACAACTCTGCATACCTCTTGGATTAACAGAATTTGAACTGGTTAAGGTTTTCGAAGTAAATTAAAGTTTACACACATTATTTGTGTTGCTCTCTGTATGTTTGAGGTTGCCTGCCTTAGCTCCTCTGCTTTTCTGTGGTTGCTCTTTGAGTTTTGCTTGTAAATTGAATAAACTTATTCACCTATCTACACACACAAAAACCACATATTTCCTTTCCTCCAGTAAATTTGATATTTTAACCAATGAATGAGACTACAATTATTTATGATAATTCATGATATTCCATATCCAAATACAAAGCGAGAATAAATAATTATAATCAATGTAATTAAATTTTTTTATTTTTATTTTTATTTTTATTTTTCCTTTAAAAAATACATAGCAGTAGGGGGGGAAAGAAAAAAAAAGAAGTGATTTTCTTACACTACTTTAAGGTAATTAATTTAATGTGCTGCCCCTCTATCTTGATGGTCGTCAAACTTCAATCATCTTGTTCCTCTGTAAAAGGGAAAATGTTGTTAAACAAGACCACATAATATTGAAGGCCAAAACAATTGAATATATATATATATATGTAGTTAAAATGTATTAGTTTAATCACCTGTAATCCTAATATGCAAGCATGAGATGAGAACAAGGAGAGCTTGTTTGTTCCTTGTGTTAGAGAATGATGAAAATTCCTAAAACTTACCAGAAGAGTCTTTGTCATCTTTGTCGTTGTCGTCTTTGTCGTCTTTGTCGGTGCATTTATCCACACACTTCATTTCGCAGGAGTCGCTGCTGTCCTTGGGGTTGCAACCCTTCTTGCAAGAGCTGAAGCATTCATCAGAAGAAGGCGCCCCCGTGGGTGAGGATGCTTCTGGGGTGTCATCGTCGTTGTCGTCGTCACCATCGGCTTTAACTACGCGCATTGCTGCAACAACAACAATGCACACGAGAAACAATGTAACAAGCTTCTTGGCCATTCTTGCTTGCTTTTATTATCTCTCTCTCTCTTGTGTTTTCAATGTTTATTTGATAAATGAGGGCTTGTGCAGGAGAATATTATTGTTGTTTATAATGGATGGTTAGGGTTGTTTTGGGTGGGTGGTGAACCTGAAATAATGGGAAAGCTAGAGGTTTACATCAATTGTTGTACAAACTTAATTGATCCACATTCTATGATTAGGACCCAATATTTTTCTGGCTCAATACTATGAGCTGTAACTACTAATAATCAAATAAAAGGAAAGTGAACCTATTTGTAATTACTAATAATCACATATCCACATCACTGATTAAATTAAGCAAAGCAATCATTCATAAAGGACGAGCTTATAGTTCACAAGATCATATATAAGTAAGATATACTACTATATTTATTGAATTTGTAACGACACTATCTTACAACTATTTGATTTGAGTTCTACTATGGATGTAAGATAGAAATGAACAAGCCACTCATTATCAAGCTCACATCCTCCCATAAGAGAAAAAATAATGTCAAACAAAAGCAAGGAACAAAACACACAAAATGCCGGATTAGAATCATCCAGTATTTAATTCAGTAGCATTTGAAGACCATGATCCCCAGAAACATTATCAGGACAGATGGTGAAAAGGTGGACGATGGACTAGAAGCTGATTTTGGGGTCAGCACTGGTCGGATCCCTGCAGTTGCCGTTGGAGCTACCGATGAATGCAATGGAGGAGATGCCGGTGCTGTATCAAAAGTCGGTTCGTCTGGTGATGGTGCTAAGGCTGTTGCTTTTGAAGCTGCCATGAGTGTGTGATTGAATGCCAAATGTTAGAACATTTTCTATTTCCTATCAATTTATAAATGTTTATCTAGGAGTAATTAGTGGTCACAATGAAGCAAAGCATTGCAAAATCACAGCACATTACCTGTTGGACTAAAAGGAGAAGAAGCAGTAGGTGGAGGTGTTGGCACAAATAAAGCAGGACCTGCCAATTATCAAATTTGATTAAACCTTTTAATTAATAGAATATGTAATCAAAGATGAGTATTGTATTGAAAATTAATTATTTTAAAGTACGAATAAAAAATGCACGAATTTATTTTACTTCAGGATGTACCTGGAGCTGGAAGAGGAACACCAGAGGCTGCAAAATTAATATAATGAAATGCACCATTAGAAATGTAATGAGCATCATCAATCAGCACAAAACAGAGTATTTAAAAAGAACGAAAAATTGCACCTTTGCACTGTATGGGCACACCACCATTACATGATCGTGGGAGTGAGAGTGCTAGGGTTTGGTTAATGGGTAGTGAGAAAGGAATATTTCCAGTGATGATAAGACAAGCACAATCCATGCTACCGCTCATGAGAGACTTTAATGAGCTGCAACAACCGGCATTCGGTGAAGACCCGTTGCCGGTACTTCCCGTGATGAAATTTAAGCATGGAGTGAAGCTGCTGATCATTGAGGCTGTGCATGGTGTGCTGATGATCTGCCCATTAACTGAAATGACTGATAAAACAATTATTAGAGTTGCATATAATGCAATGTTATATGGAAAAGCCTTGAACCTTGACATTCCTTGAAGAGAGGGAGGCAAATGGTATTGAAAAAATTGAACGTTTTGGAGTGATGGGTTTTAAGATTTTAGTTTGGGTTTTGGAATGTAGATGAAGATGATTTATAGTGTTGATGGGTTTTAGAGATTAGATGGGAAAATATATATCCGTTAGATTTGAAGTGGGTTTTTGGAGCTCAACTACTGAAACTAACTTTTAATCATTGGAGATATTATGGTTGATTCTCTCTACCTAAAGAGATAGGAGTTCAATGTTAGGTATGTTGTCTTAGATTCCAACGATGAATTTTAGTAGAATATAAAATGACACACCAAGGACAAATTGAAACTATGTATTTGACAAGTAATATAGAACTTTAAACAGGAAATTTCTATAATTTAGAGTGAAAGATTTTTTTAGATATTGCTACAAAATTATGCATACAAAATTCCTTCTAGTTTTAGAATGTTAATATATCTCACAAGTGACAACCCTCATGCTCTAATAACATGCATACCTAATGTGTTGTTAATATATAGGGTAAACTACACTTACACCCCCTTAGGTTTACCTAAATTACTCAGGGAGGCTTTGTTTGGAGATACCTATGCAAACACTTTATGCATTTGGTGCTATCTCAACTCCTCACTTGGGAAAAAGAATTCGGCCCAAAAATAATTATTTAATTATATATATATGTAATATCGAAACTATATTTTTTGCTACGGAGAGTTTTCTGTCATGGTAATTGAACTCATTTCTTACTACTAAAAGAGAAAATGAAAAAACCTTGACAATTGATATTGTACAATCAGTGCTGCTTTTGGTATGCAGCTACTACTAGTGCACATATTACAATCAGTGCTGCTTTTGGTATGCACCTACTACTTGTGCACATATGCTACAAGCACAAGCATCAAATAAATTCTTGCGCTTGAGCACTGTTAGGTACACCTAAGGTGTTCACTAGATCAATTAATTAAATTACTCTGAATGTCTATCAACTGTGTTGTATGTTAATGTAGAGCTAAGTTTAAAGGAATTCCAAAGTTTAGGAAAAGTTGGCCACCCAAAAATCTCTACTACACCATTTGTCTCATCTCTTCAAGTTTCTCATATAAAAACCATTACTTCCTTTAACTTACTATTCAATTCAAACGCACAAAAACATTAATTTTCAGCGGCCTATATTTCACTGTTGTGAATTTCCAACAACATACCTTATGGCTGCAAAAGGGATTGAGATGAGTCTAGTCCTAGTACTTGTGCTCATGCTATGGGGTGGAGCTGCAGCTCAAACTCAATCAGGCTGCACTAGGGTGCTCATGGGCCTCTCCCCATGTCTCAATTATGTTACCGGGAATTCATCTACACCTTCATCTTCATGCTGTTCAAACCTAGCCAGTGTCGTTCAATCACAGCCTCGGTGCCTTTGCTCATTGCTCAATGGTGGCGGTACCTCTATGGGTTTCAATATAAATCAAACTCTAGCTATGGCCCTCCCTGGTGCTTGCAATGTGCAGACACCATCAGTTAGCCAGTGCAATTGTATGCTCTATTGCTCTCTCTTTCTTTTTTTCCGCCATAGTCACGTAGATCAATCTAACACAAATATCACAATGAATCTGCATTGATTAATTTGAATAATCTATGTAACAGCTGCTAATGGACCAACAACTTCAGCAACTTCTCCTACGAGTTCCCCTGCAGATTCTTCTAATGAAACGCCTGAAACTCCAACTACAACATCAGTTCCAAGCATTCCTTCAGGTATATATATATATAGGAAATTCTAGTTGTTCGTAAAATCAAACACAGCATTAGATTTCATGTTACTTATGAAAAATGATAATTGTCTTAATGCAGGAACAGGGTCTAAAACAGTTCCAACAACAAGTGGGAGCACATCTGATGGAAGCATGACAAAATTGCCTCATCTCACTATATTTGTCCCTCTCATTTTTGCTTGTTTTTCGAGCTTTATCAGCTTTTGAGGTTTCTATGGAGGTTGTTTTGAGTACCATTTGTCTGTGTACTATTTGTGATTGGATTATGTAATAAAAATGGACAAATATTGAGCTTGATATATATTGTTCGTTTTTAGGCCAACTGTTAATGTAACATGTCACCTGAGGTTGGACATCTGCATCTGTTTGCCACAACATTTAATTTAAAACCAAACATCCAAACAGGTTTGATTTGAGGACCTAATTAATTATTAACAATCCAAAGTAGCCTGCAGCTGACTTTTTCTCATTTGCCTACACAAGTAATAATAGATTTTGCTCATTTACCAGTAAATTTGTTAATTTGATATAAATAGGAAAAATTGGCAACCCACACAAATTAACCATCTCCTTCTCTTCTCCTCATATTTTCCTCTATATATATAGCACATTGTCTTCTTCTCCCAATAGATCCGGAAAGGAATATACTAATCCCCGGCCACGCATATAGCTGGTGATAATGCACACACAAACACCTTCAATGGCAGCAACAAGGATGGAGATTGTGATAGCACTTGTCCTTGTTGCAGCTATGTGGGAAGGTGGAATGGCAAAATCATCAAATTGCAACACCCTCATTGTCACCTTAGCTCCCTGCATGGACCATGTAATGGGAATCAGCAAGACCGCGTCTCCTAAATGCTGCCAAGAGTTTGGAAACGTTGTCAAGAAACAGTCAGAGTGTGTGTGTCAGGCCATCGGAATGGAGCAGCTAGCCAAAAAGAATGAGGTTTCCAAACTCCCTAAAGCTTGCAAAATTGATACCAACTGTGAAGGCAAGAATTCTGTGACAATATTTACTTCTTTATTGTAATATAATATACAAATTTGTGTTAGTTGCATGAATCATATATTTATATATATATATACACACAAGATTTTGATTCAAACAAGTATTTTCACTTTGATTATACAGGATTTGCTGGAGCTCCTGCTGAATCTCCTTCTGGAAAAGAAGATTCTGCTTCAGGTACACCACTTCTATTCGATTTAATAATAATGCTAATGATTCTATCATGTAACTCAAATTCTACGTGAATCATATTTTGCTGGTTCATAGAAGAGATTGAATATATATATATATATATAGGAGCTCATGGAATAATTTTTCTAACTTGTCTTTCGTTATGGAACAGGTCCTTCCTCAAGTGACAAAAATTCTACTTCAGGTACATGACTTTTCTTCCATTTAACAATAGTGCATTTCAATTAATTTCATATTAAACCTCTACATTTTAGACCCTCCATTCCATTTATGCTGCTAGAGCTAGTATGTATATTAATGTTTATAAATTCTGTGGGAGCAGGAAGTGGATCTGAGAAATCAGATGGAAACTCTATCAAGTTGTCATTTTTGCTTCTGTTGGCGGCTCTCTTCATCGCCTCATATGCTTCAACTGTCAGACTCATCTGAGCTCCGCGTCTATTGAATTCGTCACCAACTAACCTGTACTACATACGTCTATTGATCGCAGAATTCATGTATTAGCAATTTGGGAGATACTTTTGATCGGATTATTTAAATTCTCATTGTCCATCAAATTAATGAGATAATTACCAGCTTGTGTAAACATTTCTTGTATTGATTACTTGCCCTGAACCATTCTACTAGAAAGAGGCAATTTGAGCAATGAGCGAGAATTTGGGTGACATAGTGATACATATATTGAGATTGCAAATTAATGGGAGCTTGGTTACAAATCATTGTAGAAACATACAGTAAGTTTTGAATACACAAATTATGCAACAAGTTTACCTGGCAGTTAATTCCTTTTTAGTTATGGGATTTTGAATAGCAGTATTTGTGAGTATATGAGTGTTATTGTACACCACATAAAAGTGATAAAATATCAATTTTTATCAATACTTTAAATAATCTTATTTAGTACAACATGCATACAAATAAATAAGAGGCAATTTTTGTTTATTTTAAGATAAATGATTCAAGATCACTTTAGTTTTATGCATAATGCATCTGAAAATAAAATAAATAAAGTAGTATCCTACTTCAAAGTCATGAAAGTGCATGATCATTTTTCAACTCTTTTTAGTCTCAAAATAACAACACATATCACATAAACAAACATTATACATTTGCAAATCTTTCCATTAAACAAGTCTATGTGAGCCAGCTAAGCTGGAGGCACTTTTTGTTGGTTTAAGAGAACCGATCCAAGATTTAGTTTTTTACCATTAAAAAAAAAATTAAAAATAATAATAATAATCAAAAGTAGCATCTACTCCTTCCATGTAAAAGTAAATATTCCTTTTCAAAAGTTAATTCCTAAAGACTCTTATTAATTTAACATTATAATGCTCCTATTTTTTTTTTTTTTTTTTTATACATTTTCCCATGAAGTTATTCATAAAAATTAGTTAAAACATTTTTAAAATAAGTTATTTTGCTAAAATCACAGTGTTATTCAGCATAGATGCTCTTCTTAGTCGTTCCCAATTTCATACAAACAGTGATCTCAAGAAAGAAGAATTTTTTTTGTTCTAATAGGATGAAATGGAAAATAAGGGACGTTTAAATTAAAAAGTTGCTCAGATAAAAAAAAAAAAAAAAAAAAAAAAAAAAAAATCCGTATGAGACAAATATTAGAAGGAAAATTTTAAGCAAAATGTAATATTGTTACCCTTAATAACTAACCAATACAATATGCTGTGAGTTGTTTGGCATACTAAATGGGAAATTTTTTTTTTTTATCTTACATACTCAAAAAGCAGAAAAACTTGTTCACATTTGCAAATTTCTCTAAAAAAAAAAATAAATAAATAAAAATGTAACAGTTCAGCTAAAAATTGTCCCAACCCTACCCTTTCGAACCCTTGTTACATATAAGTCCCCGGTTCCACCAACTAATGTAGAATTCTTTCGTCTTACCACATGCACCTCCTTACAACATGATCCTAATATTAGTCATTGGTGAAATGACTATTGTCACGTATAAGTCTCATATTTCCCTCCTAACAAACTGATGTGAAACTCATTTGTTGGCCAAGGGTATAAAAATGATATTGTATTAAAATTTTATTCAGCATTTTAAACTTGCTCAATCATGCATCAGAGAGAACTAAGGTCAACTCAACAACGACTAAAACTCAATATTGGGTTGATTGACCATCTTCATTGGTAAGTTATTAAATACAAGAGATATAATAAGTTAAATACAAGAACAAATACAAGAGAAAAAAATTTGGTAAATATTGCGGATATAATATATATATATATATATATATATATATTGGCAAGTGAATTGACGAAATACCCATTGGACTTTAATAGAGCAGGGAATATCCACATGCTTATTATATGCTTCAATTTCTAGGTTAAAATGCAGGTTAAGCGTGTTTTTAAACGCAAAAAATACGCATAATATGTAATAACATCGATATTCATCTGTAACACCCTAGCGTTTTATCGTCCTCATTTCCGTACTGCAGTGAAAGAAGACTATCTCTTCGCATATCTTCGCAGGCAATCCAACGCTACTTCTGGTTTTTTGGCCTCATCTGAACTCTCTCTCTAGAAAATCTTGCAGAACAGTTCGCATATCTTTGTTTTCTTCGTCGGACTCTGGCTTTAAGGTAAAACCTTCATTTCTATGTATAACAATCATGCTAGTCTTTTGACCATTACCGATTTCGAACGACTTCGAAGAATTATGGATGTATTTTGAAATTACTCAATACCCAATGCTCAATTTGTTAAATTCATTCTGGGTTTAGGCTGACACTGTAAAATTTCGATGCAATTGTCATTTTATGAAAGTGTGATGGTTTGGGGGATTTATTTTCATGGTACCTGAAATGAGAATTGATTTTCGGATGAGGATGTTAGTCTTTAATTGTAAATTCCTTAGGATTTTAGGTAGTGAGAGAAAACGTTGTTGATTTATTGCCTGCAACGTAATTGATTATTGTGTTCTGTGTCAGTTTGCATGTTAATTTACTCCGGAATTTCGGGTTTCAGTGGCAATTTTAAGTATATAAGCATGGATCCCGTTAACAACTGCAGTGACTACTAGTGTTTCATAGTGAAATTGGCTGTTTGACATAGATCTTGATGCTTGAGGTTCTCTTATTTTCATTTTTATTTTTTATTTTTATGCTATATAGGCTTAATTATTATTTGATCCCCTTAAGGTTGGTAGATTTTATTCCTTCAATTCATTTTTAAACTTAGAAAGTTTGAAACTGTAATTATTTTATCAATGTCATATACTTTTTTCAATCTGCTGATCATTTGCTTTTAAGATTCCCTAACTGTTAAAACTTAATTAAATTTTCATGATTAAATAGCATATAGTAAATATCAATACTAAGTTACAAACTCAATAATAAGTACTATCTTATAAATATATAATTATCATGCTTAACTTCATTTTGTGGTATTTAAAGTAGGGAAATGTAAAAATAAGTAAGCTTTTATTTGCAACTGTGCTTGAAATTCAATTCAAAATTCATATTCGATCATCTTCTAAATTAAAAAAGATCCATAATAATTCATTTAAAATCCAAATGTATGAGCTTTCAAGTCTAAAAGGTATGCATATGGTATACGTGGGATTTCTTTGATGAAGAAAACCCGCAGTTTCAATAGTTGTGTCTGCTATGCTATGGTTGTTACCACATGGGTACACTTCACCATGATTATCATAGTTACAATGATGATCACCGTTATTTAAAATCTCACTTTTAAATATTATTGATTCACATTTCTCAAACAATTGTATTTGCAAATAAGGAGGTTGATGCTCTAGTACAAAATAGGTGCTCCGAGATATTTTCTTTCTGGCCTTTCCCTTAAATATATAATAAGGTTATTACTTAGGTTGGTCATGCAAGGTGTTGAGGTGAATTCACTGTATATAAAGCTAGATTTTGACATTATTTGCATAAAGTAATTTTTATCATATTTGAAATTGTGTTCTCATACTCAGTAGCCCGAGCTTTTATTATTGCATCATGAAATCACCGCTTTATATAATCTTCCTATTTGTAATTGGAAAGAGTATAACTTGTACTAATACTTTCTTGTTGTCACCTGTTGATTATTGTCAATGGTGATTGCCATAGAAAAATTCAACTTGCCTTTATACTGCCTTAAGTTACTCATTATTGTAGACGCCATTTTCTGTTCGAGCAATGGAGAATAATTGTGGTAGGGTATTCTACCATATCAATGCATTTAAATGCCTTTTTTTCGTTTTTTTTCTTTTCTTTTCTTTTCTTTTTTTTTTTTACTGGATTTTATGTGACTAATTGTCTAACACAATTTACCTATTTTGGTTTTCTGATTATGTAGTATTAGCCTTTTAAGGGGTTTAGCACTAGTTTATAATGTGTTTAGTATAAGTGAACAATTGACCATTCTTCATTTAGGGGAAAAAAAAAAAAAACAAACAAACAATTGACCATTCTTAGCACTTATCCCATACTTTATGGACCTAAATGTTGTAATACTTCTGTTTATCATCTAATCTATGGATTGGAGACTAGAGTAAATTATGTACAGTTACACCATTAATATTTGAGATTCTAATGTTCAGTTCTTTTGTTGAAAACTATGGGACTTGTGACACAGTGTTTGGGATTATAATGTTCAGAAGTAAACAACTTGATATCCCAAGCAAACTTTAAATTATATCCCAACTCTAAAACATAAGAAATTGATCTTTGAATCAGGTTTCACATCAAGGTCTGGTATTAGTTCTGATATTCGAAAATGTCATATATATTGGCTTTTTTAGAACAATAATATTATAAACGAATATAATTGAGAAATTATAGCAACCAAGGAATATGTTCCTCTCCTTTTCATTTCAAACAGCTTGGTTTGTAAGTATTGACATTTAGCTTATTTAATTATCATATCAATGCTTTTGTTGGTATGGGTATTTGACACGCTTAAAATGTTTTGAGTAACATAAATTGGTATTTATTATGTATTTATTTTATGATAACTTTATTATTATTTTTGCACGGATTATCTATCAACAAATAAAATTGATACTTTTGATTTTAGCATGCTAATAATCTCCACTGTGTGATACCTTGTCAAAGTTGGTTGAGGGTAAAGAATAATTGACTCTGATAATCCCATTAAGAGACTCATTTCTCCATTACATAATAGCAAAAGAAACAGCCAAAACAGTTTTTGTTATTATATGTATTCTACACATTTCTAACTAATGAGAATGATTTCAATCTTCATTTTAGTGCTTAATGGTGGTGATGGTTGTCTCTTTTTATTTTTAGTTTATAAATCCCAAAATTGACCATTGTTTTGTTCGGAATTTTGGGCATCGTTATTTCAGTGGCATCATGTTTAGAGTTCCTGCAATTATATGACGGTTTAGAGTAAGCCAGTCTTTTATTACCTTAAGCTTCTGCTTATCTTAAGCACATACACTGTAATGCCTTGGATTTATATTGTTAAGCGTGTGTGTGGACAGCAATGGTTGGCTAACATATTCATGTTTCTTTCGGTGCAAAAGAATATTGAAATTGAGCTGAAAAACAGTAGGGGATTGGATAAAATACAGTATTCTTCAGTTGTTCCAAAATATCGCCAAAGCATGACTTCAATTGCATACATACATAGGTACAAACTTACAAAGTTGCAGTACATGCTTGCATATACATATTAACATGCAGGAGAAAGGATGGTTGTTAATGACAGTTCTCTAAATTTATTTTCATCTTCTAATGGTAAGCTTCACCATCAGTGGTATGAATTTTTTTTTTTCACATCCACTGGAGCAGTCTTATTTAATATAAAAACTTATCATAGGAAAATGAAGAATTTTGTTTCTATGGTGATTTTTTTTCTTTTTTGCAATTTTATCTTTATTGTATGATAAAACTGAAAATTAAGTACTGGAAATTTTAAGAGCTGAATTTTACTTGCTAATTATCAATTAAGAATTTTTTATAATACTTTTTTGAGTTTTAAGTGTAATTCTTTATAATACTTTTTTGAATGTTAGTGTTCATGTTTAGTAATAAGAGAATTCTTCATCATTTAAAATTTTACCCTATTTGAAGTGACACTTATTCTTGTAAGCGATATTCTTATTACTTTATCAAACACACTTAATTAAATAAATGTTGAATGTTTTCAGAATTAAGTGCTCAAACAGCCCCTAAGTTTAGAAAAGTGAGTTGTCAAGAATATCAAACAATTCCTTCCTTTATTTGACTCTACCTATCTCTGGAATGGTAAGAGTGAAGGTGGTAAGTTATGAGGTGAATATCAACTATCAGTTGCTGCATTTTTTGAGGTGTCCTGTGGGTAATTGTTGATTGCTTGTTTGCATGTTGCTTTTTGTGGGAAATGGAACATTGAGTTTAGTTAAAGCTGTTTGGATGTCACATTGCAATTATTCTTCCTTTTGCTTTCTTATTTTACTATGCCATGAATTTTTGTTATATGAGTATTCCATTGATTATCAATCAGTTCAATACATGTTTGTCTGGAGTTTGTTTTGACATTTTCTATTGCCAAACCTTTTTAACTTTCGTGGAGCATTTTGGCATCCTCTTGTAGAGGAAATTATTTGACAACATCATATTATGCCCCTTTTTTTTTTGCTCTTTTTTTCCATCCGCGTGCATGCTCCGTGTGTGTGTGCTGGGAGGGGAGGGGGGCTGGGTATGTTGATTTGGAAATCCCAACAAAAATGCCTGCCAGTCAGCTAATTTGTCAACCACTCTGCGGGCATGGTTGACCACACAACATAAATCTTAGCATGCTTCCAATCCTGCGCAATGGACAAATAGTCCAAGAAATGGCATGCCTGTTCAATGCATCCCATGCATTATTTGAGAATCCTTTCTATCTCATGTGCCTTGATCTTCTTATTTCTTATTTATTTTTTCTTTTTTAATGAGAAAAAAAAAAAGGCCTTGAATTTCCAGCTTTTCTTTTATTTGTTAGGCAAGTAGAGGTGGGGGTGCAGACGTTGTTTATAGCTCTTTTGGACAATTAAACCCAAGCATGTGGTTCTACTGCCAACATGCTTTACAAGCTAAGCTAGCTGGCATTTTCCTTGAATTTCATCGTTAGTAACTTTTGATTGTTGTATACACAAAGTCTTGTGAGAGAGAAAACTGCCCCCTATGACATCTGTAATTCTTTTTCCTCACCTTCTTTTTCATGACAAAGTGTCTAATTGAATTTTTTGCTCCCTAAATTAAGGTCTTTAATTCAATCTTACTATTAGGGGCTGAGAGATTAGGGGCCCTGTTAGGCTGTTTTATTATTTTTGTGGGCTGTGTTCCCCGTTCAAATGCTTTCTAATACAATTTTACTTATAAAAAAAGAAAAGAAAAAAGGGGTCCTTAGGAGGACAATGTTTGATAGTATTCATTGTATTGTTTAAATGCGCATATCTGTCTGTTTCATACAGTATAATCTCTGTGCAGTCCAGTTGCTGCTTAATTCAATCTAATAAAGAGGGTTATGTCTTGGCTTGTCTCATGAATACTTTCATTTTACTTGGTGATTTTGGATATAATGATTTTGCAAATCATTGACCTGCAAGGTATAATTGGTAGGTTGAAATTTATATCTCCTTTCATAGGCTTACAAACTCTGAACCATCACACCAAAGAGAAAGTTTTAGAATTATTTTCAAATTACAAGCAAAAGTAGACTTCTTAGGATTCCTGAGATGGTTTGGCCACATGCAACAATGCAGTAACTGCACTGCTTGGAAAAAGTGGCGGTTCGTGTTGAGGTAATGTTAGAGGAAGGGGGAGTCCAAAATTAACATGGTTGGGATAACTAGGAAAGATATAATAACATGTGGTTTAGCTGAATTTATGACCCTAAAGAGCAAGACGGTGACAAAATTCATGTAGCAGATATCAAATAGTTAGGAAAAGATCAGGGCTCAGGATCGATTCCTGCTTGGTGCAAACAATTTCTTGGAGGGGGTGTGTGTGAGTACCAACTAGGAAAAAAAAAAATAGTTGGGAAAAGGCTTTGTTGGGTTGAGTTAAGAAACAAAATAAGATTTACTGCTAGACGTTGGAGTTCTCCATAATATTAAACGTAAAATGGCTGTTTATGTATATATCTATGTCGATTTGGTGGAGTAATGCCATTTCATTACTTCATGAGAATTACACTAAATTAAAGAATACAGTTTAGAATAGCGAGATAGTTTGGAAAGAGGCAATAACCTTTGATTTAGCTGTGTTTATGACCATAGATAAAGCATTATGGTGACAGAATTCATGTAGCAGACATCAAATAGTTGGGAAAAGGCTTTGTTGAGTTGAGTTAAGAAACACAATGAGATTTCCTGCTAGACATTTGAGTAATCTCCATCATGTAGATTTGGTGGAGTAATGCCACGTCATGACTTTATAAGAATTACAGTAATGTAATCACAATGGAATGTAGCCAAGATGTACTTCCTCGCCTTCTAAAGTAGAAGGCCGAGGGTTCAAGTCCTGGTGTAAGTCTCAACTAGGAAAAAAAAAGATTTACAGATACAGTTTTAGAATGCTATTCGTAAAGAGCGGATCCATTTCATCTGTTATATAAGATGCAGTTATTTATATACAGCAAGAAAATAATATGCAGTGTTATCTCTCTAACCCCTAAATAAATTTAGGTATACGATTCATTACTTTTATGGGAAAATTGTCATGTTACTATGACTTCTTGATAACTGCAATGTATGTATGTATATATATACACACACACACGCACACGTATATATATATATATTTTGTCTTTCAGCATTTCAAATGTTCCAAACACAATAAAAGGAATGAACCACAAGGTTTCAGAAGTTCCTTGAATCAATAATAGAATGCTGGTAGTGTTAATATGTGGTTTGGGAGTTTGAATTATTATGTCATTATGACTTGAACTGCAAATAAAGGTGTATTTGAAAATGTTTCTTCAAAAGTTTTTATATAATCAAGAAGGCTTCTGAAAGGAGAGGTTGAAAGATTTGCATCTTTTTTGTTGAGAAGTGAGAATAGTTGGATTTTGGTAGGGTTTAGTGCTCTTTCGAAGCTGATGGGGAAAGGCTGAAATGAAAATTTATTTACCTTGTTTTTGAGATCTTTTCCCTTCCAAGGAAATAAGACCTAAGTGGTGTTTGGTCCTGATTGTAACTACACCTGGTAAGTGAGAAAGGAGACTTGTAGGAGATGAAATTTCAGGGGAATAATCATACACTTGAATGCAATTAGGATAATGAACAGCAGGCAATTTTGTCTATTTTTGGTAACTAGCAGCAGGCAAATTTTTAGATCATTACATATATATCGTGTTGATGGGGCTGACTGCCTAGGTTTGTCCTTCTGATCTCTGAGGTCAAGGTATAAGCTGCTGCATGTGATTTCATCGAACCAGATGGGAGATGAATGAAACTATTTGATATTTCTGTTTTATTGTATGTGCAATTATGTATTTTTATTGGTTTGAGTGTGGTTTTATTTGAAGAGTTTATTTTAGATTCTTTTTCCCCTGGTGCTCATTAAGTTACTAAGAGAGTTTGCATAGTATTTTCTTGCGTGATTGTGATGTCCTTCTTTTTCCTTATTACAGACAATGAAAATTAACATGGAGAAGCACACAGCTTGTAGAGCATTGACATTGATAATGTCAACATTAGGTGATAAATCGCTCATGCTTTGAGGGTTCAAGATTCTTTCAAGAATCTGGTGTTTAATGCCACAAGTTTCCTTTTCTCTTTGCTTTTTATTTTTTTCTTAGTTCTTTTCCACAAGTTACCTTATGGATATGAAATAAGTTCAATTTGTTTTAGTGGGAACTAGAAAGTTGACATGGGTTCTTTCCATTTATGGCTTTCATGGCGTATAAATTCAATTGGATTTGTTGAAGGTGCTGTTCTAAAAACCTTTACTGTTATTTGTGATCGTGGTTGATGACTGCAAGTTCTGTATTAAGTGTAGGTGATGAATTTGTTTTTTTTAGACGTCTGAATGCAATGACAACAAATGAGATAGGCTTCATTATCACGGATGCCCAGAAAGCTTCTGATTCTTATATTTTGTATTGGACTTCAAGGGTTATTAGAGGCTCCCGTCATTGCGGGGTTTGGGGAGGTTGTTTTCAGTTTCAAACCTGTGACCATAATGGAGCAACCTTACTGTTGTGCCAAGACCTGCCCTCATATTAATTTCAATTCATACATTGATAAATTCTTTTCTTTTTTCCCTTGTGATGTTTCAGATAGTGTATTCTAACGCTGCTTCACTGTGCGACAGATTGCTAACTGTTACAACAAAGAAGTGACTGAAACTGATGCAGTTGTAACCATTATGTCTGGATTGATTGAAGGCCTCCCTGATGCCGTTGCCCTCAGGTGCCTTGCACGTGTTCCTTTCTACCTTCATCCTAAGTTAGAGCTTGTTTCTCGTTCTTGGCGAGCTGCCATCCACAGCCCTGAACTATTCAAAGCCCGACAGGAGGTCAGTTCATCAGAGGATTTTTTATGCGTGTGCGCATTCGACCCTGAGAATTTATGGCAGCTTTATGATCCTCTTCGAGACCTTTGGATCACACTACCTGTTATCCCCTCAAAAGTCAGGCACCTTACCCATTTTGGTGTTGTTTCCGTAGGGGGGAAGTTGTTTGTGCTTGGAGGTGGCAGTGATGCTGTTGATCCATTGACAGGTGACCAAGACGGTAGTTTTGCAACTAATGAGGTCTGGTCATATGACCCTGTCGCCCGGCAGTGGGCCCCACGTGCATCCATGCTTGTACCCCGTGCCATGTTTGCATGTTGTGTTTTGGATGGTAATATTGTTGTTGCCGGTGGTTTCACTAGCTGCAGGAAATCAATATCTAAAGCAGAAATCTACGATCCTGAAAAGGATGTCTGGGTTTCAATACCTGATCTCCACCTCACGCACAATACAGCATGCTCAGGGGTGGTTATTAGGGGTAAGATGCATGTCTTGCACAAGGGTTTGTCAACCGTGCAGGTCTTGGATGGCATGAGGCTTGGCTGGACAGTTCAGGACTATGGTTGGCTCCAGGGTCCAATGGCTGTGGTCCGGGGGATGCTGTATGTTATGAGTCATGGTGTTATTTTCAAGCAGGAGCGAGAAGCCAAGAAGCTTGTGGTTTCAGCATCTGAGTTTCGGAATAGAATTGGGTTTGCAATGATTGGGTTGGGAGATGATATATATGTCATTGGAGGGGTGATAGGGCCTGAGCGATGGAACTGGGACATTAAGCTAATGTCCGACGTTGATGTTCTGACGATTGGGAGTGAGAGACCAAGTTGGCGGCAGGTGTCTCCTATGACAAGGTGCCGTGGAACGATTTTTGGTTGTTCACAACTGAGAATTTAGGTCTTCACTGATTTGGGTGGTGAATGTTGTTGCTTTTTTGCGAGAATTTGTGCCCTTCTTGAAGATTTGATTTTCTCCTACTTGCTAGAAAGAAAGAATGAGGTTTCTGCCAGCTACCTTTTTGTTTCTTTTTTTTTTTTGTTTGTAAACCATAACATCTGGCCTTGCTTTCTCTTGGAGTTAGTGGTACATTAGAAATGCGAAGTATCAACATGAACTAAAAATTTATTTTTTAATTTTTAGTTATTTATTTATTTATTCAGTAGTAATTGAACAAGAAATTTATTGTTTAGTCAGATGCCTTTCTACCAATAATGTGCTTGTTGTTTTCCTCTTAGGAGTTCGTCAGTTGCGTTTATGCTCACCAGGTACCTTAGCTTTTCTTTTTTTTTTTTAAGTCCATTCCATGGCAGAATTTTATTACATCCAGATATCTCATTCAGTCCCTCTGCTAATGATTTACTAAATTAGTAGTAATGTTTAAATTATTGCAGCTTAGTTTAGAGGTAGAAGTTTGATGATGAAAGTAACTTGCCTAAAGTAAGAACAATTGAGAGATTAATTCGCGATAGCTCATTTTATGATGCGCTGGAAAATCTAATTTTCCAAAGGCTGTGTTTGGCATGTTTGGAATTGAAGCTTTAGAATTAGAATCGGTGGATTAGAGAAAAGTAACTCAAAAAATTAAACCAAAATTTTCTTTAATTCTACCAATTTTAATTTCAATGCTCCAATTTCATGCCGCTAAACAAAGCAAATCTTTTAGTTTTAGTTTTTGAGATAATAATGAAAGTTAAGGAATTTTACCCATTAACAAGGTATACATTTTTCTACTCGGTTTCATACAACTTCGTACCAATAACTTCACATACACCCACCCACAATACTTCAAAACTGATGATAAAATATATTAGAACCAACAACAACTTGATTGTTTTTGTTCTGAGTTTCAAAACTGAAGACATTTTTCTTTTCTTTTTTTCAAGAAATTCACATATATCATTCACACATCAATTTTGCTTATTTAGAGACTTGAACCCTCACCGTCCATTTTAAAAGGCCTTGGTCAAAACTGAAGACTTGGGAGAAGGCAAGTTCTCAAAAGTACATAATATCAACAGTTGGCTTAAACAATTGGATATAGAAAGAAGGGTGAAACATGGATTTATTTTATTATTCTATTATTTTATATGTTGGTTCTTGTATTTCACGGTGTTTGCACTTTTAATGTCAAATCTATGCTAACAGGCTGTAATTATGTATCACCACCATTCTTGTTGTGCTTAGTGATTTATAATCTCCCTCAGAGGTAGTTTAGCAAATTAGCATCTTATGATACTCTTTCATGAAGCTTAGGTTGGTACATTGTATTTGTATCTTAGCACTCATGCCTTTTTTACTGGTTTTGATACGATTCAAGGTGTGATATTTAGCTACAGGCTTATTCACTTATTCAGGGGTATTATTGTCTTTATGCTCAATGGCCTAATGTGTGACACGTGGTTGTGGTCCTAGAGCATGTACATTGAAGATTTATGGCTGTGGAATTCTTCATTGTTGTGGTTGATACTTTGAGTTTGTTTGTCACTCTTATCTTGCAATACAATTTGAGTATTGTTGATTGTAACATCATTCATGTATTGGTTGGTGAGTTGACATTTGATCCAAGCAAGGGTGTCATGGACAGAGGGAGTGCAGTGTGCACTTAATGGTACTAGTGTGTGTGTAAAGGTTATGAAAATTAGTGTTTCAACTTGTATAAGGGTATATACATAGTGTGAGACAACTGAGTGTGTAACTACTTGCATATAACTAGTGGAGATTACATTGGTTGAGGCCAAGAACTAACGTTTTTTATCCCTAATTGATAGGGGTTTTCCTTGTAATATCTTTGTGTAAAATTAATTTTATGTCCATTCACTTTACTTTTCTTTTCATTTTCCATTTTCTTTCTTTTTTAACTATTTTCATTAAACCAAAGGGAGCTTTACATAATAACTCATTTTAGGATGGTAATTGTGATATTTTCAATGGTTTAAGGGAAACAAATTGCAAAGCGGGAATAACTTGCAAAAATATTTTTAATAGAACGATTAGTTTATTATCTACTCCAATTAAACAGAAACTACGCGAAACCCTTAAACCGAACGTTAAACCTAAATCAAACCCTAACAACGAAAGCCGTTGCAGTCCTCGGAATTAAAAAGGGCATAGGGCGAATGTATCAGAGATAGATATGGAGGTCACGCCGGCCATTATATTGCAGTAAATTGTTCTCTTTCCACTTCTTCACCATTTTTTTTTTTCTCTCTTTGATAAGATCGTCAATGATGGTGGGTGCTAAAATATTTAAAGTAGATAAGATAATTGTTTGAATTGATTTTCTGTTCTTCTCAGGAAGTTAGGCTGAGTTACTTACTTGATCTTGTAGCCGTGAGACTTGCAAATTTTGATTAGCGTGTCTACACATTTGGTCGTAAAGATGAATGTTGAATGGTTTCATTGTGTGTTTGTGCAGTAATTTCGATATTATACAGCACAATGAAATAAAATGGTAATATTTAGTAGGAATAAAATTTCAGACATTCCATTGGACTATGTTTTGTTCAACACTTTCAGTTATTATCTTGTTCCTTTACAGGGGTTGTTGTCTGGTTTCTTGAGTCGATGGTTGTGGTGTGCCTATGGTGCAATTGCAAATGTTATAAAATTGCACTCAGAACTTTTGTAATGGTTGATCCAAATTTTCTGCAGTATTAAAGTGTAGACATCCTGGAATGATTAGATATGCTGATTATAAGTATGAACATTTTATCCCAAATGTTTTAGATTGCTTGTGCCTGCACATAATGTGCCATTGGATGAGGTTAATTTTTTGGCACTGGATGTATATTAAGTGAAATCATTACTTGTCTAGCCCATGATGGGTTTTGCATTTGTGCTGTGTCTATGTCATTGCTTTCAGTTTCATGCATATTACTCAATATGCTGTATTTTTAGTGAAATTCATTACTTGCCGCGGCCATCTGCCTGCATCTGCGCTCTGCCTATGACATTGGTTTCATTTTGATGCATATCACTCAATATGCTGTATTTTAAGTGAAATTCACTACTTGCCGAGACCATCTGCCTGCATTTGCGCTCTGCCTATGACATTGCTTCCAGTTTCATGCATATCACTCAATATGCTGTATTTTAAGTGAAATTCACTACTTGCCGAGACCATCTGCCTGCATTTGCGCTCTGCCTATGACATTGCTTCCAGTTTCATGCATATCACTCAATATGCTGTATTTTAAGTGAAATTCATTACTTGCAGAGGCCATCTTGTTGTAAGTGCCTTATTGTTGTCGTTTCATTCATTAGGTAAGAGAGAGTGAGTGCGGATGCCATGAGCAATGACAGTCTATTTGTTTGTTTTGCTGACAAATTTGATTGTTTGGCTTGTGGATCTAGACAACTTTCATGAAATTCAAGCTTTAGTCAATAAAGAAGACAACACCAGTTATTGCCTACTATTATAGGCTATAGTATCATTATGAGACTGGTGTCTCATTTGTTATTATTGATATCGGTCCTCTTTCTCCCCATTCAATTGTACGTATGGCCTGGATCTACAGGGATCTTTTAAAATCTGAAGCACCCTAATACCTGTATGTTCCTTGTTCACCTCCGACCGTGATAATAAAAAGTAAATGCTAATTGTTTTCTACTATTTGTGTTAGGCTTGGTCATGCAGTTATATTCGTATAAGATCTTTCCTCGGTACAAGATTGTATGTTTGTGATTCAGTGCCTTGATTTTCTGATGAACATCAGTGAAATAAATTGTTATGACGGGTTTTACCTTGTAATCTTTCCCCATGTTTTTCTTGTTTATAATTTTGAATATTATGATACAAAATTTACTTCCTTTCTTTCGTTCCTACTTGCTTATTACTTAGTTCTTTATTTGATAAATATTATTAAATCCTTCTGTTTGTTAAACACTGAAAGCAACTTCTTGAAATCAGTATAACCATTAGTCTTGATGTGTGCATGATCTTTAATGGTGACCTGGCTTATTCTTAATGGTATTATCTTTTGGTAGGGATTTTCCCAGATGGGTGGTTCATTGTTAGTGTTGGTCGGGGATTTTAATATTTGTATAATTCAATTTTGCTAGTAACTGAAACAAATAATTTATAAAATAGCCAATTTGGTTTTCTATTTGATTTTTAGAACATTGTTGTAATTTGTATGACAGGTAAATGTATTTCCAGTAAAGACTTTAGACGGTGTTCATGAGATGCAAAAATTTTTGCCTTCTCCACATGGAGTGAGCGATTTTTCTATCTTTGTGATCTTATGCTTTTGAATCTTTTAGTAATTTGAAAGAGGGAAAGAAGAAAGAAAAAAGAAAAAAAGAAGAAGTTGGTGCAAACATGGATAAAAAAATTAAAAAATTAAAAATAAATAAATAAAAAACAGTACTCTGCCATATAAATTCAACAGTCTCGGATGAGCAGACATATTTTTTACATCAAAATAGTGAGGATCATTCAGACTTCCATATGTTGATAGATAAAGCAATAGTCTGCCTAAAAAAGAATAATAAATAGAAGATAGTTCAGAAGGGGCGGAACTGATTGTAAAAATCAAAGAGAGTGAACATTTTGACACGATAGCAGCTTGTTCTTTCTGCAAGTTGTGGAGAGTCAACCAAGTTTGACTTACGAAGTAGCTGTTTTGTGTTGATTTTGTAATAGTAGTTATTAATCATGGAAGGAAAGGGGCTGGCCAGATTTATCTCAGGAATGCACTTGTCAAATGGTAAGAAACTTGATTATCCCTACCACCAGGATATAGACCACTTTTATTTTATCATTCCTGCTTACTGTCTGAGATTTGATTATTTTATTTTTATGTTATGGTAGTTGTGGTGAGTATTTGATTTTGCAGTCCCATTTTGTTTCAGATGTTATGCCAAATGCTTTGGAGTCTTTGTTCATAATTCATACTTCCTCAATGTGATTACAGAAAGGAGCCTTTTTGGTCACAAACTTCTCTTGCGCAATCTTCATGGTAAGTAAAACATTGATGCATGCTAACAATAAACAAATGGACCTTAACATACATATCTACATTGCGGAAGATTAATGCTAGATGGCTTTTGCCTAGATAAAACTCGTTCTCCTTTCTATATATGGACTCCATTGAAGTACAAGGGAGGCGGGAATTTACTGCTATTTCAATTGCGATCTTGGAGTTTGGTCTTTAGATTGTTAATTTGCTACAGCGAGAAGCTCTGCATCTACATGAGGTAAAACCGGCTAAAAGATCGCTATCTAATATGGCTTTGTCAGTCTTTTTCAACATATAACATGGTTCATTTTGGGATCACGTTTAAACTTCAGGTCAGTTCTGTTCTTAAGTTACATATCAGGCAAGTCTAAAAGATTTGCTCAAACAAAAATAGAATTACCTATCTTGGACGCGGCACACACAACTTGGAACTATTAGACGATTCATTGTAGGAGTTGTTGTTTAAGTAGATTATATAAATAGAGAATTGTTAGATGGTTGTGGACCATAGGTCATTTGGTTGTCTAATTTAATCAAATTTGGTATGAAGATTTTTTTCATAAATTTCTGGACAAGACTATCCAATTTCTACAACAGAGAAAGACAAACCCATATGGCCTTTTCTTTTTGTCACTGCAATTCCTTAGAGGTCTCATCCTCCTCTCTAGTCTACTATATCACCCACATCGCAGGAGTGCGCTTTAGAACCGTTTTTGTTTCCATTATATAAATGTCACCGTCAACATTATCATTTTTCAGGCCATTGGGTCCATCATAATGAAAGTCTTTAACTGCTTTCGTTGTTCTTCCATCCCTCAAACATCATTACTATAATATATACTCCATACATGTATATCTATCTCTGGAATATCCTATTCTTGTGGAACGTAATACTTATCCAATTGTGGTCGTTGATACCTCCAACTGGCATGTCAAGATGACAGGTGGCAGTAACTAGAGAGAGATTGATTTTCACTACATTAAAGAGGTCTATTTCATCCTACGTGGTGGCTATACATTAGGTCCTTATCTTATATTAGTGTGAGCATGAAGCCTTTGAAGCAATGCTATTCGCCTTAGAGGTCAATAATGTCTATTATAAAAGTGAAATTATTATTATCATCTTTACATTTGCTCTAAAATTGAAATTATTAATCTCCCAAGATCTATCTAAGTTTGAATGAATTAAAGAGACGTCCACTTGGTTTATATGGCGAAGGTGGGTGGGGACATTTGACGTAAAACCTATAGAAAAAGACACCTTAGATGTGCGCAATTATCCCCCCTTCTATTCATTGTGCATGGCACTAAGTGACAAGGGGTAAGTAGAGCACCAACTTCTTGATAATTGATGCACTTGAATAAAAGTCATGTGTTTTTTTTTTTTTGTTTTTTTTTTGGCCCTTTGCTTTTTGGTGGGTGAAGATAAGGCTACAGATAGCTGTATGAATTGGGAAGTGAATTTAGTGTTGTTGCAATATCTAAGCTCACCGTTTTATGGTACCATATCAAGAAGGGTCCAATAATCCTACTATCTTTGGGTACCATAACAAAACCTAAATGGTCCCAGTCACTGGACACAAAGTAGTTGAATATATTCATTCATGGATGGAAATTGCATTTAAGTTGTGGAAGGGAAAGGAGGTTGTATCTTGAATTGTTTGGTTGAATGGGAAGTACTTGAGCAAATATTCGTTCCTATATTGTGGTAGTGGAAGAGGTCCTTGACTTAAAGTCTAGGTGTGGGCGAGATCGGATTCAAACATTGATATCCTCGCCAAGTGCTCTAGGGTCTGATTGGTTTAGTTTTTGTTTTTTTACAACAATTTTATGTTTTCTTTGAATTTGTTACAAAAATTTATTTGGTTTGAATATTCAAAAAAACCCATTTTCAAATAAATGTTTTTTATAATTTTATTAAAAGTGCAGTTTTTTGAGTGACGGCAAATCATGCAGATGCTTTGATGTTCTGAACTAGAGCCCACTTTGGTTTAGACCATGATGCTATTTCAAAAGCATTACTCAACACAAATTGCCAATTCCTGTAGAAGTACTGAAGCAATAACAGATTCTATTCGTTTATGCTGCCAGTAAGTTTTCAAAGCACCTTTTCTTTTTAGTACAAGTAGCTTTCCATCTCCAAAGTGGGTCCACAAGGATGAAGTTCTGACAAAAGGAAAGATTGTGGTGCGAATTCATCCTTGTATCATCTTAGATTAGAATTTAGAATGAGATTTTATTTTATTTTATTTATTATTATCATTTTTTAGAGGACATAATTGTTTTTTTTTTTTAAAAAAGGGACTTTTTATTCTGTTCCTCCATTTTTGGAAGGAAAGATACAGACTTGTGGGCATAGAGGTGTGGGATTCAATACCAACGAAAGCCCTTCTATCCTTTCTCCCGTTTTTTTTCTCTCTTTCCTTCCTTACATTTTTCCTCTCAACCAAACAGGCTGTAAATTTTTTTTCTGCGACTAATACTAATTATTACTCAGATTGGAACTCCTCACATCGAGTCAGCTGGGACACCACCTATGCAGCAAGATGGACTCGTTCGCTGTGGGGCCTCCCAAGTGCTAATTAAATTTGGAGTGTACAAAATATTGGGGACCACTAGACCAAAATTAAATTGGTTGTGGGGCCTCAAAATATTTTGGTAGGGGCATCTCTGTCAACTTGTCAAGGTTATATATCAGAAAAATAATGTAGAACATTTGTCTTTATATAATATTTGTTCAAAAACCACACGAATCATATAATAATATGATGTCTGCAATTTGTATATATTTTGACTCCTCCTCCTATAGTTGGCAAACTCACGTGCTTCGCCGTCGAATCTGCCATTGCTATCGAATGTGTGAGATAGATACTTATTGCCTTTGCCTTTGACTCACATTTTGAATGGAGATGGAAGAAAAACTCTGGATATTGGAGAATTCTAGTTTAGAGTATTATTTATTAAGAGAATTGTGTAGTTGTATTTTTAAATAATTATTTCAAATTTATATATATATATATATATATATATGAAGTAAAGTTTCAGTGTATAAAAGTTGTGTACATATTTGCACTTAACTACTTTAGTTTTTCACTTTTTTTTTAATTTTTTTTTTATAAGAGAAATGATATAATAGTCTTCAAAGAATGTATGGTACCTTTGTGAGATAATTGTATCATTTGTTTAAGAGAAATTCAATTTAAGAGTACAAAAAGTGAAGTGCTTTTGGTAAGATACTATTTATTAGTTTTTCTCTATAAACAAGAAGGATTTTATGTTTCATTTTGTGCATGTCATGAGATCTCTTAATTAAGTAGAAAGGAAAAGACTTATAAAAATGGGTATAGTGATTTTGCCATTTTATCATCTTATATTGAAAATATGAAATTTGTAAAAGGTCAGATAAATTAGTTGAAATAAATAACATTGCCATTGGCAACCCTACTTTCCCTCCAAATTATGAACATTTTAATTTTAGCTTCTTATACATATATTTTGATGAATAGATGGGTTTGGAAAAGAAGAAAAGAAAACAATGATAAAAAGAAAAATGGTTGGAGTGGAAATGCATGAGGCTTTTGAAAAGCTCCATGTGGCAAGTGGTAGAACAGTAGAACACTTTTTTACAGGCCCAAGAAAAAGAAAAGGAAGTGGGCCCAAAGTGGGGTCAGAGACCCGATTTTATGTCTAATCACTGTTCTGAAGGCACGCCTTATCTCTCCCTCATCTCAGACTCTACTCTAGTGGGCCTCACCTCTTGCTTTGGAGTTATACATCTGACTCTCCATATCATCATTCATATTTGCAAATGCATGGTGAGTTCTACAGCACAAAATAGTGGGCCCGGTGATTGCATTTTTTTTTTTTAATTTAATTGTGGCATTTTAAATAAATATTGACAACTCTTTAATTGAGTAATAATAATGGATACAATCCACCCATAAAATTAATATAAAAATAATAACCTATGCATTTAGGTTGGTTGTTTGTATGATACAATGTAAACAATCTGCATAAATTATTAAATAATCATGTTTCATTTAAGTGGATTAATTTAATAAAATCTTATGCTGAGATTTTTTTTTAATATATCAGGACACTATTATGGACTATTTTCTCAATCAGTCTCAATGAAACAAAACTCTTAACTTTTCGCTTTAAAAATACCCGTAAAAAAGATTTAACCAAACACCAAAAACTCATGCTTAAATTTCATGTTTCTTAATGGAATATATATAAGTGTGTGTGTGTGTGATTTTTTTTTTTTTTTTTTTAAATACTCGGTCCACAAACAATAATATGATGACCTTCCAAGAACCAATTTTTTTTTAACAATTTTATATAAAAAAAAAAAAAATAAAAAAAAAAAAAAAAAACCATTCATTCAAAGTTCAGTATTTTTTGAAAATCTAATGGCATTTATTATTTATGATCAGAAATGTGAAATCAGACCAAGTTGTTTATTGAAAAAAATTAAAAGCAAACCAAGATAGTTGTCATAAATTTGAAGTAACGAAAATAGGTTTCATACTATTTTCGTTCTAAATTAAATGTCCTGTTTGAAAAATCGTGATTCATAATTTGTAAGTTTTAATTCCTCAAATAGGACATCTTTTTTGAGACAGATGAAGTATTTAAGTTTTTTTTTTAAATACTTTTTGATCAACACTAATTTTTTCTCGTTGTAGAAGCTTGTCTTTTTGGGAAGGTTTTGAAAAGTTGGGGCTAATTATACAATTCACAAAAGTTTGAGGCCTGATGACGTGGGACAGCACTGCATGTGATGGAGTATCTGGAGGGAGGAATGAGTCCGGACGGAAGGTGTCGTCAGTCTTTCACCTCCGAGTGCGTGCGTTTATTTCGTATTCATATCTAAACAATACGATATTTAGAGAGAGAGAGAATAGTAGGTTGGACCAATAGTGAGGACAAAACTCCAAAGGACTAGAGAGAGAAAGAGAGTAGTACCAAAACTGCAGAAAAGGACGAAAATCAGTTTCGTACATTTTGATGTAGTAAAACTGATCTAGAGAGAGAGAGAGAGAGAGTGGGGAATTCTAGAGAGAGAGGCAACCTCTGGGCTCAGGCTCGGAGAGGAGTGCCAGTAGTGTGTTTGGTTTTGTCAAACTAAAAACTATTGAGATTGGCATGCACACACTTTCTTCTTTATAAGGCCACCAATACCCAGCCCTTTTCTCAATTTTTTCTCTGCTCCTTCTTCCCTCCTTTGCTCTTTCTTTTGTTCTGTGTCAATTGAAAAAGCAGAGTGAAAAAACATAAAGACACTCAAAAACAGAGCATATTTCTGAATGTATAAACACAATTCTTTATGCATTTCAGTGGCAAGTCTTTACTTCGCCTCTGATCTTGATTTTATGTATTTCATGCATTCAGATTATGATGAAATTTGAAGTTTTCTTTCTCTTTGATGTTAGAGTTTCATTCATGGAGGCTACAGAGATTTAGGATGGCTTTCCCAATGTCAACAGATTGACCATTTTTTTTTTTCTGTTACTTTTTCTTTTAATTTGTTGGGAAAAAAAGCTACCCTTTTGTGCTAATTTTGAAGCTTTTTTATTTTCTTTTTACACAATCAAGTGATTGACGAGTATGTTTCATTTTGATTTCTTAAACTCACCTTCACTGACGGTTTCTTCTTCTTCATCTTCTTCCTCTTTGGAATAATTATTCGATAAATTTGCCTGAATTTAATTTGATTTAGAGTGAGTAATGCTGAGAAATAGATCTAGAGCCGTGACCAGTAAGCAAAAGCAACCTAATATGGCTGAGAACATCTCTCCTTCCCAAAATCACACCAGACCACCCATTTCTTCCTTCTTTGGTTCTCCGAGATTTTTCAGTGGTTTTTTGGGAAATGGTCACTCTGAGACAGAAACCACTATGAGTCCAACTTCAATTCTTGATTGTAAAACATCCCCTACTTTTGCAAACCCATTTGGATATGATAGAAATTTGTCTAAATTCTCAAATACTACTTTATCAGAAGACAGACGCTCATGGGAAAGTAGTTCAGATCCCAAAGGCATTGGTGTTGCTCTTATTGACTCACACGGTGATGAAACAGCTCATGATGACAATATCTCCAAACCCAATAAAAAAATGGTCTTGTTTGGATCAAAGCTTAAGATTCAAATCCCTCCTCTTCCATCCTCTGCTCTTTCTCCAGCTGACTCCCCCAAATCCCCTGCCGATTTCGGAATCAAGACCCAGAATTCACAATTTTCTGGTTCTTTATCTCCACTTGGGTCTTTGAATTCTGGAATCCAAACAGGGGATTCTCCTAAGGCTTCTCCTATTGGCTCTCTGTCAATAAGTGAGATCGAACTTTCCGAGGACTATACATGTGTAATCTCTCATGGCCCAAATCCTAGAACCACTCATATATATTGTAACTGTGTTGTTGAGAACTGTTGCGGTGTTGTTAAATTGTCTGAATTGAGAAATGACTCTGTTTCTTTATCCGATAAGCTGAATTCTCCATCTGACAATTTCCTTAGCTTCTGTCACACTTGCAAGAAGAATCTTGAGCAGGGCCAAGACATTTACATGTACAGGTTAGTTCTAATACCATCTTTCCAATTGTGATTATATATATGTGTGTGTGTGTGTGTGTGTGTTATTTTCACAATTGTGCCTTACAGGGATCTGGAAATTGTAATGTAATGACTATTGTTTAGTGCTTAGTAGTTTAGATTTGAAATAATAATTTGGTTGTAAAATTATCAGATTTTTTGGTTGTATTAAAATGTTATGTAAAAGTGCAAGAACTCTGTTTTTGTCATCACCATTAGAGTGATTTTTTTAGTTGTTTCTTGCAGAGGTGAGGAGGCCTTTTGCAGCCCCGAATGCCGGTGCCGAGAAATGCTATTCGACGGAGTGGAGAATTCAGATTTGGTTGATGTTTTTGGAACTCAATCATCTCCATGAAGAAGACTTACAATTTTCCATACTTTTGATCTGTGACTTCTCTTCTAGGGACCATTAATTGATACAATCAATGTGGGTGGTTGTTCTGTCAATTTCTTTGTTTTCTTTTTCTTTTTCTTTTTCGTTTTTTTCTTTCTTTCAATTTTGGTCTTTCCTTTTTGTCCTCTCCCCTGCATATACAGAGATAAGAGAGGGTGATATATAATGTAGAAATTTGTTTTTGTTGAAATAATGACTAGATGTGGTTGCTTTGCTTGTGGGATTTTCCCGCAGTTTTTGGCTTTGAGTGGGTGGATGATGTTTGATTGAAAATTTATATTATCTTTTGTTTAATTTTCATGTTAAATCATGCCAATAAATAATAGAGCCCATTACTTTATTCATAATGATTCTCTCATGTCTTATTATAATTATTATTATTTATTTTATGTAGGTTTCCGTGATCATCAAAATAATTCTTATTCCTTGATCCTAAAACTGACTTTATCAAGGGAATAATTCCAAAAACAAAATCCTTTTCAAGCCAATATTCTATGATCCAATCAATTCAAATATAAAGTCGTAGTTAGTAATTTTATTTTGTTTGGCTGTGTCACAGATGAGATAGTCCAAAACATCAAAATCTTAGAAGGCTCTTCTTTTTAATTAAATATTAACCTCCTTGTATATACCGCATCCCAGCCTAGACCAAAAATTAAATTAACTGCTTTATTGAGAGACGGGAGGGGGACTTGATAAAATATATAGTTAATCAAAGAAAACCACGGGCTATTCTGGTGTGGAACTACATTTTTTTGGACACATTTCATTTAATTTAGATGTTTCATACTTGTATATATTTTCTATGTTTCTAAGTTAAAGAAGGGTGTGAAAGTTGAACAATAAGATCAAATGATCACAAATTATTAACCATAACAAGTTATGCACTTGCAATTTTGAGTCCATTACTCTGGCATCCCAAAAGAAATATATATTATATATATAGAGGACGGAGTCGATGCATGCTCGGGATGTGTCCCCTGGCCTCGCCCCTTCCCTTATATATTTATTATTTTATATATATATATATATAAAAGAAATTTTATAGTATGCCCTCATGTATTAAAATTATCTCTTACCCCTCTCTCTCTCTCTCTCTCTCTCTCTTACTCATTAAATTCCTTTAATTTTCTTTTAACAAAAAAATCCCTTTCTACAATCAAATCTTAATTTTCTCATTTTTCTTTCTTTCTATTTTTCCTTAAAATTCTTCTTTTTGCACTTAAATATAATGTATGTAACTTTTTTTTCTATCTCTTTTTTTTTTTTTTTTTTTTTTCCTTAATTGGTACTCATACACACGTCTCTATCCTCCTTTTAAAAAGTAGGAGCTAGCACTACTAGACCTTTAATTTTCCTATTATAATTAATACATGTCGATGACAGTTGTAATTTTATTATGTGAAAATATTATCAACCAATATTTTAATTTTATATTTGTCATGTATTTATCTTTCTCATACTACTCTTTGATTAGCATAATTCTTTTTTTTTTTACATGTATTTTGATTTGAACAATTTATATTTGTCAATTTTTAAATAAAAAAAATTTAACTATACTATGCCCATGAAATCATGACTCTGCCCCTGTAAATATATATATTTATGATGCAAAGCCAATCTCCTCTATTTTGGACAAAGCAACAGATTTTCTCGATGAAAAAAATTGCTTTACAAAAAATTAGAAGAGATGGGAAAGCGCTTTAAAATATGCTCAAGAAAAGGAAAATTAGTAGGATTTAGTGTTATCAGTCATTTATTCGACAAATTATTAGATGATTTCGGTTCATTTCACACATGATAAATTAATTCAATAAAAAAAATTTTATAATATATTAATACGTTCTTGTAAAATTATTTTCTCAATTTTCGAGAATCTGAAATTAATTTATCCACCAAATATGAATGACGAAAACCATCTAATAATTTTCTCACTCTATTTGACAGACAACACGAGTATTTGATTGTAACTTATTCTTTCTCTAATTAATCATGAAAAAATGATACCCATGCATGCACTATTCGTGAAAAATGATACTCAAGTATACCCTGTTCATTAATCATTTCCTATATGGCTTTATGTATTTTTTTTTTTTTTTTTTGATAAGTATTTATGTAATTAATTTACCCTTTTTACCCTTCCACTTTTAGTGCCAAATTGCATGACATAACACTCCAAACACGCACTGCACTGCTCTGCTCTCGGTGAAAGCTCCTGGTTATTACTACTCAATTACTCTGGGTTCACTTACGAGAGGTTGTTAGGCCTTTTTTTACTTGTTTATAATACAAATACTTATTTTAATTCGGCTTTTTGAATTCTTTACTAATTTACTAATTATTTACTAATTTTTTGGTTTTATAATTACAAATTATGTGTTCACTTACTCACCGGTGAGTATGTAAATACTATTCTAACTAAAATTAAATGTAATTCTCTGATCACATTAATATGATAATTTATGTTAATTTTCGTGATGACAAGAATCTACTGAATTGAGCATCCTATTGAGCGGTCATATAAATGAATTGAATCATCTAAGGAGTTTACTCTGAACAGACCACTCGTAGCGTAACAGAACACTATGGTAACATGTGCACATCTATGTCCATCTACGTATGTTCGTGCCTTCGCGTATTCCGCGCCTCGTCTAGATTTCTTCTCAAATTACAAACACCATTTTCAATTTACAGGAAGTCAATTTTCATTAACTTTTTAACTGACTATTATGGATACCCTATTCAAATTCCTTTTTATGACCTACATATATACACTTTGTTTTCAACCTGGAAGTAAAAGAAGACCAGTTTGTACCACAATCCGAATAATGGCTTCTCAATAACAGTAACTACATGAGACGTGCAGTTAAAAAACATGACACCAACTTCACCACCACACAAAATGAAGCATTTTGCACGTCTAACTCATGTGTGGAAGGAGAACAAGGTCCAAACACATACCTAACAAGGACCAAACATATACTACTAAAGGCTCTTATCATTTTTCACAACCTTAAATCAGACATACCTATATCTTTCCAGCAACCCAACATATCATTTAGTTCTGCAAGCAGCAGATCTGATGAGAGACAGAATAATTTGGAATGTTTGGTAACAAAACATGCCAATCTCCATACCCAAACTCCTATTCAAGATTATCCAACCGAGTAAGGGCTTAAGAAAATTTTTGATAGCTAAAAGATGCTTTCAAAAAGCATCTGGAACCAGAACAATGATAAAAAACCATTCATCATTCCCTCGCAGACAATGACTACCCAAGGGATGGATATAAAGTCAACATCAGTTCAAAATGGACAGATTAAAAGTGATGATGATAAGAGAAACTAGCATATATGCTTTTAATTGAATCATTCCTTGGTTCTCCACTTCCTTGGGTTTCTAAATTCTAATTCCGGGCTAATCTTATTGGAATTATATGTTGTCACTTCTCACACTAATTTGGAATTATATAAAAAGAGCCTAACCGGCAGGCACAACAAATCCAATCACTTAAATTCGATTATCAAAATATCAGTGTGCGTCTCTGTGGGGAGAGAGAGAGCCCGTAAATAATTTGGTAGCTACTTCAAACCACCCCTAACGGTGTAGCATAATCAATCGGACAGACATATATCGGTCAAATTGGTGCCCTTTTGATGAAATTCCAACCGTGTCACTTAAATGTGAGTTCGAAATGCTGTTCAAGACCATTTTACTTTTGTGTGGGGCTTCAAAGATCAAAACTTCTTGTTTCACACTTCACTCGCCATCGCACACCAAAACTCAAAAATAAGAATGAAAATCAAAACACAAAGCTTTTCACACAAAATTTGACAACACCAAGGCACTAAGTTCTAACACCTGGTAGTGGTAGTGACGGTGATTCTGTTCTGCTATTCTATCAACATGCAAAAAATCATAAATTGGAATGTAGCAATTGAAGAACTGAAACTGCAGCCTATAAATTGTAACATGACACTACATATTAACTCCAATAGTTCAACAGAGACTGGGTACACAAAACAGAAAAGCCAAGCAAAGATAATACGCGACTTATTGCACACAAAGCACAAACTTCATAAGTTCCACAAAGGACTTACTTGTAAGAAAACAAAATAACAGAAAACACAAACACTAAACCCATCACAAACACATCTTTTTAGCATAAAACAGCCTCCCGAAATATATTCTTCCACTGGCTCCTTATTTCAGAACTGCTTTGCACATATCAAGCAAAAGAGATGCATTAGTTATAATAATGAAATACCTCAAAGGCAATCAGCATGAACTGAAGTGACATTATAAAATGTACAAGGCCTTACCTTCTGAACAGCTTGGTATGATCAACGAACTCCAGGGTCGATGAACCTCGTGAAGACTATGACAAATGTGGCATTATCCACTCACAGCGACAAAAACTAATGGGGCTTACAACAGGACAGTGCAACACGGATTAATCCTACACATTAAAGAGCAGAAGCAGGGAACAAATACTTTCACTTCCCCTTCCCACCTTTCCCTCTTAAAAACAGAAAAGTTGGTGAAGGGGAACACAAACGCTCTTGCAGAGCGAATGTCTTCAGGTTAGATACTAAATCCTAAATAAAGAAAAGTAAAATAGAAGAAATACTGATGAGAATAACAAGAAAAGGAAGAGATGGAGCAGCCAATTCAGGCAACAATGGACCGAGCAAGAGAGTTGAAGAAACCGAAAAATCATCTGGGTAGCCATTTCAGGCAACACTGAACGAAAAGTATCAAAGAAAGACAAAAATCTAAGATGGAATGATAAAATGGGAGAACACTCCGATTTGAGATCAAGGAAATAAAGATGACTAGAATAAAATAAAATCCTACAGATGTTGTATGACTAATCAAGTGAGAATTCTACAGTATATACAAAGTATTGGAAACGAAAAGCCTACATCTAAGTTAGAATGAAGGAAGTGAATATCAACTATCCTGTGACTGTGAGGAGACTACCATAGTTAAAAGACATGTATCATAACTTAGACGATCATCTAGATTGTAGTTCCCTTCAACCCCAAATGGATAATTGAGTAATCAATTTTTCAAACAACAGCAAAGGATTGCAGGCAACCAGTCACTTCAATAGCAAATTCCCATGTATTAATTCCCCTTTGGCTTCCAAATTATTTAAGGCCAGCCGCTATCCGTGTCAGAGAACCCAAATCACATTCTGTGAAGAACGTCCATAGGGGAAACCCACATCGTTTCACATCACAATATCGGGAGACTGTTAACCTACCAGCCATCACTACACTGGTACCACCATGGCAACATACCACAAAACGAAATTTTAAAGAGTCGCGCTACTGACTTGTCCACTCACTCTATATACAATCTAACACTAACCCAGTTTGCACAGTAGGTTCTTTATTTACAGGAGCCCAACACTCCTAGTACTTCAATCCTCAGAGTTATCAAGATTGAGAATGCGACGGAGAGCCATAGTCGCAGAGTCAGCACTGTGAAATAAATCTCTACGAGAATGGTTATGTTCCCTGGTAGGAGAAGGAGGTGCAGACTTGGCAATTGGATGGAAATTGATATCAGAGGGCGAAGCAGGCAAGTCAAGAGAAACTGTCCGTTTTGGTCGCATTGAAAATTTGGGAATGGGTAAAGAACTTGGTGGCGGAGAGTTTGAATATGCAGGTCCGGCCCAAAGCTCAGAGAAAGAAAATTCATCATTCAAGGACCCTTCATTGTTAGACTCATAATTGATCCTAATAGGAATTGGAATAGCACTACTTTTAACAGTTCTCTTCAAATTTTTGGTATCATCGAAGTGAGAATTAACAGATGGTGATGGTGTTTTGGGTGAAGAAGAAAAAGAAGAAGATGTTCGTTCGATTACAGGAGTAGCACAAGCCTTCAAAGGGGTTGGGAGTATACCTGCTCCGGATTGGAAAGTTCGGCAATTGATCTCTTTGAAATTTTTGGAAGTTGGGGATCCAAACGACCCGAATCTAGCAGGACCGTGACGACTGCTTCTACTGTAGCATTGATTTCGATGCTGATCAACAACAACAAGCGTCTCCATCGAGTTAAATCACCGGGTCAACTAGGATAAATCGTACAAGTAAGGCCGATTTTAGAACATCAACCTTGAAGATCTACAACTTTGATAACTCAGATCAAAGGCTCTAAACTTCAAAAAATCGAGTCACTAGCGACGAACTGCTACAAAAAAGCGGATAGTAGCATTTAGATCTTCTCCATAACCACCAAAACCTGAGCAGGCTGACATTTCCGAACCATACATGGAGCATATAGATCAACGACAACCACCAAACCTTGCGAAATGAAAACCAAACCGCTGATTCAACAACCGGATCCATAGAAATGAAAACAGATCAGACAAAAACCAAATCAATCACAGTAGAACAACCAAATTACAGTATTGTAAGAAGTGAACTGAAACCCTAATTTATAGATACTAGTGTAGCAAAACATTTCAATATGATATTCGATTTCATTTTCTCAGAGAAAGATAGAGAAAGAAAATTACCTGTAGAGGCGAGAAAGTTGCAGCAAAACGATTACTAGATCTACAAGAGTTACAAGATTTTTTGGGGTTAGAGAATTTTGCTTCTCTATTTCTAACCATGCCATTGCAAGTATAGCCCACTGAGCTTTTGAAAACCAGAATCTCCGGATCTGAAATGACTCAAAATTGTATTTTAATGTCATCATAGGTCCGCAAAACTTAAATGAAGTTGATTATATAAAAATTATTTACCAAAAAATGAAGTTGAAGCCAAAAATGAAAATCACAACTTTATATAAATTAATTATATAAAAATAAAAAATTATAAAAGTTTTCAATCGATATTATTATCTCTAATTGATGTTCACTATTGATTTAAATACTTTAAAATTATTCGTTACTGGTGTAAGAGTTTTGAACTGAGCTGACAAAATATAAAAACTCTCAATTTAATTTGAAATTTACTTCTTATCTTCTAATTTAACAAATGACTCCCATCCAAGCCCTGCGTTAGATTGGTGATCTAATTAAATTAAAGAATAATAGAATTGTAGAAAGCTCATGGTTGTGAAAAATTGACCAATTTAATTTAAAATAGTTGAAAATAAACAAGGTGATGGTATTTTAGTCAGTTCACTTCTTGGTGGTGTCCTTCTTCCATACATGATTTCCTGAGTTTGATGTCATGGGCCCCAGGGCAGTTTTGTAATTTGGAAAGAATCAAAGATGTCGGACCTATGGAGGTCAGGTCATTCAATAGAGGAGAGTTTGTTCTACGCCACTTGGGCACAGAGGATAGAGATAAAAAGGTTATGGAGGGACTATCGCAAGAGCTGTTACCTACAGGTGTCGGTTTTGAGGGAACTTAGACCCGCTTCTCCCGGCCAGCGATGGGGAAAGTCGGTGAGGAAAGCTAAGGTGTCAGTTTTTTAATTCCGCGTCAAATAAATAAAAGAAGAAGAAAGCTAAGGTGGGGTTCTTTGCTTGGGGAGTTGAAAAAGATAAATGCTTTTTTATAAAGATAAATGTTTTGGTCCCACTTTGTGCTCATACGACCGAAAGATATTCCAAACGACACTTTACTTTATTTCCAAATCTACCCCTATATATAATAATATTATTTATTTCTCCTTTGCGTGCCTTTTGTCATTAATATCATATTTATTGTTCAAAAATTAGGACGAGACACTATTTTAGGGTCCGTTTGTCATGCGTTTTGTTTTTAGCGTTTTAATTTTGATTAAAACAAAAACAGTAATTTTGTTGTATGAGTGTTTTGAAAAAAATTCGAAAACTCGTTTGGAAACGATGTTTTGTTATGAAAATATCGAAAACAAAAACATGCAAAACATGTTTGGTAAAGTTATGCGCTTCAAAAATTTTGAAAACAAAATATATTTGGTCAATCCAACTATTGCCAAAAAAAATAAAACAGAAACAAAAAAACATATTTGATTATCATTATTTTTAATTTTTTTTTTTAAATTTTAAGTATATTTATAAGAGTAAATTATATTCAGACCCCCTGAGGTTAAGTCATTTTACACCTATATGAAGATTTTGGTTTTAATTTTCACTTATATTTGAAAGAGTGATTTAGTATTTCACTTACACCCCAAATATCAATTTAAAGTGATGTCTGAGTTACTTTTAGGTATAAAATAACTATAAAACCCTTTTGATTTTGTATTGATTTTATTTCATATATAAAATGACTTAACTACCCAACAGACCCATTTGAAATGACCAAAATGTCCCCAAAACACAAAATGAATCCTATGGGCAGAGTTTATTGGTGGAATGAGCTGCTCGGCGGGAAGCTTGAAATGTCGGCACTGATGATGCTGAAATTTAAGGAACAGCAGCCAAGGAATGAACCAGTAAGAGGTGGGTTTGTTCCGCAAAGGCGAGCTGTGATGGGTGGCTGTTGGCAATCGCCGAATTGGGGTGGGTTTGCTCCGGCGTTAGTGATGATGGATGACGTGATTGCAAGGCGACATGGAACGGCGAGAATATGAGGCTATGACCATGAGTAGACGATTAACGTGTCTAGCAAACTTACCGGCACAACTGTCTTCACAGGTGAGCATGGAGTGCACGTCGGCGAAGTGGGTCTATGGTGATGATGGACAACAGTTCGAAGCGACGGAGATGGTTGGTGGTTGATGGGCCAGCGATGGTGAAGATGATGGCATGGTTTTGACGGCGACGGATTGAGCATCTCAACGTGGATAACGATACGGAATGGCAGTGGGAACACTCCGTCCAAACTCTCTCCACCGTTACGACCATCTTGCAGCCGGAAAAACTTACCGGTGGGCTGCGGAAATGTCTTCACCGATAAACATGGAGTGCACAGCGGCGAAATGGGTCTAGTGATGATGGACAGCAGTTCGAAGCGAAGTAGATCTGTGGTGATAATGGGTCGATAATGGTGAAGATGATGACATGGTTTTGAAGGCAACGGATTGAGCAGCTCAACGTGGACGACTGTGCAGAATGGCAGTGAGCTTGAATGGGAATGCTTGGTTAATAGATCGGTGATGGCGATGATGGACGGCAGTTCGATGCCATCTTTGGTAGTGTCGTGTGTTTGTATGGTCGTCGAGGAAGGCATGGGTCCCTGGACCATGTTTCAGAACACATTATTTATCAGTGTAAACTAAACTTTATTTACTGTAAACTGAACTTTATGAATACAATATCATCTTATTAATTACTGTAACTTACCTTTATTATCAGAACCAATTATTTATCAGTGTCATCAGACAGCTGCATCATGTTAAAAGGGTCACAAAATTGTAAAGTGCCAAAAAAGTTTCATCACACTGCACACAAAACTGTAATTCGTCAATAGGTATACGAAAACTCTGAAACACTACACCCAGATTCCATTTGCTGTAAATCTAATTTCACAAAGTAAGAATAGTCGAAAAGAGAACATTTAATTCAAAATCTAAATCAGCTCAACGTGGACGACTGTGCAGAATGGCTGTGAGCTAATGATAAAGACGATAATATAGACAAGAACGGCATCGACAGTAATGAAGGGGCGGCGGTAGCCGAAACAGGAGGTGCAGCGGTCGCTGTAGTAGCTCGGGATAGGACATATATTTATATAGGGGCTTTTTTGTCATTTAAGATTACAAATATTTTGTATTAAACAATTGAGGGTAAAATAGTTAATTCACATGTATCAAAAGTGTAAAAGTAAGTTGGGATGTAAGTGAAAGTTAAAACTAAAATTTTCATCTAGTTGAAATATGACCCAACCTTAGGGGGTGTCAGTGTAATTTACCAGTTATCATATTTTTAATAGATATGGAGAAATTTGAAACCACAAACATATATATTTATAATTTTTATATATATATATATATATATATATATATATATATAAATTTTTGTAATAACTTATTTACAAGTTGTTTGCAATACCTACTTCAATTTTATTATCATTTTACCTGTATAGTCCAACACAACATTAAAAATAAAAACATCTCTACTCTCATTTTACTATACTACACGAGAGTCAACATTTGCAAAAAAATATTTGCAATAACCTATTTACAAGTTCTTTGCAATTCAATTTTATTATCCCGTTACCTGTATAGTCCAATACAACATAAAAAATAAAAACAAACCTAACTGAAAACATAATTGGAATAGAGTGTATATCATTTACAAGTGCTTAAATATTCAACCAACAAATTAAACAAATTTAAGTTCTACATAAGATGTTTGGAACAAAGCATTAACAATACATAGTTGTCACTAAAAATTGATAATAAGTTCATAAAGTGGATGACAATGGCAACAACACATCATCTTCATAACAATACATGTAGCTTTGAAGAGAGTACCAACATACTTCATATCTGCAATAAGAGCATTTAAGTTGAAATATATTAACAATAATATCAACCGGTAATAGTAACAGAAAAAATGATGTATATTACATATATATATTACAAGCTCACAATAGCAACAAATATATTACATATAAAAGAAAAAATATACCATCACTCTCAGAAGGATCAAGAGTGCTAAAGAGATTCCAAATTCGATCAGCAATAGTATTACGTAACTGATCCATTTCTCGAAACTGAGCCAAAGGCACATCAACAATCTCATCATCTTCACTATCACTTTGAAGAGGATCGTTACCATCAAATAAATCATAAGGCTGATGCTGATTTCTGATGAAGTTATTCAATGTGCAACAAGCCATTAAAATCAATACTTGTGTTGAAAACTTATAAGGAGGCATTGCCCTCAAAATAGTGAATCTTATCTTCAACAACCCAAAGTATCGCTTAATTATATTTCTCAAAGATGAATGCCTATGACTGAACACTTCCTCCCGACCACGAGGTTGTCTAGTCCTACGGTATTCCTGAAAGTGGTAAGTATGACCTTGAAATGGGGCCAAATAACCAGGCTTATTAGCATACCCTGAGTTCACCAAATAATACTTACCTACCATGTTTAGAATACATAAAGATATATACAGTATGAAAAACTAATCATATATTAAGTGAATTTATAAGATAATATTACCTATTGGTGGAGCTGGAAAGTTTATTGCCTCATTCTCAATACACTCCTTTAGGATTCTCGAATCATTAGCGGAGCCTTCCCACCCAGCTAGCATATATGTGAACCTCATGTCAAAGTCACATACAACCATTACATTTTATGTGGTATAACCCTTTCTACCACGAAATGAAAGTTGTGTACCTGTTGGCAGAGTTGCAGGAATATGGGTTCCATTTATAGCTCACCCGCAATTCTTGAAGTAAGGGTAAAACCTATAAGACTCTCTAATCTTATTCCGAATCACAGAAAAATCAGGAGGGGCAATGATATGGGTGCCCAACTAGCATACTGCATACAACACAGCATGGAAGTGTTTGGAAATGGTTTCAGTGGAGATCTCTCTGCTACAACACGATTCCTTTGATTATGAGATAAAGTGAGCAAAAAAAAATGTCACTTGTTCATAAACAGTTAAAAATTTAAAATCCTTCAACCCTATACCTTTCAGTGTACTACATAATGTTCTGAAAACTTCAGGATACATCCTCAAATTTTCGTAACATCTTTCTCTGTGGCAGTTTAAAATCTTCATAACATACGTTTCCCCTTATAAAATGAAAT